GTAGACCCTCCTCCTGCTCTTCCTCCAAACCACAAACACAGTGATGAAGAGAAAACAGACTCACAGCTGTGAGGGAATGCGATGTGTCACATAACAAGAGGCTTCGCTCCACAGCTGGGAACGTCTGTTACCATTCATTCACAGCCGCCGCTTCTTCTAATCTCAATAATGACAGGGTCCCTGCAGATGGCAATTTTCACAGAAACATGGCGGAAAAAAGGGGAAGATGAAGAAAAGGAGCAAAAAACTATGAAGACAGAGAACAAGATGAGGAAGTCAAGGAAAATAAGGCCAAATCTTTGGCTGCTGTCCAGAAAATGCAACAGAAAATCCTCCAAATGCTACAAAACGCTCAATGCAAGAAAAATAATTGGAGACATGTGAACATGCACCACATTCAGACAAGAGCTTATGCATCTGCACATTTGTACAGTTTCACAAAGGATTTCTGGGGAATACTCTATTCTTGAAACAGAATTTATTAATCTATATCCATGAATTAGTTTAAAAAAAATGTATAGACCCATCTGTTTGACTGTTTTGGATCCTAATGCTGGATAGTTTAAGACAAACAGACAAATTTTTCTTACAAATCAGAGTTAGTGCTCAAACTCTGTAAGGTGCTGCATTATCAAGTGTCCAAAAGAAGATAGCTGCACACGCAGTCACAGTTTTTTTGCAGCAGTTCAGTCTGCACAATTTGGGGATATGAAAATGAAAAATGCACTGGCCAAAATCTTTCATAAAAACATAAAAATATGAGCTGAGGACCTTGCAAAAGGGTAAAACTTTAGTTTGGTGCAGCAGCATGTAAGACTTGCACGAGTGCATGCAGCTGTACAAAGATATACCCCTTTAAATACGCCATCAGTGAGGATTAGTGGGTGACTTTCATACTCTAAACTCCTCTATATTACAATAAAACTTGTTTTTCATGCACACCACAGTTTGTGATGAGTAGGAATAAAGCAGAGTGCAAGTTAATATCATAAAGATGGAAATTCTGCATATAAAGGAAAACAGCATGGGCAAATTACTTTGGCTGCAATCCAGACAGACCAACAAAAGCTCAATTACTGCAGAAATGCTTAAAGATTGCAACAGCTTAAGATGTAGTTAAAGAGTAAAAGCGCAATGCATTTCAATGAAGATGGTGTGCACGTCTTTTTACAAAGATATTCCTCTTAAAGGCAGTGTCACAGAGGATTTCCAGGTTAGTGAGATGTGGATTTATATCAAAACCATGGTGTGACATGATAAAAAATGCATGAGAAACTATAATGGACAAATAAAGGGTGCAAATCTAAGTCATGAAGATGAAATTCTGCGGCAAATTAAAGCACAGTTTGGGTAGCATTCAAAATGCACAACAAAAAACTCTAAAATTTGAATTAAACTCCTAAGAGTGATGCAGAAGTATCATAATATGTACCCCCTCAAATGGATCATCACTGAAGATTAAGGAAACTTTTTTACTCTAAAACCAAAGTTTAATTCAACTAAAAGCCAAGGACTGGGGAACGAAGATTTTAGTAGGTTTTAAAACGAGATATTTTATCTAAGGAAGTAGTTTTTTTTTCATCTACATAACAGTTCTGTGTTCAGCCAAGAAGGTCAAACAAAACCATGGAAATGCTATAAAATTTTCTGAAATACTTCCAAACTGCAGCAGCTGAAGATTAAAAGAACAAGCAGAAGTAAACCGCAGTTCAAATAAAAGCACATGCATTCTGTATATATCCTCAAAATGCACCATGACGGAGGATCTCTGGGTGTCTGTTTACACTCTGAAAACAGATTTCATCAACCGCTGACAAATTGATCTCGAAAGGTGAGAGGGCAGATATTTTTCATCTTGATGGCAGATATTTGAGGCAGTAACATCCTGGTTTTTCATCCACATTCAAGTGTGTGGTACAAAATAGAGATGACAAAAGATCTCGAGGACAGAGAGGTTGACACAAGGTGCAAAATTTACAAATTTACAAGCTATCAAAAGCTGCAAAAGGGAAGAAGAAGAAGAAGAAGAAGAAGAAGAAGAAGAAGAAAAGGGAGAAGGAGAAGAAGAAGAAAGATTTTGTGTGAAAGATGGGGAAAAAACTTTGTCATCATCCAAAAACTGCAACACAAAAACTGAAAAAGATCCGAATTGCTCCAAAAATCAGGGGTGAGACAAAATGCAGTTATCGGCAGCAGCTTTTAGAATAACAGCATGTTGATGGAGGTTATACAAACATTTCCCACTTTAACACACCAATGTTTACTGATGCTGATAAGGATGTTTCAACTTTAAAAATCAGATATCAGTCAATTCCCCTTTATAGAAGTTTCTCTAACTAAAGAATAGATCCTGTGGGATGATAAAGGTGGAGATTTATCACTTAAATAAAACATCACAGTGCCAGAAAGAGACAGGAAAGTGAAACTGAGGGAAGAGAGACAGGCATACAGGAAAAATCCTGATTTCAAATAGAGGAATTTAATATAAAGGAGGAAGAAAGAGAAGGAAGAAAGACCTCTGAGCAGACATTTTATTATCCTGAAGAAAAAACTCCCCAGCAGAGATCTGCACGTTCATCTCAACATGTCCTTACCTGATCTGTTCACATCTGGCGCTGCTCTGTCTCTCCTACCTAACTCCTCTCTGCTTTCAACTGCGATGGTCTCACCAACTCCTTGATGAAAAAAAACTCCTCCCACAGGAGGGAGAGAGAGAGAGAGAGAGAGAGAGAGAGAGAGATGAGTAGAGAGGGGAGAAGAGGACGAACAGGCTCTTCCTCCTCCTGTTGGATCCAAGTGGAAAAACCTAAAAGACAAACAGGGAGCTGTGAGATCAAAGTCTGGTCCAAAGTGCTGCTGGTTTAAGGAGCTTTGTCATTATTGGACAGAGAAGAAGGACGAGATAAAAGACTAAAGACAGGGCTGATGTGAGGAAATGCTGAGGGACTGAAAATAGACGACATGTAGTTTATTAAAGGATATACAGTTCTGTGGAGCAGGGGCGTTAAAAAGGATTTTGAAATAAACAACCTGCAACCTGTAGCTTTACCAAAACATTCCTACTCTTTTTAAAGTTTTTTCTTCAATGTTTTTCTACTTTTGGCCAGGAATATATACATATTTTACAGCATTTAGCAGATTACTGAGCAGAGATCACAGTGAGGAGGAAGTTTGAGGAAGCCGCTAAAAATCCTGAACTCAGATATGACGTTAAGACAGAGTTTCAAAATGCAAACAAACAAAAACAAATAACACAGCATTAAATTAAAGTACTTAGTTTCCACACCTAAACATAGTGTATTTTTAATACTGCAGTTCCATTAGGAGACAGCAGAGGTCAGTGTTAAACTGAGACATGATATCTTTTCCTCACAAGGTGGAAACCACTTTTCAATTATGAATGCATTTTCTTTATAGTTGTTTTCCTCTGCGAATATCATTACTTTAAAACAATTTATAAAACTTTGTAAACAAACCTTTGCCTTATGAAATCAAGACTTACTACCCTTAAATTTATATTTTTTAATGCAACATTTAGACTGTACAGAGACTGAAGAGACATGGATGAGAAGAGTTGCAGCCCACAGTTTGGCTGAAATAAGCATTGTGCAACACACAAGTATTACTGGTACCTGTCTTTTAAAGAAAAAAAAAAAAATATATATATATATATATATATATATATATATATATATATTGTGATAAAACGGGTAAATGGTCATACCATGAGCTCATAATAGTGGTTTTTAACGCTGTCTGGAGAGAGGACGATCTACCAGCCTGCCAACAAGCTAGCTTTAGCATTACTGAGGGATGACTCAGCACTTTTAGACACCAACGTTAAAGGCTCGCTTCGACCAAATAAAGGGTGAAAGCCTAAGCTCTTTGTTTTTGTGGTTACTAAACAATGGAACATTTGCACTTACTAACCATTTTTTGCGGTTTTCTTTCAGCTTCATTATAAACGGTCTAAAAGAAGTAGTACACTTCAAAATAAAAGCGTAGTTTCCCGACGCAGGAAATGAAGCAGGACGTCAAACCTATCAAAATAAGAGCGCAAGAACCTCTTTAATGAGGCAAAGCCTACTCCAAAGAAGACATCACTGTAGGAATTTGCCTAGACTGTAATATCTTTATTATATGGTGCATTTAAAAACAAAAGTTTACAAAGTGCTTTGGCAGACTAAGCAGAACAAATAATAGTCATAACAGTGGAGGAGAAGTAGGTCATAAATCATAGAATCATAACAAATAAAAAGGCAGAAAATACAAAAACACTTGTATTTCAAGAAAAATTAAGATTCCCAGAGGGAAAAGAAAGAAAAAAGTAACAAATGGAAAAAAAGATTATACCACATTAGAATAATAACAGACACAAGGATGAGGGGCAGTGACATACAAATAAACAAACCAATAAGTAAATTAATAAATCCGTAAATAAATGACTTGCAAACAAATGGTTTAAACAAAGGTATTGATGAGAGTTTATAAATAAAGTTAAAATATAAAGTGTTTAACTGACATAAATTCAAGTCAACAGTGAGTTTTCAGAAGTGGTTTGAAAGGTGTCCCCGTTTCTGTGGGCCTTATCTCCTCAGGGAGGCCGTTTTTAAGTTTGTCCTCGACTTTGAAATCAAAACTTCTTCTTCTTCTGTTTGTAATTTTGAAATCAATATTCTGTGATCCATAGTGTCAAACACTTATTTTAGGTCTATAAACATTTTATTCTTTTGAAAAACAAATTTTCTGTCTAGAACATCTAATTTATCTGCAAACAATGCTGAAGTACTTCAGGGGACAAATATAGGTTTAACATGCATTATGAGGTTCAACATGTCTGCAGGTCCTCTTTCTGCCCTCGGAGAGGGTTTCCACTCTGTGCATCAGCTCAGTGGTTTCTTGTTGGGTTTTATGCAGCTCTCAGGCTCATTACAGTTCATGCTGCAGTGTTTGTCAGAGAAATAAAACATTCCTCAGCTTCAGAGTGAGACGGTTTCACTGAGTCCTGACGGCTCCTGTGGCTCTGCAGACAAATTAGAGCTCAGGCTGTTTCAGCAGACAGCCAGGTGCAACTTTCAGCAGCTCTCTGAGGGGAAAACAAGAGCAGAAACAGCTTCAAATCAGACGATAATTCACACTCAGAATGATCCGAGGTCTCTGTTTAGGGTTAGTTAGAGTCCCTCTGTTTTTCCTGCTGCTGGGCTTGGTCTCAGGGTTGTTACAGATGGATCATCGCAGTGACGCAGACCAAGACCAGGAGCTAAATAAAGCTATTTTAGAGATGCTTCACATCAATAAAGTGTCTGCGAGCCATCAGAACAAACCTCACCCCTACATGACGAGGATCTATCAGCGTCTGGACTCATTGGAGGATCAGGACTTTGAGAGCTCTGATGGGACGCTGGTGCAAAGCTTCAGGAGTGTCGGTGGTGAGGACATAAGATTTGTTTTATAGAGCTCCAGATCTCCCATAACTGGATTTTATCATTATGTATGATATTAACGTGTAAGAATGCAGCTTAACTTATGATTCCACTTCCATAAATTTACATCAATTGTTATCAAACATCCTTTTTTGGAGGTAAAAATACATCAAATATCTACTTCAAAATGTATTATGATTGCTGTTGGTCTCACCCAGGTCCACATGGCGCCCCTCCAGGCTGGATCTGGTTCAACATCAGTGGCTTGAGCCCCTCCATGCTGGGCGCAGAGCTAGTCCTATTCAGGAAAACCCTGCACCCCAGTCCTCTCAGTGTAACAGTCACCTTGCACAGTCTCAGTGTCACCCAGGACGTCCCGAAGGAAAGCCCTGCCCTTGATGAGAGGCTGCTGACTCTGGACCAGAGACCCCCATCTGGGTATGATGTGTTCGATGTGTCTGCTGTTCTGGATGTGAGGCCCGTGGAGGTGGTGGGGTTTCAGCTGAGGTACACAGATGAGAGTGGAAGTCTGGTCCTCCATGAAGCTCTGACCCAGAGTCTGTACTGTCTAAACAGAGAGTCTCTGAGTGAGCCCTTACTGGTGCTCTACCAGGTACATCCTGTCCTCATATAATAACACTGAAACCACTGAGGCCAGTTAAATGTTTGTCTTGATATCCTGAATATGACTAATCAAATATGGGTTAACCTACAGGTCAGGCTCTGATCCAGCTGTTCTGATCCTGATTCTGATATTAGTCTTTAGACATTCACTGATAATGAGTCCCAGACCTTCTGATCATTACTAAGCTGCACACCTCACTGGACACCACCTGACAAAACTTTATCACTTCTAGACAACAAAAAACTTGATTCTTTCAACATCTGTGGATTTTAAATTACAAAATAATAAAGATAGTGAACGTTATTAAAGGTAGTGAATTTGTCAGCAAAACCCCCTGTTTCCAAGTGTCTTGAAAGCATTCATATTCATAAAATACTGTCCCTATTTGAGAGCTGTGGACTTTTTTATTTTGCAGAATGTGTCGTGTTTTTTCTTTTCACATTTCAAAAAAATATTTTTACATATTCAAGCATCCTGTTCAGTATTTTTGCAGTTTGTAAAATTCTCTTGTTGAAAAATAGTTTTTTTGTTTTAGTAGTTTTGTAATTAGTTTTGTAACTTTTGTGCCTCATAAAAAAAGTATTGGGCTTTGTGATGATCTTTTAAAAAGTTGTTTCCAATGTTTGTGTGTAATGTTAAGTTTTTAAGTTGTATCTTCTCCCTGCCCCCTTCCAACCAATGGATAAGAAATGTTGCAATGTGACATGATATTGTCAAATTGAGAAATTGCCTTGGCTGGAATAAAAAAAAAAAAAAAGGAAAGAAAGACAGGAATAAAGTTTTTGCTGTTCTTTATACATTTCTTGTGTAAAGTTTCGGTGTTTGGTGAAATGTTTTTATGTTTGATAAACTGAAATGCTGTTGACCTTTAGGGCCACCATACTGCATGTCAGATTTCATAGTGTTATGGAAATTATGTTACACTGAGTAGTGGTCTATCATACATAAAACCTTTATTTATTACATGCTTTGGCAGAAAAGCACACCAGAGTGAGTAAGATGCAACAAGGATAAACTGTAAATGAAACAAGTCAGCAGTAAATTCCCGTTTTTGTTTGCAACACTAACTCCTTTAATGGCCTATTGTGTGAAAGTGTTATGCCTAAATGTATATGTAAGGCATTTGTAATCATTTTTGTTTATGCATCGTGATTGATTTGTTCATAATTCTGAATTAAATCGTTAAAACATACCAGTTATTCGATTTTTCAGTCTTGAGTGAGAACTAGAGCAGCGTTAAACACACAGGAAGTGCTTCACTCTTCTTTAGACTTGATTGGCTGCAATGTCTGCCTCTCATCTGTTTTTCAGCCAATCACCACCTATCTCCCTCGGCAGTGGCTCCGCCTTATGTAGGCGCAATTCTCCCAGAACCAGCGGATCCTTTTTTATCCAGCATTTCGCTCCATTATTATCCGGATTATTTAGATATAGTTTAACGAGTGTAAGTGGGAAATTACGTTTTTACAAATCATGATCCTAGTGCGGATCTTCAGCGGGTCTGCGAACATCTGAAGCGGGTGGAGTGAGATGCTTCCCCGGGGCGCTGAACCTGCTCCGTCCCGCACACAAAGCCTGTAAAGCAGGCCGAATTTTTTCTCTGCCTCCGCGCCGATGATGCTCAAACATGACGGGGAATCATTTCAAAGGGCAGGAAGTCAGCTGCTGCATCAAATACTTCATTTTCGGGTTTAACATCTTGTTTTGGGTGAGTTGGTTTCCAGGTTTTATTATCTGCGCTTCTCTGCGGCGCGTAACGGTCATTATCTCATCCACCGGTCAGCACAGAGGAAGGCCTCAATTATTGCGTCTTATCATGGCTCCATGATCTTTTATTTACATGTTTAGAGTGAATTCAAAACACCCAGGCCTCTGTGAGATTATACGTTATCATTTTATATCCAGTATGTCCGGAGGAAACAGCTGCTGGTCAGCTGACCACGCAGAGAGATAATCGGCTTTTTTAGCTGAACTGATGAGAGCTGAGCAGCTCCAGGCTGCAGCTTATCATTCATACTGTCCATGCACCGAGCATTGACAGCACACATTAACACCTGACACTGCAGGCTAGACTCAGATATGACGTCATTTACCTGAAAACAATGATGTCAATAAAATCAGGTGCATGCAACCTCAGCATAGATCAATTCTAAGGACGGGCTGCAGCGAGAAATCACTGCGACGAGGTGAACAGATGATAAAACTGTTGGAAGGCCTGCAGGAGTAAAAGTGTGCAGATGATAAAAAATGCAAATAGAAAAGGGAAGGGTTTATGTAACCAAACCAATGGGACCTGTTATAAATGTGCGGAAGAGAACCATATTTTATGTAATGTGAAATAAAAGCCAAATTTTTAAGTAAAGGCAAAAATCTTTAAAACAAACAAAAATCATGCATGTAAACTTGATTTGGATGTCAAACTTTTACTGTAAGAATCAAAGGGCACGATACAGTACATTATGATATGACACAATATGATACTATAATGATTTGATAGACATGACATGCTATAATACAGTATGATTTGATGCAATGGAATATGATGGCATAAATCATTACATTATTGCCAATCTATCAGTTTGTATCAATTTTCACTTCACAACATGTCATTGCATTGCTCCTGATGACATTGTGTTGCATTGCATTACACTCCATGGCGTCTTATTGAAGTGTATCTGTATAACACTTGATGCAATGCAATATATAATAACCTGCTACAGTTTACAATGCAATATAGTACAATACAATTAGTATGGCAATCACATTGTATTGTTTCATACTATTCTGCATCAATCATATAGAAACCAACCATTGTTATGGGACTGCATTGCATCATATTATACCTTTGTAAAACTATACAATATGGTACAATGCAATGCAGTTTAATTTGATATGATTCAATTCATAACAGTGCTATAAAGAGCTACATGATTCATATAGCTGGCACAGTGGGACACATCATATTGAATCATACTGTACTGTATCGACCATATTGTACATTACCAGTGCCATAGTGCCGTTTTACATCATACTGCATCTCATTATTCTATCTTGTTATGTTACACAGTGATTCTCAGCCTTGGGTAAATATTTTATAATGTTACAGCAGCACTGCAGAGCTGATAGTTTTGCTCTCCGGATGTAAGAAAGTGTTTTTGTGTTTGTTTAGTGCAGAGTCAACAAATGTAATGTTACTCTGGTTAAAGATTTTATTTGATTATGTTCATTTTACATGATTGTGATGTTTTTCAGCTTCTTGGCATGGCCTTGGTTGGAATAGGACTGTGGGCCTGGAGTGAGAAGGTGAGTGGGATAATACTCTATCCTCACTAAAATGCCACTGACCAGCTGTTCAGTACGTAATGGGTTTATTTTTGTTCCAGCAGCTTTTCTCCCTCTGACTTCATTCAAGTTTCATGTTGTTTGTGATCACCGCGCCCCGTTTGGATTAACATGTTTCCTGCTGCTCAAACAAAGACCCGTACTTTCTCTCTCCCTCTGTCACAGGGTGTTCTGTCCAACATCTCCTCCATCACTGATCTGGGGGGTCTGGACCCAGTCTGGCTCTTCATGGTGGTCGGGGGGGTCATGTTCATTCTTGGATTTGCAGGATGTATCGGAGCGCTACGAGAAAACACTTTTCTGCTCAAGTTTGTAAGTCCAGACTAAAGGTTTCTAACAGATCATAAAGGATTGGAGTCATCATGGCTTCTCTGTCACCGAGCTTGACTCTGTCTTTGTTTTTCCTGCTGTAGTTCTCTGTGTTTCTGGGGATCATCTTTTTCCTGGAGCTGACAACGGGCGTTCTGGCGTTTGTGTTCAAGGACTGGATTAAAGATCAGCTCAACCTGTTCATCAACAACAACATCCGGGCGTACCGGGATGACATTGATCTGCAGAACCTCATCGATTTCACACAGGAATATGTAAGTTTGATGATGGAGAAACTCTGCAGATCTGAGATTTATGACTTCTTAAAGTGAAGAAATGTTTCCAGAGCTTTGAACCACAGCTCACACACTAAATGTGACATTAGATCATGCTCTGTAGTTAAAACTCCATATTGTAATTAGTTGGAATATACTTATATCAGTCATGCTCTAAATTATGTCTTCATCACAATTATGGTGTAAATGTGATTTTGAATTTATGCTAAACCTGGATGCTTGCCCAGTAAGTAAAGTCTAAAGGCTCTCATGCAGATGAACTTGGAGAAAGAGCTCTGTTGGGACGCTTTTTCTCCGTTTCCTATTTTCTGTTTTTGCAAAAATTAGAAGCTACAGAAAAAATTAAAAGGAAAGGTGAGGGGAAAAAAAAAGTCTGCACCGTAAGCCAGATATTAAAAATTACAGAGTCTAGTTTTTAACACAGAAGTCCAGAGTGTTTGTTTAATAAAGCAGTGAAGATAGGAGTTAAAATCTACGATATGTTATAGTATGAGATAAAGACGGAAATAAAACAGGCAAGAATAAGAATGATGAAGAATCTACTTAGTGGTGTTGAATCTGTTAAAAGTGTACCTGTCACGGCATGCAGGGCGAAACAAAGAAGAAAAAAAATGCAGAACAAAAAAGTATGTAATTAAAAGAAAAAAATGAAAAAAAAAAGCAACAAAGGGAGAAAAAGCCAAAAGGGCAAAATCACAGGGAGCAACAGGGGGACACAAGCATACACATTGACATACAGACAAACAATGAACCAACAAGGACAGAGGGGAAGACAGAGACTATATATACACACTGGTTAACGAGGAACAGGTGAGGCAAACGAGACACAGGTGAAACTCATCATGGGTGATTAACGAAGGAAGGAAAACTGAGGAAGTAAAACCAGACTAGAAACACAAGAAATCAAAAACTACAAAATAAAACAGGAAACAGTGAAGTACTGATCCAAAGGATAAAACACTGAGAACAGGCGGGAAACAGGGTCAAACACAAACGGAAAACTCACAAGACTGGATCACAGGAACAATAGTGAACAGAAACATTAGGAGAAACACAAAGAAAATACACTCAAATAACAAAACCAGGAAAAATTAAATAAACAGAACATATCATGACAATACCATCACTAAAAGTTATCAACTACATAGTAACTGTAGTAGTACGGTCACCTTTTCCATTTTAGAAAACATTAAGTTTAGAAGGTTAAAAAAACTTGAAGTTATTGTCTTTTTATTCAGAACAAATATGAGAGGGTTTGAATGTCAGGACTTCCACAGCTGAGATCAGAGGTTGGTCTAGTCAGTAAAATCTGAGAAGTCTCCTCTGCAGCTGATCCTCAAAGGACAGGACGTTAGTGTTTCGGTGTTTAAAACCAACTAAGATTTAAGAGGGTTAAACAGTTTCAAACAGAGATCAGAGTTCTGCTCTGTCAGCCAACAGCAGCAGCTCTCAATCTGCTTTATCAAGACTCCACACTACAAACCCCCAATCTGGTCTGAGTGGATCTTAGTAATTCTTAATAAATGGAGCCAACCAGGTCATCAGGTCAGACCAGTTCACCTGTGATGCACTTCAAATCTGTGTGTGCAGAGAAAAGTTCTTACTGCATTTCTTGAGTTATGAATCCTTTGATGATCTCCTCCTTCTTTTGCAGTGGGAGTGCTGCGGGGCTTTCGGAGCAGACGACTGGAACCTGAACATCTACTTCAACTGCACTGACGGGAATCCAAGTCGGGAAAAGTGTGGCGTTCCCTTCTCCTGCTGCACTAAAGACCCAGCGGTATGCGCTTCTGACTGTGTGTGCTTGTAAACTGGGATACAGTTAGATACAGGTGCAAGAGCATCAGGGTCAGGACAGGACCAAACTCAGGAAGCTTCTTCTTAAAGCCAAACTCCATTAACAAAAACCATCAGTGTACCTCAGACCCAAACTTTGAGTACTAATGCTGCGTTCCAGATAGCTGATAGTCGGATGTCAGAGCTGGGAGTGACGTTACATCAGAGTTAACAGTGTTCCAGTAAACAAGTCGGAAAACCAAGATGGACGCCTACTGTTAGCCGTTGTTAGCTATTGTTAACAATTCTCAGCTGCCATTAGCCATTGTCAGCTGTCTTTAGCCAGTGTCAGCTGTCTTTAGCTGTCAGCTGTTAGCCATTGTTAGCTGTTGTTAGCTGTTGTCAGCTGTAGTTAGCCATTGTTAGCTGTTGTTAGCTGTTGTCAGCTGTAGTTAGCCATTGTCAGTTGTTGTCAGCTGTCGCTAGCCGTTGTCAGCTGTTGTTAGCTGTTGTTAGCTATACCAATTGTAAACAACACATATTTTACTCTTACAACCACCATACCACCGTTTTACAGTTAGACGTTAGGTGGTACAACATATACCACTTATTTAATTTCAACAAAACAGAAGTGCTAAAAAATAATACATTGCAAGAGCTTTCACTGTTACTCATTACTGTTAATGCACTGCGCTGCCATCTTGGATTATAATGTTGTCCTCAAGTCGGGGTTGGTGGGGATCGTCCTACTTTCTGAGTTAGAAATCCAACTTCAGATGACTTTCCAACTTGGAGCTCGGAAATCCCGACTTCTGAGTACATCTGAAATGCACCATTAGCTTGGTCACTTAGAGATGATCGGCCCACAAAATTCCTTAGTGATGCTTTAAAACATCCTTTTATACTTAAAACAGGTCGGATGTTTTAAATGTTGTTTTTTGTCTTCAGGAGGACGTTATTAACACTCAGTGTGGATACGATGTTCGAGCTAAACCGGTAAGTAAATTTGATCATCTAGACTTGATTTAAACACTGTAACTGCTCTTAAATGTGCTCCTCTGGTTTTCTTCATGACTCCGTCTCAAAGGTTTGCTCCAGGAGATGAGGATTTAGCTCTGGATTCTCTCTGTCTTCTGCTGAAATGTATTTAAATTGTAAAGTTGATCACATGATTTTATGCTGACCTCAGGACTCTGAGCAGAAGGACTACATCAACGTTAAAGGCTGCGTGCCTCAGTTTGAGAAGTGGCTGCAGGACAACCTCACCCTGGTGGCTGGGATCTTCATCGGAGTTGCTCTTCTGCAGGTCGGTTTAATTCACGAGGAAAATGATTCTTCTGTATCACAGTTCTTGTGAATTCCTGACTTTTTCATGTGTTTTTGCAGATCTTCGGGATTTGTTTGGCTCAGAACCTGGTGAGCGACATCGAGGCCGTGCAGGCGAGCTGGTGAGGACGTGATTTTGGTTTATTTTGACTTTGCGACTCTCATGTGTCTTCATTCAAGCAGCTTTATGTCTCTCCCTGAGAAGCACATCATCCATCAGTTTTAACTGTTTCCATCTCACTTCATAAAGACGAGTCAGCTCTTTGTTACGGTCTGAACGAAGATTTATGTTTCAGAGGCATCAGTTCATTTAAGACTTTTTGAATAGTTTAAAGTGAGGGTACTTTTTTCGAGGTTTCACCTTCACTGCTTCAAGATTTGTGTACCACAGTATAGATAAACGTACTTCCTAACTTTGGCAGAACATTATATTGAAATAAAATGAAACGTTAATGTGTTTTCATGTGCAGTATCAGATTTTATTTTTTTTTTGTATGAGCTCACAGTGTTAGAAGTTGCACTAAATTTAAAGTTTTATTTACTGAAAATCCAGATAAAAAGATCTTTCTTAGACACTTACGAGGTTTATTAAAGTGCCAGGGGAAACAGGTTAAGAACTTAGAGACTTTCGACTTTTTGACAATTTTTTTTTTTACAAATTTCCGTCAGAATTTTTTCCCTTTTTTTTACATATTTTCTTTTTTTTTCTTTTCTATTTTTTAAACTTAGAAAAAAAAATTTCTCAAACTCTGCAGAGAACATAAGAGCATGAGCTCTCCATCAAACATCTTTTCTCCGTGTTGAAGATGTTTGAAGCGCTCGTCCTCCAGCTGACATGAAAAGGGTTGAAGGTGTTTCTGATCTGTCATGAAGCATAAACTCACCTCACACCTCATTCTTCCTCCTCCATGCTTCGTCAGGGTGCCCCCCCCTCTGTCCATGCGCCGACTCCCTCCTCACTCCAGCAAGAAAGCATCGGCTTACTACACATGAGACACACACACACACATACAGGCTGTGTGTGTGTTTGTCGCCGGTGGGTGTGATGGATCCATGTGCTCACTGTTTGTCTCTAGCCTTGCCGTGATTAGCTGGGTGTTTGGTGTGGTGTCTTAGTGCGTTTAAGTTCCAGATATGTGAAATCGAACCAGATTTGTGTAAAACTATTTTCTGATCTAAATAATGTGCCGTAAGAGAATCTTTTTAAAGAGTAATCATAACAGGGAAAGTTTATGTGGAGCACTGTCAGAGTCAAAGCCAGACAGGACACTCTCCTTAAAGTGTTTAGTGACTTAAATTTTCATCCTTTTAAATTTGAGCTGAAATCTGAATCTGGAGACGTTAGGAAAAGAGAATTTGGTTGTTGGACTTGAGGAAAGAAAAAGCAAAGAGAGGACTCTGAACTCTGCATCTCTGTGTGTCTGCATGTTGATGAGCGTCCTACATGTCCATACTGAGCCGTACAGTCTGAGTGGTTTGCATTAATCAGCTGTGGAGTCATGTGACCTAGACTACAATCCTTTCCTTGTTTCCTTCCTCTGAACACATTTCTTCTTCTGTCTTTTTTAACCTTCACTTTCTTCTTCTTCGTCTCTCTCCAGTGCGTAGATTAGAGCGCTGACCCTCTGAGGAAATCTGTTCCCTTCTTAACCCCTGAGCGAGTCTGTCTTCTTGTTTTGTGTCCTGAACTTTGTTTTTTGTGTCGAACCTCACAGGAATGCTGCGTCTGTCTTTATTTAATGAGTCAGAACAGAATTACTCATAATTTTACTTCTTGTCTCCTCTTTACCAGTTTCTTCACTTAATACTGAAGCAGCATTTCAACTCTAACAGGTAACAGACTTCAATAAAGTCAAAGGCTGTATTAGGAAAATTTGATTTTCTGTTAACTTAAAGGCGGGGTAGTCAGGATCTGAGGAAGTGCCAGTTTTTGGGAGGAATCTTGAATGTAAACACTACCCCTCCCAACCAGTTTTCCCCTCAGCTCCACCTCTGCCCTCCGTCTCTGCTCCAGTAAGCCCCGCCCACAAACAGACGCTCGTTCTGGCTCGCATCCTTTTTTTTTTTTTTTTAATTACAATTTGTTTATTGTTTTCATTTTTATGAACATGTATTCACAGACATGTCAGTACAGCTCACAAAGAACAGGAACCCTTTCAAACCCCTCCCCTCCCTCAAAAAGATCTACGGTAAATGAAATGTACACACAAGTATTAATATGCAGAATGAGAATTTAAAATGTTGGCTACACAGACAAAACGAAACACAGCGATATTGTGATACTCCCAAATGTCACCAATAACTAATAGCTATTGACGGATATTAAAAGCTTTTTTGTATATACGCCACAAAAAAGATGCTTCTTTGACAGATTCCTGCCTACCCCACGTTTAAAACTCCTGTGAGGAGTTTTCTGACATTTATGACGAAACTGAAATCTATGTTGATACTTTTTTATGAAACACAAAAGCAGACAAGAGCATCAGCAACAAGACTGATCATTTTTATTTTGTACTTCTTAATGTCTGAACTTGGTGTGAGGAGGTAGGTGTCAGCTACGCTGCTGAAGAAACAGCCCTGATTTTACCATTTACACAAAAAATGTCTAAATGATAAATGTGACTGTTTAAGTCAACAAAATTACAATTCTGCAGGTTTGAAATGAAATATTAAAAACTTTTTTTTCTCTAAAAGATTTATTTTTTTTAACGTTTCACTTAAAGTACCAGGCACAAACTTTGTTTGCTTTTTAAATTCAAATGATTTACTCAAGTTATTTTCAAGTATTTTAATGACTTTTAAGGAAATTTTTAAATTAAAGTCATTTATGGTTTATACTGATATTTTTTTTCTTTGTCAGACATTAACTGTACTTTTTTAGGAAGTATCAAACAAACAATATAAAAAATATAATGATTCTTCACTTCAGAAAACAAATCTGGAAATCTGATATGTAAATGAATCTTAAAGTTTTGTTTCCTTTTTTTCTCCCCAGCTTTTGGTCTTGAACGTGCCACCTTGAACACACCACGGAGGCGTTTGAGGACTTCACGATCACCTGAACCACTTTGGTCTCTGAACCAGCACCTTCTTTCTGAGGCACTAATCAGATGTGAAATCTCTGTACATAATAACACTGTGTGAGTTCTGTAAAAACATCACTGATGGAGGGAGACAGGCAGAGGGTTCTACGTGCACCGCGCTCCAGTTTTGATAGAAACGTGTAGAGAGTAGGAGTTTTGATACATCTTTTTGATATTAGATCAGTATTTTTCACTGTGGAAACCACGCTCCATCAGCACATCCATTGTGTCACATTATAAAGACTCCGAGGAGGCTCTGCTCATTTTTAAGGTTTAATGCTCCTTCATGACCCACGACCTGACCAGGACTGAGTTACCACAGGGCACAGTCAGGGAAAGTTGAAAAAGTTAGCACTGGATCTGGATTATTTTGGTAACAGTATATAAAAAAAAACTATTAGTGGAAACAACCCTTTAATTCTGTTTAATCTGTGATTACAGCCATTCCTGCTTGCTAAATAATCTGCATTATCTACACTAAGTGAAGCCAGTTCCTCAAATTGCACTAGTGATGTGTTTTGAATCCTGTTCGCTATAAAAGGGCAGAAATACGTTAATTTTCCTTAACCACGGAAGAAAAAATAACCTCAGATTATTCAAATTTTCCAGGATTAAGAGTTACCATTTCAATAAATGAATCACAGCTAAGGGTAATTCTGGTATTTTTCAGGAAAGCTTAAAGGCAGCTTAAATGAAAGAGCACATTTGAAACACTGGCAATAAAAAGTGAAGAGGGTTTGCAAAGACATCTTGAGCAATTCCAGATTTTTTGTACCAATTTGTAATTTGGACCCAAAGTAAGTAAAAAAAAAAAAAGTTGGATTTAAAAATCTTTCTCAGTATATTAAAAAATTACTTAAGTTTTCATATGGCAGCTTGAACTTAAAGATTTAAATCGCTTCTTGATAGGCTCACTTTTTTAAAACTCTTTTTTTATACAACATAATTATCTGTACCATATGACTCTTGGACCAACAGGTTGGTGTAATTATTCCTCTTTTATTGGCTTATTTCCGGCCTATAAAGGTCCCCGGTTGTCTGCATCTATCCCATCTTAAGTGTGAGGAGCAATATGCTGCCTCTCTCTGCAGCAAACATATTCTGATTACAGGCAGTCATACAGATTAAAATTTTTGTGAGCTGTGATTGCTCTGATTTCAGTTAAGCGATTTTTTATTTTTTATGAGCCAAGGCCATGTCATTCAATCTTGTTTACTTGGATAACAACAAACATCTTTATGATATCCAGGATCAGATAATCTGGTTTCTTAGATATGGATTTTTCAGACTAAGGAAAAACCTTTTGTAATTTTTTTTTTCCATTTTAAGAATCTAATTTTTTAAGATTTAATCTCACTTGAAATTTTTAATCTGATCGGATTACTCTTGAGTGGCCACACCCTTATCAGTGTTTTAGACCTTCTGGTATGATTGGAGGGAATATTAACAGCAACCAGCGATTGTTTTTGACCTGTGTGTGACATGTAATTTAAGGATGGGCTCTGAAACATTTAAAACTCTTTAAAATATTTTTGTGTTCTTTTAAAAGGGAAAACTGTATTATGAAGTTAAGGACGGAAAACTTATGTATGAGAGGTTTAAGGAATAAAACTCAGTCCATTAACACCAAATATGAGATTAACGGGGTTAATGTCTTCATTTTTAAAGGGATAATCCGCCTATTTTAAACCCTTTTAAACATTTGTAAGGCTTAAAAGGATAAAGTTTGTGAAAAAAGCTTTGTGATGTTTGCAGCTGTAATGTCATTATTTCATTTCATTGTTTTTGTTGAAGGAGGTCACATTTATAACATTTTAAATCATTGATGGTATTTATACATGAGCTATTGAAAAGTTGAAGTCATAAGTGCGTAAGTGGGACATTTAAACACTTTTTGAACACTTTCTCCACACTCTTCTCCTAACATGAATGAAAACTCGTGTCCAACACGGATGTTTCTCACTGTTTTGAAGAAGCTTTTCTATCTGAAAAATAAAACCCAGCCTGCATATTTCATGAACATAAAGTGTTAAGACGTGGATTTTACTCAGTGTTTCTTCTGATGGTTTTTAAGTGATTTGTTGCTGAAAGCATGCGTCACTTGTTTTGTTTGTAGCAGAGTATTTCCATGTGTTTTCAGTCAAGTTTGTTCAGGTTGTTTGGAACGACCTAAAGGGATCAGCACTGGTTTTGATACTAACGTTTATTTATTGTATTTGGTTTTAAAACTTCTGATGAAAACCTCTGGGTCAGATTTGTCTCTGCAGATTATCGTGCCGGGTGGAGGAGGTTGTTTTCTGGAGCGGACCTCTCACTCATCACCTCCTCGTTCACCTCTGAGGATTGTTTAGATGATCACAGTTTCTCCCACAAACAAACATTGTAATGTAACTACCTCCTCTCATCTCCTCGTCTCCTGTCCTGCTGAAATCAGACTGTTTTAATAGAGTTGAATTAATAATAAAGGTGAAAAAAAAACATGGATGAAGCAGCGTTTTGTCGTCTGTGTTTTTGGCACACTCAGCTCTCTGGTTTGTTTATTCATCACAGCTTCCCACTCGTCGTCTGTCGATGTCTCTGCACATTTTTTCAATGTCTGTCGCTGCTGATTTGAACAAAATAAGTTCCTTTTACTAAAGACAAAAAGAGAAGATTTAAGTGTGGAACAGAACAGGTTTTATTCAGGGATCCATTTCCTGACCTTTGAGAGGACTCCAACATCATTTCAGTCCAAAATGACACTTTGGTTTGAAAGGATTCAGAAAGTCCTTGTTTTTTTTCTTTTCCTGACATACATATATACGTATACTTTTTGCAACAATTTTGTGACCACTGAAGTATTCTCAAGTTTCATCAAATATTTTTGCTTTTTGTGAAATAGTTTTAAAGTTTATGAAAGTTCCTGGAATTCATATTTTCTTTTCATTCCATAAAACACTTACTGAAATTGATTGAAATTTGAATGTTTACTGAGATATTCATGCTTTTGACCCTCAGGGCCACCGTACTGCTGGGATCTGGATAAATGTGACCTCATGAACTCAAGTCGTCACAGTAACGCTCACAGATTTTTGCCCACACAAATTAAAAATCTAGATTAATTGACCTTTCCTAACTCAGCTTATTTAAAGAATTGTGTTTCTTTTGGATGACCTGTTCAAACATTGCTAATGATAAAATCTGATCATATTATTTCTGAACTACCCAACCCTGAAGATTGTGCTTTTTGGACTTTTGAGGATCCCATTTGAAAGAATTTTAATGTTTTCTTTTTGAATTTTATATTCAGAGAGCATGTTCGACTTGTCTCATAGGGAGTGAAATTTTGTTACTCAGTTGTTTAAAAGAAGGACACACAGCCTGACCAGCTATCATCTTTTTAATTCTGCTGAGTTACAATCTTCCAAATGTACAACTCAAGACATTTACAACAAACATTTAAGTTTATATTTGTATTTTACGCAGTTACTATGGATACATCTCCACTGGCATGTGTCTTTAAAGAGCACAGATCTGATAAATAACCATTCATACCTTTAAAAAAGAAAGCAGAAACAGCATGTCTGAGTGTGTGTGTGTGAGAGAGAGTGTGTGTGTGTGTGTATGTTCACAGAGTGTGTTAACTTTGTGTGACATGCTAAGAGGTGAGCACAAATCCCTTTGGATAGACGAGCTGATGGTCCTCTGGGGGGGTGGGCGGGGGGGGGGGCTGTGCTGCTGCGGTGGTAATTGTAGTGACTGCTGTGTGTCGAACCGTTCTCTAAAGATCCCAGACTCCTGACCTCGAGCAGTACAATTGTAACACACACGGGAGTCGTGCACACACATGGAGGAATGACGGCGGATAAATCTCCCACTGATGAACTTCTTTCTGGGTTTACGGATCTAAACCATCTACATCAGAAATCAATCTTCTTCTGTGATCTTCTGTTACTTCCCAAAATCTTTGGCCTTGCTTGGACTGAAAACTTATTCCTGGTTCTTTACAGATTACTTTTTTATAGACAGTCTGCAGTTTGGTTGGGGTTAATTACCAGGTATGAGACTAAGATGATTTAAGGTGGTTTCAATAAAGTTTAACTTAAATCTTTGAGCAAGAAATAAAAAAAATATCACATAAATTGACTGAATTTGAAATATATATACACACAAAAAAGATCTTTCTCTCTTAATCATAAGTATTGAACTCATGACGCTACTTACTGAGGGTTCGACTTTGTGTCCAGGACCTGGGGTAGAGTGCACTAGCTGAGTGTGAGCATTTGTGTAACTTCACATTTTATTCTAAAGCTGAAACAGTGACTGACCCAAAGTTAAATTCTGTGAATCTGTTAGTTTGAAGCCGCTTTACATCATCGACAGTGAGCTGGTTTTAGACAAACCCTGTTTCCTGTCAGTCCACGACACCTTTACAGTTGTTTGACAAAATTTGCAGCCTCAGAAAAGCTTCTTACTTAGCTCATGCTGGAAACCCTCATTATTCAGTCTCCGCCTGAAATGATGTTCAAGCTGCTTTCACACTGTTAGAAAGTCAGACACAGCTTGGGGGTGCAACTTTTTACACGGCTTTGCAACAACCTCTGAGTAATGTCTGTACAAGTAAACATCAGGGGTATGGTTGGAGTGATACTGGCTTTTCAGGGCTGACACAAGACAACTGATATTTAAACTGATCTACATTAATAGTAAAAATAAACAACTTTATGTCTAAATTCAGAAACTGGAATATTATTAACTTTTCTTAAATGCTTTCAACAAATCTAATAAAATCTGAAGCTTTTAAGAGTTACAGTTAACCGTTTATCAGTTAGTGATGTGGGCGGGGCATAAAGTGAGACACAGCGGTGCAAGAAAACAAACATAGAGGTAAAGATGAATCTGTAGCAGTGCAAAATTAATGCACTTTTTCATTAATGACTGTTATCATCTGTTTGGATACAGACAATCAGCCAAATGCCAAATATCAACCCTGATGCCTGACCAAGGCAGCACGTCAGCAAACATAAGGCATCGTTCCATCCGCTGGTGCACTCAGCCCCAAATCCTATTTCCAAAAGTAAAATAAAAAAGTTCTTCATCACATTTTTCGTGTTATTCCAAGCTCTAATAGACACTTGAAAGGCTTCACCCAGAAAGTCCAGATAAAGATCACATTTTAAGATACCAAGAGCCAAAAATACAACCTGGACGGACTGGAAAAAGTCCAGTTTCCTCGAGACATTTTTCAAGAAACCTACCAAGTGATTTTTTTTCCTGTTGGCAGACCTTTAATTTTTACTTCCTTTTAGTATTTCCAGCCTTATTTTTAGGTTTGTATCATCTTTAGTTGTAAAAAGTGCAGATCCTACACCCACACACGCCGGGCTTCAGACAAATAAGACAAAAACACTTGCTTGGTTTTTAGTTTCTGCAGTTCGGAGACACATTTAGTGTTTCAAGCTAAAACTGTATCCACATTTTCTTGTCTGCATTTACTTTGTCATATATTTTGTTCTTCTCTGCTCTTCACAGCCTCCACCAGCTTCTTCCGACTGTTAAGGAAATATAAAATTTGATCTCATCGATACTTTCTGAAGGTTTCTGAGTGAAACAAACTTTTAAAGTGGAAAAGCAGATTTAAAAACGTAAAGAAAACACCTCTGACACAACTTACCATTCTTTAACTTCATTTTTTGTTCAGACTAAATCACGATTTTCTGCATGTTGGCACAATTCGTTTGTATTTCTAACAATCCCTCTGCAATCGTTATGTTGAGCTCCTGTCATGTGAAATCAGAGCCACAAAACTTTACTGACTTAGTTTCCCTGCATCCAGTCTGGGATCTGACCTAGACCTCGTTTAAAGAAACCAACTCTGTCTGATCCTAACATGATCCTCTCTCTGATGTTGTTGTGGAGACTTTGTGGAGCCTCTGTCGTCTCTGTACACGTGTGTGACCGGAGGAAAGTGTTCCGACGTCTGTGGAGTTAAAAACTTGATAAAATGTCCAGATCTCGAGGAAACGAGTGCAAAAACAGGAGCGTACTGGACTGGAGGTGTGTGTGAAGGACGACTGTGGAGAATGCAAGCGGCTGAGAGGTCAGATGAACACGGTCACACCTTCAACAGGACTAAAACATGCACAGTTTCTAGTCAATTTACACTCAGGCTACATGGGACACGACTGGGCACATCATGGATGGCTGCTTTTCTTAAAAATGAAAGAAAATTCACGACAGGAAGGTTTGTTTGTTTGTTTTTTTTGTTCTTTTGTGCACGTTTTTACACTGGTGGTGTTTTTTCATTTTACCGGCGGATGGTATCACAGCTATGGTCGTAAAAGAGTGTCGTCTCTTATCTATTGCGTTTGGCTGTTTATGGCGCCTCAGCTCCCGAGGAGCTACTTGTAGCAGAAGATGCATGCACAAGTAGAGGAGGACACCAGGGTCAGACTGATGGAGGGGGTGATTTCAAAATAAAAGACCACAGAAGTAAATGGTGGAGAAATCACAGCAGAGTGAATTTAAAGGTGTTAACACCTGCAGACAAACCGTCCTCGCCCTCTTTCATGAACCGTCTTGACGACCTTGATAAATCTGGATTATTATGGCTTTCAGAGGAGAGTTTTGGCGTCTGACAGAAGTCTAAAAACAGTCGTGAAGGCTTCTCTTCTCCCTCAAACATGCAAATCTCAGCAAATACTCATCAGTCTGACCCTGGTGGAAGTGGGCGGGGCAGAGGATTTGGGGGCGGAGACATGACCGTACGTCTGGCTGGCAGTTAACGCGACATGGTACCTTGGCACATGACGATGGGGCACAGGGAGGGGGGGCGCAGTCATGAGGTGTCGTCAGGTGGTCTGAAGGTGGTCAGGCAGGCATTCGGGTGGATGGACAGGAGTGTGAAGGTGTTTCTTTCAGTGGGCGGGGTTTGACACAGTCATTTAGCTCTGGGCAGTTAACCGCTGCTCTGTGAGCGACGCCTGGTGTGATACCGTTTTGTTTTCGTGGGCGCGCAGCTTGGACACCACGTCGATGAACTCCAGGCTCTGGACTTCTTTGTGTAGCGGCTCTGAGAGGAAAAGAACGAAAAGAGATACAAATGAATCATTAGATCCAAAGAGTTGAAAGTTTTGGTGCAGCACAATCAAACAACACCAGTGAGGATGCAGAACATACTGGCTTGGGAATAATGAGAACACCTTATCGTTGACTTTTCTAATTTGATACAATAAAAAAACTGATTCATGGACTTCTTAGCAAACACACATTTCCATACATCTGGTAGCAATGTGCAAGCTGACCAGAGAATAAAAACGGTGTCATCAGCATTTTGGCTGTTTGAATCTCCACCTTCTTTACTCAGCTTTGCATACAGTCATTCTTTTAATATAAAAATTGAAAAAAATTGACTAATTTTAGTAATGTTGGCAATTTAGAGCAGACTCTGATCGGTTATCAGTAACAGCTACAGAGAATCTTTATGTGCACCTTTTATTTTCTGTCTTTAGTCGGACTTTTGTGTTCACTTGTATTCTCAGTTATCATTTCTTCTTTATATTTTGTGTCTTTTTTCCTCCCGCTTGTGTAGTTGTGTTCATTTCCTGTTGACTTTTCTGAAGGTTTTGTGTTTCTAAAGACTTTCATTATGACGGTTTTTCATTTTCTATCTCTTCATGGTTTCCTTCATGTTGGTGAAGTCTCACCTGATCCCATTACAGCACAGATGAGGATCATGGAGTTATATTTGATCTCTGGAGCGCTCCTCTCGTCTGACAGCAGTTTGTGAAGCACTGACACCAGACTGGCACCGACAAAGTCTTTCTCAGCTGCAACTGGAACCAAGAAAGAAAAGTTATTGGAAATCTGATGCAGTGTTGATAGAGTTTAATGACTGATTCTTGAGGGTTTCATGACCACTCTGGCAACAGTTTAGACAAAATAATCTCACATTCAGTGCTTCATATTTACATGTGAAGCGCTGCCTTGTCTTATTGTGCTGCTTTCAGAGTCAGATAATGAGTTTGACTACCGAGTCTTGTTACACAGTTTTTGGTTTGACCCTTACAGGTTCTGCATTTTGGTCCAGTTGAATGCACAAAGCTGATGCAAATTGTCATGGAGGTTGTGATGATCTTTTGGTCATTAAAGGGATATTTCGGCATTAAGATTAATAGGGTCATACACTGTAACTCCGAGTTAGACAACCCCTTCAGGGATGAATGTTGCCAACTGCTTGCTTCTCTAGTTATACCAACTTCAACAACGACCGCATGATGGTAATACACAGCGGTCTACGTCTGCACTCGGTGATTGACTCGTCAGGGCTCCCCCACAAACAAGCGGCTGCTGGTGGAGAGTGGGTGAGTTGTGTTTAGTCTCTTTGCTAAAGAAACCAGACTAAGCTAAGAAGATGTTTGGTGGCTAGTACTTTGGCTGGGACCCTATATGTACTGTTGATGAAGTTAGGTGCTGTTCTGAGCATTATTTGTCTCTATAAAGTGGCTTTTTGGTTGAGGTTTGCGCATGGAGACATAGACCGCTGTGTATTGCTATCGTGTGGTCGTTACTAAAGTTGATATGACTAGAGAAGCAAGCGGCAACATTCATCTCTCGAGGGGGTGTCTAACTCGGTGTTACAATGAGTTTGACTTAAATTAATTTCACGCTGGAATATCCCTTTAAGATGGGACAAATTTGACCCATCTCATCATCAGTGACAATGGCAAGGAAAAACTTTCTTTTAACAGGCAGAAACCTTGGGAAGGACCAGACTCATGTTGGTCCAGACAGTCATTAAATAAACAGCATTAGAGAGTTGACTGTTTAAACTCCTGAAGGTGTCAAACTCTCTTGTTCTTACCCAGATCCAGCCCTGCTATGAGACCCAGAGCCACGAGCGCTTCATTCTGCATGATCATATGCTCACTAGTTGCCATGGTAACTAAGTGCTTGACGCCTCCTCCCTGGATGACTGTTCTGACCACTTCCTGAAATCCACAAAACACAGACACATGATTAAAAAAAACGCTGCTTCAGTCTCTGGTTTGAATCCATTTCTGCTTTTGAAGAGATCTGAGAACCCTCTGGCTGCTCTCTGAAGACCTCATTAAAGCAGCCCAGTGAAATTAAGGCCCATTTACTGGTTCGCAAACAGTTAGCAGTAAATGTGTGAATTGTTTACAGCCAAATTAAAGGGTGATGACGTGGCTGGATAACCACAGAGGTGTGTTACACCCCTCCAGATATGTCTGTAAATAAAGATTCAAAATTACTTTTCCCCACAGCTGTGAAACAACGGTTAGGTGATCCATTTAAATCCACCGTGGATGAAGACGGAATAATCTGTCAACTCTGCATTATAAAAACACTCCACTGAGCTGCGTGTCTGACCTTTGACTTGCTGTGTCGGATGAGCGCAGACAGGAGTCTGTTGGACTCGCCCATCACTCCTGCGTGATCTTTGGCTTCACACCACTCGACTAACCGCTCCACCAGCTTCCCGTTGGTTCCCAGCTGGTCTGCCGCTTCAGCTAAACACAGACACAAAAAAACAAAACGTGTTTAAATGAATTTATCCTGGAGTTTACTGTCACTAAAGTCAAGTCTCACTTCTTGAAAAAGCTCAAACAGAAGATTGAAAACACACACACAGATTTTCTCCGCAGATGAGCCAAAGAAGCAGCTTTTCATTCCACTCTGATTATCAACGACGTTTGGTACATGAAACCATCTGTCCAGAGTCAGGACGGGAGCTTTAGTTACCATATTTGCATTTTCTATGACTCAGATTATTATGAAACCAGAATTTAACCAGAGCTGATGGAAAAAAAAAAAAAGATTATTTAACAAGCTGCTTCACAGACTGTGAGCTATTAGATCAGATTGAGCTAAGCTAGTCCGCACCTTGTGTATCGATGAGCATACGTAACGTCCCGAGCAGCTTAAACTGGACTGGAGGCATCTCGGACTGTAAAAACTTCAACACCACATCTGCTACTCCGGCTGAGAGCATCTTGGATTTGTTCACCACTGCAGGGAGGAAACATGAGAAGTTATTCAACCACTGTTTCAATTATTATGCAGAGACCCTGGAGTGGATTGTGGTGCAGCAGCTTACCTGGGATGGCCAGGTTCCTCAGGGCGCTCAGAGCTGCATGTTGGACGGTGACGTTTCCTTCCTCGACGTGTCGATCCAGCAGCTCCAGAAGCTTCTGCACGATCCCGGTGTCCACCATGTGGATACAGTTTCCATCTGCACACAGGGGTTAAAGTTTTAGTTTTCTCTCCTGTTACTAGTTTGACCTGTAATCATTTCTGTAAGATTAAATCAGCAGCATCGTGGTCACAACTACTACATCCCTTTCAGTAGTTTTTCTGTCTTAAATGAGTTTTTCTTTGATTTGTTCTGTCACTTCAGCTAATAAAAACAAAATTAAAGTGTTTGGAGATATTTTTCCTTTTATTTTACTGCTGAAAAGGTCCCACTTCACATTTAGACGCACCCCTCTAGAACCTGATCTTAACCTCAACATGAAGAAAATCTCACCGTTGCGAGCAAAGTTAGCGATGGCGAGGGCCCCGGCGAGCTGCAGCTGATGGTTGTGAGACGGGATCCAGGACAGAACTCTCTGGAAGACGCTGCCCTTTCCTCCTTCAAACAGCTTCTGCATGGACTCATCTGCACGACAGGGAGAGGACATACTTGAACTCAGTCTGTTCAATAAGTCAAGTCAAGTCAAGCTTATAAGCCCCTTCAAGAAGACAGCAGTCAATCAAAGTGCTGTACATAGGATAAATAAAAAGTAGATAAATAGAGAGATAACAATAAAATTTAAAACAGTGGAATAAAATACAGACAGTAAAAGAATAAAAGCTACAGCGCCTATGATTCGTGTGAGCTTATTTATGAAACACAAGGGAGGAAAGGTGGGTCTTCAAGGATGATTTCAAAGTCTCAAGGGTCTGCAAGGCTCTAAGACGGCCAGGTAGACTGTCAGAGTCTAGAGAAGACCAGGGAAGACCTTCATATTTCAGCAAGCCTATGACAAACCACATTCTGACAACAGGGATTACAACACCATGGCTCTGTAGTAGAAGAGTCCTGCTGATGAACTAGCCTGGCTCAAAATCTGCGTTATATATCAGTCGATTCTTGTACTTGTAAATGAGGCTAAATTGAGGAAAACCTCTTCCTATCTCTAAATTAATAGTTAATATGTGATATATAATGAACTCTGTCTGACATTATGAATAAAAAGTGAACATTATTGCATTTGATGAAGCAGATGTCATTGCAGAGCTGCTGTACTGGATCACATTGTATAGTGCGAGTGTACCGAATGAACCCTGCTGTCTATAATCAGCCCTGAACCATGTCGTCCAAGCTGCAAAGGCTCTATTATGTATATTAATAACACGCCATGTTCAGGTTCAGCATGCTGCGATCAATTATTCAGATAAAGGTTGAATTATTAATATTCAGCATCACGCTGGACAGAGGACATTTATATTCACGGTCACTCAACATAAATGAAGTTTTTCTGCTGTTTGATGAATGTATGAATTTTTAACAGCTGTTACTAAAAGTTGTTTGTCATTCACTCACACAGTAGCTCACAAAAATGGATTCATATTTTTTTTGAAGATACATGTCACTGTTGGTTAAAGGGGCTGATATTTGGAGTTTTTACCTCCCAGCAGCAGGAGGACCATGAGGTCTGAGGCCGTCTTGAGCTGGGCGATGTCTTCCTCTCGCTCTCCGTCCACAGTCTGAGCCACCACCTGCAGCAGACACTCCACCAGGCCGGCCTCCACCAGCTGCAGCTTTATCACATCTGGGAGGAGACGGTCAGAGAGGAGTACAGTCAAACACGCCGCTGCTGCTGCTGCAGCTGCAGCTGCAATGCAGTGCTGCATCATATGAAATGCATCACATGGGAGTCGTCATGGCTCTGCATACTAACAGGACTGCAGAGCACATGAAGCATCATGAAGACATGTCAGTTTGTACAGCAGCATCTAACCAAAGTTTCACCCATCAGCAGGTTGCCAAACAATGTTTATATGCAAATATCTGAGTCTGAATGCACTGATGAAAACACTTTGTGCATTTTTGATTCCGTCTTTTCACTTTTGCAAGAATGTAGATTAAAATGAGTAATGCTGCTAAGAAAGCTTCAGCCTGGACATGTGGAAAGAAATATATGAATGTGGGAACCGTTACCGTTTATCAGCTACTGTTTGATCACTTCAGAGAGGGAGAAACCGCTTAAAGCAAACAGTATCTCTGTCATCCAGCAGAGATGAAGAGCAGGAAATAACATTTACTGCTGGACTGGACTCTATTTCAGAGGCGCCTGTTTTTTTTTTTTTTACTGGACTTTTTTTATCACGATACTATTCCCATTTTATCAGGCACATAAATATCATGGCTGTAAGCACAGAATATGGCAGCACCTGCAGTAATCAAATAATGTCTTAAAATCATCAGATACACCCCATTGAATGCCGGCCGTCATGGTTTTATTTTACATGTGAGATTATAAGATCTATAAAAATCTGATCTATTGGGTATGCCAAGACCCCCACTTTCACCTGCCCCCAGGTTTACACTGCACGCAGTCCCTTTGCCTGCTCCTGTATGTGGTGGATCCATCTTTTCATGCAAGCCCCGCTATCAGACACTGACAATCTGCATTTCTTTATTTTAGTTAAGGCAACTGGCTGTTCTTCTCAAATAACCTTAGATGGTATTTATGACTCTTTAAAGTAAGATAATCATTCTCCTGTGTAAACTTAATAGGAGTGGGAATCACTAGTGGCCCCATGATACGTTATTATCACAATACTTGGGTCACAATACGATATTATCACGATACAATACAGTATTATCACGATACAATAGTATCACGATACTTAGGCCACGATACGATATTATCACAATACGATATTATCACAATACAATATTATCGCGATACTTGGGTCACAATACGATATTATCACGATACGAGACAAATATTATCATGATAGATGGGCCACAATACGATATTATCATGATACTTGGGCCACGATACAATATTATCACGATATTTGGGCCACAATACAATATATTGCCATTTTTAACATTTTGCGATACAGTGAATATTGCGATACAACATATTGCAATTTATACAATTTTTTTCAACTGTTTAGCTAATTTAGCATTTGTCTTTCCATTATGTTTGTCTTATTTACATTGTTATTTATTTTCATGTAGAAAAATAGAGCTACTTTAGATGCCCTGATGTTTGAACAAAGACATGAAATGCAGGGAAATCACCCCTAAGGAGTGATTGTCCTTAAACGTTCACACTGGTTGATCCAAACTTCCTCAAAAACTTTCTGTGCACCTGAGAAGGAAAAGTCTGGGTAAAGTCAGAGGGAAAGGCGAGGCTGTTTGCCTTCATATTTGGAGCTAACTTTTCAGGATGAATGTGTGAACTAAAGCTGTTTTACAGTCTGACTACAGTTCTGAGAAAAGCTCCCATGATCCTCCTCCTTCACATTTACGTTTTACTTTTAAACAACTGTCCTCTTAGCAAAACCCTAACCCTGTACTACAAGAGCGTTTTAGAAAAGTGCATTTCAAAGTAAAAGCACATCTCCTGTTGAACAGTTCTGCATCATCTTTCTCTTACCATCACAGCTGTGAGGCTTTCAGAGGTAACTGTTCATTTGTGTGCCGATAAATCTGATGAACAACATGTAGTGTGACAAATGAGAGAGATGGAGAGGCAGACAGAGAACAAGGTTTCTCTGGAGTGGAGTTAAGTAGGACGTTGTCCTGGAGACTGACGATGTACGAGCACCCAGAGAGCCTTGAACGGCGATAACGACAGGCAGCGCACACACATGAAAACACACAGACACACACACAGACACACAGACATTCTTAAAGCTTTAAAGAGAGCAGCTGAGCAAATGCAGGATCTGTCTGCCATGACTGTGCAGTCTGCAGCAGCATGACTCACACTCGGAGGATAATTTACTACAGAGTAGGTGGACATAGTTTCATTTAAATGCATGAGAGGACACTGCAGACTCTCACTGCTTTGTGTTTTATCTCCAGACTTCTCAGACAGTGAGCATGGCCTTTTGTTTAATGATATACAAAAAAGAAAGAGAAATCACGTTACCGTTTTCTGCCAGAGGAGCCAGAACCTCAAAAATCATCTCCTTCTTCTCGTGTTCTGTCTGCTTCTGGAAAAGACGAACCAGCTCCTCAGCGATGTTGGTGGAGGCAAACTGCTCTTTGCTGGACTCTGAACACAACACAGAAAAATCCTCAGTGAGTCATGACAGAGAAGAAAGCCTCCCTTAGTTCTACCTTTTGTGTATTTTACCTTTACATAAAAAAAGAAAATTAAAGCGAATGAAGTTTAATTTCTGCAGATAAAATGTTTATTTTAGGTTCGTAGCGTGATAGTATCATGAGTCAGGTACTTATATGGACTCACCAAGCTCTGCCAGATTCCCAAAGGCAATTAGACACATTTCTGTCAGGGCTGTGTTGTGGGAGTGGATGCCGAGCAGCTTTACTAGAGTGGGAATCACTCCCATGTTGATCAGCTGGGCTTGTAGAGAATCTGCAAAAATACAAAGACACAAAAGATAAGACAATGATCTCTTACTCGAAACACAATGCAGAGGTTAAGAGGTAAAGACTGGACTTTGAATTTTTACATAAAATTAAACATAACTGTGAGTGAATTTTTCCAAAATGTCATCTTAAAGCCATCCAAACACCAGCAAAGCAGACAATCCCATAAAGGGACCTTAAAATGAGAGTGCTGATCAACTCACTGAGGTTTCTCACTCTTTACATTAAATAAACACTTTTAATATAGATAATATTGTTGAGCTCTCTAAGTTTAGAGTATTAGAGCTGCATTTAAGAAATAAAAAGAGAATAATGTTGTAATTTCACATAAAAAATTGGAATATTTACAGGAAGATGTTCTGATAATTCTTCAGACAGGCCATTTATTTTCAAAAGGTTTTTAAATTTAAAAAGTATTTTGACCTTTTTACTAAAACAAACATGACTTTATTCTTTATGAGCAAGATATTCAACTTTTTAAATTTCATTCTTTCAAACCTGCATAAAGCAGTTAAACACCCACAACATGACAGTAGTAGTCAGAGTTTGACGGTAGGTGGTAAGAAGCGGTGGAGCTATCAGACACACTCGGAGGGCATAAAGGAAGCTTTAAGATGTTTTTTTCTGTCTCAGACCTGAGTGAATGAAAAGATGTTATATGAGCGTAACAGAAAAGAAAGGGACAAAGTCTTAAGAGCACCACTCAAAAAGATCTTTTCAGATCCTTGTTGAATGTCAAGATGACCTCACAACACCAGGACAAGCTGAGCCCCAAAAAGCCATAAAAGAGAAAGGCGACAAAACAGTGGTGTTTACAGACCAACAAAGCCCCAACAGAGAGTTTACAAAGTGTGTGACGAAATAAAGGGGAATGGAAAATTAGATTCAAGATTATTAAGATGATAACAAAGAAAAAAAAACAACAGGTAAAAACTGGGATATCTGTGGGTCACATGGAGACAAGAAAACATCATCAAGCTGCTTCAACTTCTCCAAGACTTCAGTTTTTCCTCTACGTCTACTCAATCAGGAATATTCCAGACAAAGGATGTTTGGTACTATGACAATGATTCATTCATGATGCAAAGGTAATGATGGCTTCTGAGACCAGAAAGGAGCTTCAGGATGTCAGCTGCATGGAGCCAACTCAGAGGTACATGTGAAGCTTGTAGAGAACAGGTAATGTGAGGAAGACACCGCTTAATAACCTTTAACACAAACAATTTAATCATGAAAAAACTGTGACAGTGAAAACTGTCTGCAGCCTTTTTGTTGGGAATTCAATAAAGCTATAAAATAATACTTGTTACTATGGTAATATCTAATGGGGATCCTGAATAAAACTTTAATAAAGCCAGCTGACAGTAGTTACAGCTGCAAATTATGGCCTTTATGGATATATGAGAGTGGACTTTCATGTATCCTCTTCACTGATCGGATGCTACAGCAGCAAGGACTTCACTAAGAATAGATGGGGCTTTAAAAAAGCCTGAGCCTTGAAACTTATGAACACATTGTTTTTTATTTGTCATAAACTGGTAATAAAAAGAGTTTGACCAAAGAACTGAATATCAAACAAAACGCCCATAAAAGCTTTAAAAATAATAATCCTCTCTCAGTTTGATTTCTAATTTGTTTCACCATCTAACAAATTATTAGTCACATATCCTTAATATCTTCAGGATAATAGATAATAATTTGATTTTGTTTGGATTATCAGTTGTTTCTCCTGCTAATGTTACTGTGAGGTAAACTTAGCTCTGCCTTTAGGATTAGGAGTCAGTCTGTTTAAGCGATTATCTCTGTTTTCATTCACTGCAGTCTTGAAATTTCTATTCGACCAATTAGGCGAATTACTTATAAGTCTGAAAAGTAAATGTCACCTTATTCTAGGGCTGGGTGGTAAACCAAAAATTTACAGATACCAAAATTTACAACAATATCAATGTTATTTTGCCCATATGGGTATATTTGGTGTCAAAAAAATAAATAAATGAAAGTTGGTTTTGGATGTTTGTAGGTAGGCTCTGGTCTCATGTCTCTTTAAGATGCCGTCCTACGTCAGAGACGTGACTCCACCCCATCCAGGACAGTGTAGCGGCTGGAGCAGCGGCTGAAGTTGACGAAGTTAATGTGGGTGGTGGTGAGCAGTTTGTGGAGTAGTTATCGTCCATTTATCATTATCGAGGCGAACTGCTCAATATTTCGTGATATTGATTTGAGGTCATATCACCCAGTCCTACTACATTCTTCGCTTTATTGTTTAACTGCATTGCCTTACCTGTGTAAATGGTAAGATAGGAACGAAAACACTATTTTTTGAGACACAAAAACTAGCAGTGGACAAGCCAATACTTCTCGCTCTGTGAGGTAAGATGATGTTTGTATCAACGGACTATGACGGCTCTGATGAAAACGATAAAAGGGCTGTTTCTTTCTGCAAGGTTTCACCTTCAATCTCAATCTTTCTTGAGCAATGAGAATGTATTTGCATTAAAAGGTGATAACAGAAGGATTATATCTGCATTTGAACTAAAAAGGTGGTTGTCTCTGAGATATTCTGTGTCTTTTTCCTCAGGGAGTCTTTTTAACTGATGGGAGTTGATCCAGTGTGAGTAAGCGGGGAGTTGTCACATCATTAACTATATATGAAGAGTCAGCTAGGTGCAGAAAGCTGCTGAAAGCTGCAGAAAGCCACAAAAACTCATCCACTCTGTCAGTGCAACCCAAAGCCTCTCATCAATCAGCCAAACACATCAGAGACTGGTGGAGAGCCAAAAGACACCTTGGCAGGAGGTCTGAGTCTGTCAGATCACACACTGTCTGCTCTCAACAAGCCTGTTATCACAAAGACACGGAGTGCAGGAGAGTCCAGGAAACAAGCTGAATGCAGAGACACAGAGGGGGGGAGGATCACCTCTTCCAGTTTCATAGACTGAGAGAACAGGTACACATGGAAGTTCATTGAGTAATGTTAGAGAAATATTTCAGAAAGTGTCGCAGGAACATGATGAACAAAGAGGAAGATGGGAGAAAAAGCTTACTGGAAGTGTGTAAACTCTAACAAGAGGACAAAATATGTCCAAAAAACACAAAGATTATGTTCAATAAAATACAACAAGAGCTTCAGATGTAAAGACTCCAGCTAAATTAGCACCACATCTTTAAATAACATTTTTATCGATTTACATTAAACAGTTTCACAACCTCAACCCTGATTAAACAGCATCAACTCACAAATCGGATCAGGACCTGGTATTGAAAAATACTTAGTATTACAAAAGCCTCCAGTCTTGAAAAATGAAGCCAACATCAAAGTGCTAAAAACTGCAGTTCCCTGCGTGTCCACTTGAGACTATCTGCAGAAGCATCAAAAACCACATACACACTGAGCCAAAACAGACGTTTTTTGTTTTAGAGCCAAATTAAACACGTCTATGACCTGAAGCACCCACTGTACCGGAAGTTTTTTGAGTTTGTTCTGAAGTTATTAAGGGATCAGAAGTACAGCAGGTTCACTGAAAATCAGGTTGAGTCTGCATCATAAACAAATGGGTAACATAAATGAGGCTACACGTTCGTTGTGCAGTCTATGGTCAGGACATCCCTACAAGTTACTTCATTAATGTGGACCTGACTTTGGCCAATCTCTGTAAACTGATTCCACATTTTTTAATTTTCCTGCAGACTCTGTCATCTTTTATTTGTGTTTAGTAAGCTGTGTTTGATTTCTAATGTTTTCCTCACTTTCCTTTAGACTAGAAGGTTAGTCAGCATTTAAATCTCTGTTTAAGTAACCAGAGGCTTAGTCACTTCTAACATTCCTATATCTTAAAACACTGGTGGTTCATTTTTAAAGCAAACACACAGTTTTCTCTTTAAAGATTGTTTTTGCCAGTTACCTCTGACAACAGAAACTACAGGTGTCCCAATACAACTTTTTTACCTCCTATAAGATACCGGTACTGTAGCCTTCAATATTGGTTGATACTGATATTGATCCAATATTAGCATAACCTTGTGCATAATAAGTTTCGCACTCAGCTGCAACGTCTTTTTCAGACTTAAATGAAAAATACTGCCATAGGGTCGAAATCACTACTACTCCTTGCTACTTTGTTCGTACCTTAGGATCCAGGTGCTGATATTGGAGATTTTAGATGCAGGCCAATATAATCCGATATTTCACTTTTTGCTGATATCGGACAGATATCTGATATCAATATCGTATCGGGATATGCCTAACAGAAACCAAAATGAAATAGTAGAGGTTTGGAGACGACAAACTGTGAAACAGTCAGTGTTTTTCAGTGGTTACATCTACCTTTACCAATCTATGCAGTCGCCACCAATTTTGACTTGATAAAGGTGTTGGAGCAAACATCAGAGGGGTGCCAAAGGAGCCAAATGTACTAAAATGGCAAATAAATGGATGCACCAATTTGATGCCTTCAGACAGTTGTTGTGATACCTAACCAGACAAATGAAGCAACATCACTCTCTATACTAGCAAGGAGAGAACTAGCTCAAGATTCTGACAGAGGATGGAGCAGGGGTACTGCAGCTACCAGACAGGACTCTCAGCAAATATTAATAACTGGAGATTACCTCAGAGGTGAAGATGGGAAAGCAACAGAAAGCATGATAGAAAGATCAGGAAAAAGTCAGTCTGAGTGACCAAAAGTCTTCTGTTTCAGTTAGACAAAGCTGCCCAATGACAAAAGAAAAAACCATGAGACATCGTCTGTGTAGAAGAAAGAGAACATCCGCTGATTAGTTGTGATTAGTCAACAGTTGTTCTTTGGGGGTAGATGGTCATTACCATTATCATTGCTATAGTTCATCAGCATGCCACAAAAGACAGTCAAGAGCTTCTCATTTTCCGGCTCAGTATTTTGGTAGAGGGATTTAATGTGATCAGCTACTATCTGAGCCCCTCCTGCCAGGTCAACTGCACTCCTGCCCTCATCTGCAAAACAAAGAGGCCAGGACACAAATCAACCACAAAGCAAAGGGAGAAAAATAAATCAAAAGAAAAAAAAAGAAACCACAACCTGAAAAAAAACATGTAAAAGCATTGTAAAGTAAGCAGTACAAAACATACAAATCAATGCAAACTGAGGCTAAAAAAACAGTCATAATGGAGAATAAAACAAGTGCACCAGAAATCATCATGACCTGAACCTTATGACAGAGAGTAAATCCAGGTTTAGGTTTACAATGAGGCTCATATTCCAGCTGGTCGGGGTTTGTTATTCTTTAATTCTGTTCAGAAACTCATAATCTCAGTGTGACAGCAACAGTAAGCGGCAGGATGGTACACACTGTTGTGTACTAAGAGAGCAGAGCTGTCATTGAGTGTGTTTGTGTGTGTGGGGGAAACTGATAAAATTATAAGTTGAACAAATACCTGTAAGCTGTCATATATTGGAGAACTTGAAGTTTATGCAAACTTACAAAAACTGAATGAACAGATGGATGACACAACATAATAATGAAAGTAGAGCTGCTGCAATAAACTGGTATAAAGATGATAACCATTGTTATTAAAAAAAAAAAGAAGGAAAATATTGATACTGTGCTAAGAATAAGCACACAGTAACACCATTAACTCATGGAAATGGTACTGTAAATGTGCTGGTTGTCAAATCTCGTAAAACTGTGGAAAAATAAAGAAGCAGCAGCTGCTAGTGAGCTAGCTTTAGCATCCCTCTGAGTGATAATTAGACACTTCAGAATTATTGTGAATCCAAAAGCTATACTCACCTTTTTAAAATTGTTTTCATTTAGCTCTGTAACTTATGATCTAGCTCAGTGGTTCTCAAGTCCAGTCCTCGAGGCCCCCTGTCCTGCATGTTTCGGATGTTTCCCTGCTCCAACACACCTGATGCAAATGATCAGCTCGTTATTAAGCCATTACAGAGCTTGATAACGAGCTGATCATTTGAATCAGGTGTGTTGGAGCAGGGAAACATCCAAAACATGCAGGACAGTGGGCCTCGAGAACTGGACTTGAGAACCACTAGTCTTCCAAAACATGGCAGAATGCCGACTATCGAAAAGCATATTGACCATGTTTTATATCGAAGGAAATTAATTTTCGACATACAGTATATTGTTATCGTTTTATCGCCCAGCCCTAGGTGGAAGTCAAATACCCTGACAGCCCTATTAGAAAGGATAACATATGTCAGTGTTTTCAATAAACCCCACCGACTACACGCTTGGTGACCACCTCCGACGGTCACAGGTATGATGTCGCTCTGTTGGAGACACTCCATTAGATAATATGACAGTCATTATAAAATGCGCGGTCGTAATTCATCATTTTCAAACATAAGTCCTTTTAGGAGAGCTCTGACTTTGGCTCTCCCTGCACACTTCAGATAATAAAATCAATTTGTTGCAGCAAAAGCATTAAACAAAATCAAAGTACAGGAGTTTATAAGAAAAAGAAGACAAAGACAGAAACTTAAATCAACAGATCTTTGACACCAGTGGTGTTTGGCATAACTGAGCTTTTGCTGCTGAGTCTGTTTTCATATGAACCCCTTTAAAGACCTGAATGTTTTACCACTGAGAGAGGAGAAATCCCCAGCAGTGCTGACGGTCTCTCCAGGAGGCCTTTGTCTGGTACAACAGCTGCCAAAGGAAGCGTTACATGAGTCAGCCCTCACTGTTTCAGTGCGTCTGCTACTTTCATTCACTGGTGGCTGCGTGCCACGCCTCAGCAACACCGAAACACACCATGTGGAGAACATTTCCACTCTCTCCCCTGCTATTGTGCTCTATACGCTCCATTTACAGCACTTTGAAGGAAAAACAAAGTTGAGTGGTTCTTTAGAAAATATTAAAAAGCCCAACAAAAACAGAATAAGAGAAACTTAAATAGAGAATATCCTTCTGATATGAAAAATGCGTAGTCTAGACATGAAAACCACAAATGTCTGTTTTCACTGCACAGTTTTGAACACTTTTATATCTTACTTTTAAAGCCCCTGGATGCAGAAATACTGCCGTTCACAAGTTTTTCCTTTTTCAGTCTGCTTCTTCATTAACTGATTTTTCCAAACACTTAGACGACTCCTTGTATCTACTAAGTACCAAATCTGATTCTGAAGATGCTGCAAACATGAAAATTCCCTGAAAATATCCTACACTGAACTGTGGGGTATGGAAATTCTGCATTAAGACTAGAGACTGATTCATACTTCTGGATTGAATTTGAATCCCATTTCCTACGAGGGCTGCTCAATAATGGCAAAAAAATATTTTTTTGTCCCTTGGTTTTTCAGACACACACCTGTTTCCTCCAGCTCCCTGCTCTCCTCTCTCCACCATTAGGAGCAATAATCGTAACTGAAATAGAAACTCGGTTGATCGTACAGCTCTATTTTTGCATTTATTCATTACAGGCATCTCCTTCAAATGTCCAACTCCAAAATATTCCACTTGAATTCTCAGCTGCAGTAAAATCATTCTGTATGTTTTTGCATCTTCAGTGAATCTCCTTTTTTAATCTAATTGACGTGGTTACTACCAAGACGCTGTAAACGGTTCAGCCTATGGTAAAATCCTGAACACTGGAGAGCCTGAAAGTTGGCCTTTTTTCTGAGAGCTGTATGTTGTTGTCAAATAACAGCTAATCGGTTATACTTGGTATAAAGGGGATTTCTAAAGCACAGTGAGGCTTCTTCTTCAGGATATTAAATAAGCTGAACAAATGACATGTTTTGCGAATCAAACCCTTGAAGCTTTCTATAGAAAGATTTCTAAATACAGTAGCAGAGAAGTTAAATCCTGTTCCATCATATTGTGCTGAGACAGCTAAGGTCCACCATATTACAGTGTTTCTTTAAGGTGGCGAGCAGCTGCCTCTCCACTCCTCCCAGAGAGCCTTTCATAAATCCATGCCAGCTCTCGCTGAGACCCCCCTCCACTCCAACAAATGTCACTTCCCACTAGATTCCTGAGACGCCCGGCTTTTCAACACGAGCAGAAACCATGCAGCAGAACTGACAGCTGTGATTAAAGCCTGAACGCAGGCTGCAGAATCAGGATTAAACTCTGCGGCTCCTCCCTGAGGTACACAATCAAACCCTCCATGAGTTCATTCATGTCCTCTCTAACGTCAGAGGTGCTCTGGAGCATTTTTTTACAAATACGAAACACACTCCTATAAAATTATCTGTAACATTTGGAAGTTATGAATTCACATAAACCTTTTTAAATGAAAAAAGATATTCATGTGAAAAAAAAACACTCCTTTTTTCAACCTTCAACACAGAAACCAGAGTTTACAGATGTTTTATTTTATACTCGCCTTTTTTTAAGGGCTTGAATAAATGCTGAATGGGTTAAGCTCTTGTGTTTGGATGTAATTTGATGTGAGTATGCATGAAGATATAAACAAGAGCTTCAGAAATCTTTACCCTGTGTATTTTTCTAATTCAGGGCTGAATAAAATACAAATGTACTATCTGCGACATGTTACTGGCTAAAATAAGCGTATTCATGAGATTGTAGTGTGGATGGAATAATGAAATTAAATGTGACTTTCCTAGCACTTCTTTCTTCTCATAGTTTTAGGTGAGTGGGCTGAGATCCAAAAGTCCTTTGCAGCTAAATTTGACCAAATTCATTCTACTTCAAATCATATGTCATGTAATTGTTTTATTTATCTACTGCATAAAAAACAACAACAACATGATATTACTATTATATAAAGGCCATCAGCTGACCTCCTCTCACATTACCAGCATCAGTGTTTTAATAATTAAAATCTCTAGAGCCCTAATAACACTCAAATGCTGCTAATACCTGCCCACCTTTAGCAGTAGTGATGATCTAATTATCACTGAACCGCGGCTGTATACTCTGGTCTACTGGGTCACTTTAAACCCGGTCCTCTTCATTTTGGAAAGCTGCACACTGAGGCTTGTATTTTATGCGGTCAATGGAAGCTTGATTAACCTTTAAATCTAACTTCGGTTCAGGTTACTGTATCTTTAGTGTAACTGTAGTAAAGTGGCACACAGATGTGTTCATTGGAGACACCCTCACTTCCCATCTTCTTTGTTTGAGGTGACTGGTACAGGGAGTAAATAGTAAAATGGACTGCCGACTCATGACGCGACTCATGGTGATCACGCTTGTGCGCTATGGCTGTGATTTTTTTTACCTTAAATGCAAGAACTTGTTATAACTGGAGGAAACGTTTGTATTCTAACTGAAATGAGCCATTTGAAATCAAAACATACAGCTGATGAGTACCTTGAGCTGTCTGAGGTAGTTATCCCATGATCCAGCAGAGGGCACTGTCATCGCTACCTGTCCACGAAATGGCACTCTTGCAGGGCTGTAGAGTCCTAGTCGACTGGTCGATTTATTGGTCGATACATACTGAGTTGACCGAAATTCTGTTAAGTCGACTCGATTTTTTTCCGCATCAATTTATGGTTAATTTCATCAGGAGGAACAGCCTGTCTCAGACACCCCCCCCCCCATGTTTTCACCATTTTGGATTCGCCCAACCCACCGGAGACTGGCTGGAGACAGGAAGATTGAAGGGCATCCACGCTAATCGATGCTCCTTGAATTGCCTTTTGTGTTTAATTGCCTTTTTGTGCTGATATCAGTATATTTTCATCCCACCGAGCCGCGTCGTCCCCCTCCACAGAAGGGTTTGCCATTAGAGTTAGAAAAATCCTAAAAATGTAGCTGATTTTTGGTCGAAAATTTAAGGGATTAAGTCGACCAAGAATATCAGTACATTAAATGAATAAAGTGATGATTTTCTACTGCAATCAAAGTCGCCCTGAGTGTACAATCATGGCACCAGAACATCTGAGACGCTCCTTGTGGACGTGTTTTGGGCTCTACACCATTGGGTAAATGTATTTGAACATGCCATGTTTCAGAACTACTCAAAGCTGACTCTTTGAAAAAGGGACAGCCCTATTGTGCCCTCGGCGTATTTGTAGCTGGTTTGTTTAGTGAGGAAATCCTTTTAGACCTGAAACTTTTGATTTTATGGGTTTGTGAGGATTTCTTTGGATGATTCAGCTCCTTGTAAAAAAGTCTTGGAGAAAGATGATCACTTTTTCAGTCTTTTTCAGCCTCGGCTTGTAAACCCTCTGCCTTTCGCTCTGTTGCTGTGGTGGTCTATGTGCAACGACGCATTGAGAAACAAACGTGCCTAATTTTGGTTTTCAAAAGACACTGTTAGGGTCAGCCCTGGTCTTTCTGAGAGCATCTTTTGCACCTTGTTGTGTTATGGTTGCATGCACCTAGCACTGATTTGCATTCAAATGTAATGCCCCTCTGACTCTAAAATAACTACTACTATGGCTCAAACTGACTTCAATAAATGAATCAAAGCTGTAGTGTTTCCAACCTGCAGTCAGAAACTGCCCTCCACTCTGTGTGTCTGCAGTATTTCCCTGCATGCACTGCAAGAAGCCCTGAAAGGTTTTTTGTCTTTGAAACACATTATTAAAGATCAAAGCTGGGTCTGCTGCAGCATCTTTTTTTATGACTTATTTTCCATTAGCTCTGTGATGGTGATGACAAGGCTCATGAGGGATTTAGTGTTCCCTCAGAAAAACAAACTCCTACTTACGGCTGTCGTAACAGATGTTGCCAAGAGCTCTGCCGGTCTGCAGTAAAACCTCCTGATCGGTGGAGTTTAACAGCTGAATTAGAGGAGGGATGAGGCCGGCTTCCACACAGGGACTCCTCATGAACTCTGGAGAGAAAGACAGGAAAGCAGCTCAAAATAAAAACTTTGAAAGGGAAACTTTTGGAATGGAAGTAATGAGCATGAAGCTGACCTGATCTTTATTTGTCATAAACACATAAAAAAAACTGGATAGCTAGTACTAGGACGATATGTTCTTCTCCCAATTCGATTCTTCTACGATTTTTTGGATGCCAATTCAATGTTAATTGCGATTCTACGATATTTTTAATTTTTAATACCATATTTTCCCAAAAATTACACATCACATTTAAGTAAGTTTTTAAGATTTGTTCCTAAATTTGAGAAAAAAATCGATTTTTGAACATAAAAATCGATTTAAAATTTGTAAAACAAAAAAACGGCGATACTTATGTGAATCATTTTTCCCCCCACCCCTAGTAGTTTGTGGTTCTTTGTGTGGAGATGACCAAACTGTAACCTTGCACTCATACGGGCAGCCATGTTGGATCACCTGCATTTCAGACTTTCTGTGAATTACACAGATTTTATAAAGAGGTTTCCTCATTAAACCTCGCCCTGTGCCTCTGTATACAATCGAGTGGGTTCAAACTGTCAGACAGAAAGGCGGTCGTCTTTAGCCCGGCAGTCACTTGGCTGCTCGCAGACATTTCCGGAAGCGGTGACAGATAAATGCCAGCGGGCTGCTGCCAAGCTTGGCAAACTGCTGGGGAGTGATCATTAGCTGCAGTCTTGCAAGCTTCTAAAAACCCATTCATTATCCCGAAACCTTTTCTTCCCCGAGTTCAATTTGTGTCGGCTTTTTTTTTACTCTAAAAGCTCCTGAGCTCTCACTGAAGCGTTAGAGAAATGGACGCTCTCTGACACAGCAGTTATGCAAGGTTTTTGAGTCCTTACACAATAACCTCTCAGTCAGTGACAGCTTAGCTCTGAAATGCCAAGCAAGGCCGCTACAACCAGCCGAGGTCTGAAATGTCCCGTCAATCAAACGTGTTACGGATTTATTCTCCGAATTTGTGATAAAACCACGACCAGCAAGGCCGCTCTGCTGTCCTACATCCACGTATTCAAGGAGAAAACTAAAAGGTTGAGAGCAAAAGGAGCTGTAACACTAAGCACAGATAAATGGAGGCATAGAGTCAGGATATTCTGGGCTGATGGGCTTGGAAACTGAACCTCACCGTTTTTGGCCACCTCAGCTATGATGTTGGCTACTTTGGGGGTGCAGGCGGACTGGGGCTTTAGCAGGCCGGGGAGCAGGGGGAGGATGGCCATCTCCTGGATCTTCATGCTGGCCTCGGTGTCTGCAGATGGAAACAAAATATGTCAATGACATAAAAGCATGCTGGAGCAGAGGCTGATATCATGATGTGTTTTTGTGCATCAACTCCTCATAACTTCTCATTTCACGAACAGCCAAATTTAAGAGTGGAAAATGCTCAACACTGCCAGATCTGTAAAGAGACGGATAAATGTGCTACTTTTATCGGTGCTGGCAGCATGTCTGTAAGCGTGGCAAAACTTTCTGACAGCCTACTGAGTAATTTTGGTTCAGCACAGTTTGGTACAGTGAGTCCTGATCTTGCTTGTATTTCCAAAGCTGACTTTACCCCATCCTGGTGCTTGGGGTGACTTTTGGCAAACATGTCAACAGATTTGACCATTCAGGCCGCGGCACATCTCACTGAATTATTAACCGCAAGCTGGGCAGATTTCAGCCCACAAGACGATGAAAAATGATAAACTGGAGGCTGTATTCACTCAATGTTCCTGAATACTTTTCAAAGGAGAAGCCTGATCTGCTTTTCTGGGGACAGACCTCTCCTGTTTTTGACACAACGCTTTTATTTTGAAGTCGTTTCTGGGGCAGTTACTTGGTATGATGAATTTAAGCTGTGGGTAAGCTGTGTTAATCATTCAGTAACACAGGGTTAATGTGAAATATTCCATTGTCTGCAATCTCTCTCTCTCTTTGCAGTCATCTCTGCGCCTCTCGCTCTGCTCAGCTGGAGTCTGTGTCGGAATAAAGTAGGGCTGGGCAATACGACCTCAAATCAATATCACGATATATTGAGCAGTTCACCTCGATAACGATCAAGCTGCTCACCCCCTCCCACATTAACTCCGTCTACTTCAGCCACCAGTCCAGCTGCTACAACTTTTGAACCGTCCTCCATCTCCTCACCTGTCTTTCCCTCTTTGTTACGGACTGAATGGGATGGAGTCACGTCTCTGATGTAGGACAGCGTCTTAAAGGGACATGAGACCATAGCCTACCTACACACTGACGTTACAACTACACGCAATCTGATTGGTCAGAAGTGGACACACAGTATGCAAAACTTTAGAAAAATCGACCATGATCCAAAAAAAAAAAATATGCCGCAATATCGTAGAACGGGAAAACGTCGCTGACGTGAACACTAGTATTGACAGGATACGGGTTCGAAAAACAATACTGATATCCGAAATAATCGCACGACAAAAACGGTCCCGGTGTGAAAGGACAGTGTGGGATCAATATACTCAGTGCCCCAACAGAGAGGTACCCAAAAAACGGTCCATTATTCAGTCCAGGTTGATTATTTGAGTAAGTTGTCAAACTTTTGGTGATAGAAGTATTTCCTGCAAATATTTTCTCACTGCAGAGATAAGATTAGAAAAACTTGGATCAGAATCGGGGGCAGATGAACTTCAAATTGGACGTCTCTGCTGGACTTAAAAACTCGATAGATGTTAATCCAGGCTGTACTCACTGTTGTTGGCCAGAGCTTTCAGCAGGCAGTCCAGGCAGCTCTCCACGCTGTCTGTGGCGCTGTCTGAAGACGCTAGCTTCAGCTTCTCCAGGGCTTCACTTAAGTTATCTAAAAACAGAGACAGGTCATGAAGAAAAACTAAGATTATTATTTCGGAGCTGAAACTCAACTGACAGATAAATTTAGAGGAAACAAGGAAGAACAAACTGCAGCAACATCAGGATGAAAGAGCTGCTGGACATAAAGTTTGCCGCTCTTGTCTTGTTTGTTTGGCGGCGTACATCTGTCTTTGTGTGATGATGTCTCCTTTTTCAAGTCGGTATGCTGCCCCTGCACCACAGGCACACATTACAGCTGTCACATGTTTCACCAGCAGATTCAACTTCCCCCCTGAGGTTCAGTGTACGGCTCTGGTAACAGTACACCCATTTATCATCACATGCTGTTCCTCTGACACGTCTAACATTACAATTAAAATCCTGACATAATGCAGAATGGCATATAGCTGGCATTAAGGTCAGACTGTGACTGAGGCTATGCTCTCTCCATTGACTGACTGCTTCAGTTTGACATTACAGGGGAGCGTAAGCGGCACATTACTTCAGCAGGCATCTCTCCAAATGCCTACAGGTGTTATTGTGGTTTTATTTACTCGTAATTAATATATCTGTAGGCCTGTGAATAACAGCCAAGCATTTAAGTAACCTTTGTTGAGTTTGTTGCCCTTGTCCTTAGCCTCCGCCTGCGTCTATTCTTCTAACAGAGGAACAATGTAAACTGGAGTTCATATGCAGCTTATTTATCTGGTTCATGTTTTCTGAAAAGTAGATCTAGTTGTGGAAAGGTCTTCAGGTTTTATTTTTGTTTGATTCTACATTTTTAGTGGATTTTGAACATTTTTATCTTTAAAAAAAAAGGAAAACAGAGTCCTTCTCAAAGCTATTGTGACACTTGGAAATCAAGTCAGAGTGTTTGGTCATCTCATTCAACTGCTGTTCTTCTGAAGCCACTGCCTCCTAAAGCATGGAAAGTAAGTAATTGGGAGAAAACAATACTGACTAAAAGTAGTAATGTAGGGCTGGGCGATACGGCCTCAAATCAATATCCCGATATATTGAGCAGCTCACCTCAATAATGATAGACGGACGATAACTACTCCACAAGCTGCTCATCCCCTCCCACAATCACTGTCTACTTTAGCCTCTCCAACTTTTGAACCGTCCTCCATCTCCTCACCTGTCTTTCCCTCTTTGTTATGGACTGAACGGGGTGGAGTCACGTCTCCGATGTAGGACAGAGTCTTTAAGGGACATGGGACCATAGCCTACCTACACACATATAAAACCAACTTTTATTTTATTCATTTTTTGACACTAAATACACCGACATAGGCAAAATGACGTTGGTTATTGTCGTAAATTTCGGTGTCTGTAAATTTTCTGTTTATTACCCAGCCCTATAGGAACACGTTAGAAGAATCATCAATTTAGCAACATTGCAAGAGCAAAAGTGTCCTGATATAATCATGGACCTCTAACAATATGAAACACTGGTCTTCCAGTGACAAAGTCAGAGGGAAGCTGGGACGACTGAAACCACTGTCCCATCATCCTTTGGTCTCTTTTAACAGCTTTCTTTTAGGGGTTGACCGATATCGGTTTTTCAGGGCCAATACTGATGTGCATTCATGGTAGTTGATGAGACCAATAATTGATATCTGGAACTGATGAAAGGGGTGGACTGATTACTGGCCTTTGCAGATATTTGGCATCTGGCAGATTGTCTGTATCGGCCTTCTATTATACACATGGCCTATTAAATTAGTTAGTAAAAAAGCTGCAGTGGCCCTGCTGCAGGAGCGTCTCTCCTTCTTCTTGGTCGGTTTCCTTGCACCACTTTGTCTCACTTTCAAATCTATCAACACTACCTGATTGTCTCGACCCAGCAGGACTGTGTGACATCACTGTATTGAACTGGTTCACTGTTTATGATGTTGAACTCTTAAGTTTTGACTAAACATTTGTTCAATAAAAGCAACTATCATATTGAACATTTCTGCAGACATATCAGCTGAAAAGGGTGATGCATTCATTCTGATAAATCTTGTAGATATGGGCTGCATCCAAGTTTCAGTGACTTGAGTTTTTCTTGGTGAAATTTCCACATGCATGCCTCCAAACAGGAAGTCTCTCCTGAGCTGATGTGAGAAAACATTCTTGCCAGATGTTGGAAAGGTGTGAATGCTGCTTTCACTGACGGATTCCTGCGCTTTAATGAAGTCTCTACAGGCTCTGACACCTTTCATAACCACAGCTACAATTACACTGAAGTCTCTGTGATTTCCTCTCTTATAGAAAACATGCTTTAATATAATCAGTTTCTGCTACTGAGCTGGTGTATATAACAGCTTGACAACGTCATGTTAGAAACAGAAACATGATGATTTCAATGCTAACAAGTATGCAAAAAGCTGCACTTAATGCCTCTTAGGTTTTATTATTCATATGAGACAGTAACTGTTGCTACTATTGAGGTGTGGTGGTGCCTCCAACCACCATGACGGGTTGCTGCAAGTTACACAATCCAGTTTGAGTTTGATGCTGTGAAATTTTGTGAATTTTCTGGCACAAATAGAAGCAAAAGCTGTGAAGCTTCAGAGGATTTCACATGCACATTTAGGGCATATATCACAATATATTGAGGAGTTCACCTCGATCATGATAAATGGACGATTTATCATCGATCTAACTCCACAAGTTGCTCACCCCTCCCACATTACTCCAGCCGCTTCAACTTTTGAACCCTCCTCCATCTCCTCACCTGTCTTTCCCTCTTTGTTATGGACTGGATGGGGTGGAGTCACGTCTTCGACAGGACAGTACCTTTAAGACAGTGGTTCTCAAGTCCAGTCCTGGAGGCCCACTGTCCTGCATGTTTTGGATGTTTCCCTGCTCCAACACACCTGATTCAAATGATCAGCTCGTTATTAACCTCTGGAATGGCTTCATAACGAGCTAATCATTTGAATCAGGTGTGTTGGAGCAGGGAAACATCCAAAACATGCAGGACAGTGGGCCTCGAGGACTGGACTTGAGAACCACTGTCTTAAAGGTACATGAGACCATAACCTACCTACACACATCCTAAACCAACTTTTATTTTATTTTTTTGACACAGAATATACTGATATGGAGAAAATGGCGTTGGTTATTCTCGTTAATTTCAGTATCGGTACATTTTTGGTTCATCGCCCAGCCCTATGCACATTATTACTTTATAGTGCGAGAGACAGCTGCTCTTTCGACAAGTAAACTGAGGTCAAACAGCCTGCCTTTAACTTGGTATCACCTGCAAATTGTGCAAATTGTCTTCCTTTTGCCATGAGTTTAATTAGATTTTTCTTTATCAATTGAGATGTGGCTCTCTGGCCAACTAAATGAGTATATTTGCATTTAGCGATATGTAGCAAGCATGCACTTAACCTGAGTGCAAAACTGTCTGAGACTGAGGCTGACTATTATTTTTATGTAAGTTAGTACAGTCACCTTCAATAACGTCTCAGTGCACAACATCAGGATCATGAACAGAACTTCAGGGACTACCTGCTGTGTTGCTATTTTGTTGAAAATGAGACATTTTTGTAACTGCTGACCTGTTGACACTCTTGTGAACTCTACACAACACACATCACAGGATTTGTACTTTCACGCTATTGATTTTAGGACATTTAGATCCAAAATTTCTCTTCTGACTCAACTGAACTTCAACAAACATGGAGGCAGGTTTCATTTTAGAACCAGCTCCCTCACTTTGCACCACAGCTTCCATCTCCTCTCCTCTACCCTGCAGCACCTGGACCACTAAAGATCGACCGACTTCATACTCTGCGAAACTCACCATTGAAACTGAACCAGTGATTTATGACTGCTGCACAACCATCCATCAAAAATTATGAATCAATCAACATGCATGTTGTTAAATCGGTGAGAGAGAGAAACCAATTCAGACATCGTTTGATACTCCTGACTGTGAGGAATGAAAGAGGCTCTTGGCCTTTTCTCAGAACTGCTCGATGGAGCTGCAATTTATGAACAGTGACAGCTCATCTATACCCCCACTGAAAAATGAGACCTTTTTACTGAATCTATACAAAACATACATCTATCTACAATCTGGTATGACGTATATTTCAAGCCTGTATTTACTCAAGGAAAAATGAGAACTTATAAATGTCCATATTGGCTAGAACACCTACACCTGCTTTATGAGCTTGAATCAGATTTTGGCTGCGTTTTCACTCACAGTCTGCAGGCTCAGCAGAACCCGATTAGGACTGACCTGTCAGGTTTGGGCCAGAAGGACCTCTAATTACCCTGGAGGCTGACACTCCACTTTCTGGTTTATTCTATCGACCGTAGAGAGACAATAAGGTTCATTTTCATTATCTGAAATAGTTACAATAACAGGAATTTTGCCATGCAAGCACCAAGGCCACAGACCAGATGATGATAAATTGCATAAGGACTGCAGACACTGTTGCAGTGACCCGGTTGTTGCTGTCTGTTGCATAATGCACAATGCACAGCAAACATCAATCCCCTTCTGATAGGCATCAAATGACAGCATGAGCGACTCAGCCTGGGATTAAACATTGTGTAATATCCCTTAAACTGTCGAATAAAGACCGATGTAGACGTTATTCAGGGTCTCATGAGTATACAGTTTTTCAATCTGATAAAGAAGTGAATCTGAAGCATGGTTAATGCGGATTTGCATTTCTTCACATTGACAGACTTCACCTGTGAGATCTTATATAATCAATAATCAGCACAAACTGGGGATGCCCATCCTAGCTGATAACGGCCTAGTTGATGGATGTCAGTGAGCCAGCGTTTCGTTTGGCAAACATCGATAAAAGCAGACAGTTTTCTTTACCACCTGGCGCCTGAGAAACGCATCTACACAGTTCATCTTCCACCTCAAAGTCTTTAACTGTTTTGTAATTGATCAGTTATTGCAGCATGAAATCACAGATTTCACTTGTAGTACTTTTATACTGTCTAAAAACATCAAAGGATTTACATTTTATCACAGACAAATCATTCAGTCTTTTCAAGCTTTTATATAATGTCCTTTACACCGAGACTTTAATTTTTAACATGATTCAGAACAGTGACTTTCACGTTAAGACTAGGGAGTCCATGGTTCATTCCTGCTTGTGCACACTGCAGACTCTCTCTTACTGTGCTCGTTCTGTCCCTTGGCTTTCCAGGCACACAGATACATACACCTGTCTCCACTTGTCTCCTCCTACTCCTCTCCCTGCTCCCCTCCCTTCTCTCTGCTCCATCCCCCTTCTGCTCCTCTCTCTTCCTAACCCTCTCTCCTCATCATCCTCCTCTGTTATCCAATCCTCCTCCATGCTCCTCTCTGCTCTCCTCCTACATGCTCCTCTCCCTGCTCTCCTCTCTCCTCCTCACCCTGCTCTCCTCTCTCCTCCTCACCCCGCTCTCCTCTCTCCTCCTCCCTGCTCTCCTCTTTACTCCTCCTCTCCCTGCTCTCTTCTCTTCTCCTGCTCCTCTCTCTTTGCTCTCCTATCTCCTAATCTTTCTCTCTCTGCTCTCCTCCTCTCTCTGTTCTCCTCTCTCCTCCTGCTCCTCTCTGTGTTCTCCTATCCTCCTCCCTGATCCTCTCCCTGCTTTCCTCCTACATGCTCCTCTCCCTGCTCTCCTCTCTCCTTCTCTCCCTGCTATCTTCTCTTCTCCTCCCTGCTCCTCTCCCTGCTCTCTTCTCCTCCTCCCTGCTCTTCACTCTCCTTCTCCCTGCTGTCTTCTGTACTTTTCCTTTCCCTGCTCCTCTCCTTGCTCTCCTCTCTCTGCTCTCCTCCTCCCTCTGTTCTCCTCTCTCCTTTTGCTCCTCTCCCTGCTCTCCTCCTGCTCTCCACTACCTGCTCTCCACTACCTGCTCTCCTCTCTCCTCCTGCTCCTCTCTCCCCTGCTCTCCTCTCTCCTCCTGCTCCTCTCCCTGCTCTCTTGTCTCCTCCTGCTCCTCTCCCTGCTCTCTTGTCTCCTCCTGCTCCTCTCCCTGCTCTCCTCCTGCTCCTCTCCCTGCTCTCTTCTGTACTCCTGCTCCTCTCCCTGCTCTCCTCTCTCTCCTCCTGCTCCTTTCCCTGCTCTCTTCTCTCCTCCTCCTTGCTCTCCTCTCGCCTCCTGCTATCCTCTCCCTGTTCTCTCCTCTCTCCTCCTGCTCCTCTCCCTGCTCTCCTCTCTCCTCCTGCTTCTCTCCCTGCTTTCCTCTCTTTGTTTCCCATGAATCTGAGCTCCTGACGATGAAGTGAAAGTGAGAGCTGTTTGATCTTAGTCCACATTTAACTCTGATTAAATATCCAGTACAACATGCTGGTGTCAATCGTTGTGAGGATTCTCAAGTTAAATGTGTGTTTCGGTTGACAGATGGGGCGTGACATCAACCCTGTAGCTCCATCAGCCTGGATCCAAAGCAGTCACCAGTACAGGTGTCAGCGCCAATTGTGGTGGTGTTTTGGCTTCTTATTTTGCAGTGGGAGCAGATGGAGGCGTCGTCCTTATTTACAAACAGTCAATGAGCCTGGCTGTTGAATGACTGCTCTGCTATTCCAGCATTTTCTATGAAAGCGCATCTATTAGGGGCGCTATATGATTAAAGCTATCATGATTATGTTAACAGAGGCATTACAGAGAGCAGTGCAGCAGAAACAGCAACACAAAGTGGGCTGCTGGATCCTATTGCATAACAGCTGTGGAGATGGAGGAGTGCCATCTCTACCATCAGCAGCTCTGCCATTTCAGGGGATGTGGCTCATTCATTTAGCCTCAACAGTCCCCAATAACATACCACAATAATGCAACACTGGGATAAATCAGCATGTTTAACGTGGAAAAATCACGACCTCTGAGAGCGGGGAGTGGATGGAGGAGAGCAGCTACCCCACCCGAGTACTGAGGCTCACACGCACGCGCACTAATGCACGAGTGGCTGGTCAGCTTTTTCTCACTAACGTTAAAATCACACAGAATAAAGGGGAATAAAGCGGTAAAAGCCGGTGACGCTATTATGGTGAGCATTAACAGAAAATAGCAGCACTACGTGGCGATTTAGAAGCGTTTTCAGTCATTCAACGTAACATTAAGTGTGTTTTAAATGAATGTGAAACAGTTCTTCCTCTTAGCGAGTTAGCCCAGTTAGCTCGCGGGCTTCGTTACTCACCCATCTCTGCAGTAAACCGGACTAAAATGGTCAAAATTAGCAGGTTCAGGTGAGCTAGCAGGTTAGCCGGTTTGTGGTTGTAGGCAGCGGGCTCCGGGGCGGTCAGCAGTCCCGCTCTGATGGATGCTGAGCGGCCTGTTCACCGGCTGGTACACGGTTAACACATCTGACTCCCTCTCATGTCCACACCGACAGTCAGAGCTGCTACTGGAGCTCCTCGGAGGACCGGATCACACTGACATGACACTGTTAAGCGACACGACAGGGGGTTCGGCGAGACTTCCGGGCGCAGCCTTCAAAATAAAAGAAGGTTTAAGAATTAAACACGTGCAACAGGGTTTGTCCAAGAGCTTACATCTGTGAAAACTCAGTGTCACGGAGAGAAATAATCAGCTTTTCATTTTCATACAATTTTTTATATTAAAAGTAAACTCCACCATTACACACTTATTTATCTACACACTTACTTAGGTAGGTAGGTAGGTAGGTAGGTAGGTAGGTAGGTAGGTAGGTAGGTAGGTAGGTAGGTAGGTAGGTAGGTAGGTAGGTAGGTCAGTAAGTTACCTACCTTCCCACCCAGTAATTTATCCTAACTACCTTCTCACTTACCCGCTTCTTACCAACCTACCTACTTACTTACTTATCTAAATACTTGTCAAATTACTTATTTACTTACCTAATTACCTACTTAATTACTTACCCACTTCCCTACCTTCATACTTATTTACTCACTGTACTTGCCTACTTCGTCACCTTTGTAGTTATTTATTACAGCCATGGCCAAAAGTTTTGAGAATTACACAAATATTTATTTTCACAAAGTCTGCTGCCTTAGCCTTTATGATGGCAATATGCATATACCCTGGAATGTTATGGGGAGTGATCAGATGAAATGTAATTAACCCCGAAGTCCCTCTTTCCCATGAAAATGGATTTAATCCAAAAATAACATTTCCACTGCATTTCAGCCCTGCCACAAAAGGATCAACTGATATAATTTTAGCGATTCTCTTGTTAACACAGGTGAGAGTGTTGATGAGGACAATGCTGGAGATCAATCTGTCATACTGATTGAGTAAGAGCAAAAGACTGGATGCTTTAAATGGAAGGTGGTGCTCATAATCATTGTTATTCCTCTGTTGACCATGGTTACATGCAAGGAAACACGTGCAGTCATTATTGCTCTGCAGAAAAAGGGCTTCACAGGGAAGGATATTGCTGCTAGTAAAACTGCACCTAAAACAATCATTTATCAGATCATCAATAACTTCAAGAAAAGAGGTTTAATTGTTGTAAAGAGGGCTTCAGGGTGCCTGAGAAAGTCCAGCAAGTGCCAGGACTGTCTCCTAAAGTTGATTCAGCTGCAGGATCGGGGCACCACTAGTGCAGAGCTTGCTCAGGAATAGCAGCAACCAGGTGTGACTGCATCTGCACGTACAGTGAGGCGAAGACTTTTGGAGGAAGGCTTGGTGTTAAGAAGGGCAGCAAAGAAGACACCTCTCTCCAGGAAAGACATCAGGGACAGACTGATATTCTGTGAAAGTACAGGGATTGGACTGCCGAGGACTGGGGTAAAGTCATTTTCTCTGATGAGTCCCCTTTCCGATTGTTTAGAGCATCTGGAAAAAAGCTTCTTTGGAGAAAAAAAGGTGAGCGCTACCATCAGTCCTGTGTCATGACAGCAGTAATGCATCCTGAGACTATTCATGTGTGGGATTGCTTCTCAGTCAAGGGAGTGGGCTCACTCACAATTTTGCCCAAGAACACAGCCATGAACAAAGAATGGTACCAAAACATCGATATCGAAAATCTGATGCGGACTGAGAATAAATATATATCGAAATATATCGATATATATATCGAAAATCTGATGCAGACTGAGAATAAATAAAAGCCTGTAGAAGTGGAGTTTTTCATCACAGCTCAAATTGTGGAAATGTAGGTTAATACTGAGCTACACACTCAATTGTTGCTTTTCTTAAGAAGAGGTTAAATTTCAGGTGTATCCTCAGGTGTATTGAGTTTCACCTTAAGTAAACTTTGATGACATTATTCCAAATCTTATTAGACATTAAAAGTCTGATAAAAAGCCAAAAAATCCTAGTTTTCTCAATCAGTCTAGCAATTGAAGCATCTTAATTGATTATCGTTCTCTCACACGGGCGTCACTGATGGCCATGGTAACGGAGAGGTAACGTTGATCGTGGTGACCTTATAACTCGAATGTTAGACATTTTTCAGATCAAAACACACTGAACTACTGAGCGGATTACAACTCTCTTTGACAAACAGCGAATATCTTGGAAAGCCTTCAACTTAACCGTGAAATAAAGCACCTGGACCTCCCGAAAGACGAACATCTGAACATCCGAACATCTGAACATCTGAACATCTGAACATCAAGTTTACCACAAGTTTCCGGCGGGATAAGACGGCTTCGGGCAGACCCCCTGCGATGGAGAGTCTCCTGACCCGGGTCGGGCGATGGCTGAGCAGGTTCACAGGTGAGAATCTTTCAAATACAACAATAAACTCTCCGATTTAGCTGAATTTTACTATTTAAAAGCTTTTTGCTTAGTAATACTGTTTATTTAATCGAAACATTGAGGGTAAAGATCGAAATGTTATCAGATTTGACGAAGCTACTTATGGGAACAGACATATGTTGTGAAATGGTTTTATTTCTCAGAAATTTTCTGGTTTCCTTCTGTAAAAATGTTGGAATTGTTGACAAAATTGTGTGCTGATGTGAAACAGTTGTATTTACAAGTATATTATTTTAAAAACATCGATTCTTGTCGATATTTAATGAAACAAAGATGGCGCCTGAGCCAATGGAACGTCATGTTTTAATTTGAACCATGGAGGAACTTTTAGAGAGGTTTATGGAGACAGAAGAATGTACATGCACACCTCTGCAAAGAGCTTTTCTTACCATTGTGGCCGCACTGTTTGATTTCTTAAAGTACTAGAAATATGTGTTTTTATGTGTGTTACTGCTTCATGTTGTATTTAGATGAGGAGATGATAATAATCTGCAGCACCCGCTGTTCTCCTCTCCTTCACACGCATACTTTACAACTATTTAATAAGATTATCAGTCGATATAATAAAAACAATGTCGCCAGTAATCAGAAATCTTTATGTAACCGACTTAGCGGACTTATATATATAATTAATGCACCAATAACTCATTTTGGGTGTGCGTAATTACGCACGGACCTCAGTAACACATCTGTGAACCTTTGGTAACATCTCCGTGTAGGAGGCGGGTTGTTGTGAGCCGCAGGTTGGTGTAGATTTCTTGTACAGACAGTTTCCACCTCAAAAAAACTCATATCAGCTTAATCATTGAAACGCAAAGATGTGTCTGTATCCTCTCCTTCTTTAAGATGCATCAAAATTCAATTAAAACTTGATGCAACGAGATAAATTTTTATGATAGCATTTTAACAGGTTGAGAAATATAAAAGGTGTTTCCAGAAGTCAAAATAAATAAATAAATAAAAAAACACAAACATGTTGATAATGTGGAAGTATTGATGCAGATACTGTACCTGGTGGGCTGATGCTGATGCTGACATAAGAAACAAAAGACTAAACCTCTGAAATCAAAACTTTTGACCTCTTTAAGATTTTCTATGATTGAATTTCAAGTTTTAAACCCTCCTCTATCAATGACTATTATAGCGATTTGAATTTATGATAAATGGCTGAAGATTAATAATCTCAAATTATGACATTTATGCACTCGTTGAAAGGGGCACCACCCAACCTTAATGGTGGGAAAATAAAGAAAAATAAAACGGACTCCACTTCTGGAAGAACACTAACAGACAGGAACTTCAAAAAATTATGCTCTGTTGAATACAGGATAAATGATGGTACAATATACATGCAATAATTGGTGATAAGATAATGAGGATAACATATTCTAACATATTAACCTACACTAACTTTGGTGTCAAGATAAATTTGGATGTGGATTTGGATGAACCTAGGATTACCAGAATAAGTGAATATCTGAGTTATGACAGCATGAGACAGCATCAGCCCTGTTTGGAGCTCTGGAGGTTTGTGACTGGTCCTTGGAGAAGATGGAGCAGGTACCGAAGGTCCGGGGCTACCGGCGGTTTGAGCGGTTCAGCTCAGATGGGCCAGTAGTCGCAATACTCGGGCCCGAAGCAAAAACCAGTGCTGTATGGATCCCATTTGATGCTCCTTTGTCTCACCACAAACAAAGGAACACGGAGGGGTCCGAGCAGAAGAGCGGGAAGGAGCATAAGAGGAAATGAGAGGATGAGCAACCCCACTTTACTGGTTTTATCTTCTCACACTGGGAGTGCCTCTGGTGTGTGTGTGAGGAGAAGAGGAGGGGTCGTGGGGTCTCAATCTGCAGAGGAGACCTCGGATCTCTGATTATTTGATCTAACTCATACTTCTGGCTGGTAAAAGAGTCAGATCTGATACTCACTCACTATGATTAATATCATGGAATGCTTGGTTTCATGATAAATGACTTGATACTAAACACATATGAATGAAATGTGATGTGATATGATTCATACTCAATAAATTTAACTCTTAAAAGTTCATGAAGTAGTCTAAATTAAAAATAAGGATTTATCCTGTCAGAGTGATAACTTGGCTTCTGGAGCACATAGAAAACTGGGAAACATCTCATTTTAACACAAATTTCATGATTAGACAGATTAGTACATTGCTGAATGCATAAGATGTCATGATCAGTCATTTGTATTCTTTCACCAAAGGTATGCAGTTTTTATCTGTACATGGTTGAGCAGGGTTTTACGACCGAGGTCTGGAGGTCAGTGTCCTGCTCCTCAGACCGTATCTTGGGGTCCGTATGTTCACACACTTTAAGACGGTAAATCTCAAATGGGAGACCTGGATTGAGGCATGAATGTTTATTTAGATGGTCAGCGATGGAGTCAGTTTGGAAGGTAATAAAAACTCTGTCTCTGTTCTCCAAATTGACCAATCATGAAGAGCCAGAGATTTCAGTCAACCTCCGGTGGGGTCAGTTAGGTAACCTGAAAGTGCAAACAAGTCTGGAAAGATTTATACTATCCTGTGTTCTGGGACCAGATAAGGAAACTTTCCTGTGAGGAATGTGTGAGTTTCACACACAGGGTTGTCTTGATTGCTACACTATCTAAGTCTAAATATTTCATTTGAGTCTTCCTGGTTGACCTAATGTGTCTTTGTCTTATTTATTGTCGATGATTATGTTAATAGATGTTTTGAGTTTTTTCTTTTTCCTGTTTTATTTGTTCTCAGTGTCAGAGGACACTCATATTTTCTGATTGTGTGATGTATGAACAAATAATCTCTGGAAGTTTCTAAAGCAGCTTAAATCAGACTCACTTTACAGTTCAAAAGCTGCAGATCAGGGTCTTCATGGGTCACATTCAGAGCTGCTGAGTGACAGTGGGAGTCAAAAGTGTGTGTCCATGATGAGATCAGTGAAGCTGTCCCTGTGTTTCTCTGTGTTGTTGTCTGCTCTTTGAGTTGTCATCATCAATCTGCTGCAGTTCTCATTGATTTGTGACGACTGAAAGTCAAACTTCAAGATTTGATCTTCAGACCTTCAGGCCTCGTGTTTCAGTCGGTTTTATGGAGGTTTAGATTTTAACCTGATGTCTCTTCTTCCTCAGGTGGTGCCCACCCACTTGCTGATCCTGCTGCTCCTCCCTTGTCTGCTGCTCCACCTACAGCTCCTGCGCCTCCTACCCCCCCTCCCTCTCCCGCTCCCTCTGGTCTTTCTGCTCCTGCACCTCCTCTCTCTGATTCTGCTCGTGCTGAACGTCTTCTTGCTGATCTTGCATCTATCCTTGCTGACCCTCCCCCTCCAGGTCCTGCTGCTCCTGCCCCTCCTGTTGCTCCTGCTCCTCCTTATTTCCCTTACCTTCATCCTCCAGGTCCTGCTGCTCCTGCCCCTCCTGTTGCTCCTGCTCCTCCTTATTTCCCTTACCTTCATCCTCCAGGTCCTGCTGCTCCTGCCCCTCCTGTTGCTCCTGCTCCTCCTTATTTCCCTTACCTTCATCCTCCAGGTCCTGCTGCTCCTGCCCCTCCTGTTGCTCCTGCTCCTTCTTATTTCCCTTACCTTCATCCTCCAGGTCCTGCTGCTCCTGCCCCTCCTGTTGCTCCTGCTCCTCCTTATTTCCCTTACCTTCATCCTCCAGGTCCTGCTGCTCCTGCCCCTCCTGTTGCTCCTGCTCCTCCTTATTTCCCTTACCTTCATCCTCCAGGTCCTGCTGCTCCTGCCCCTCCTGTTGCTCCTGCTCCTCCTTATTTCCCTTACCTTCATCCTCCAGGTCCTGCTGCTCCTGCCCCTCCTGTTGCTCCTGCTCCTCCTTATTTCCCTTACCTTCATCCTCCAGGTCCTGCTGCTCCTGCCCCTCCTGTTGCTCCTGCTCCTCCTTATTTCCCTTACCTTCATCCTCCAGGTCCTGCTGCTCCTGCCCCTCCTGTTGCTCCTGCTCCTTCTTATTTCCCTTACCTTCATCCTCCAGGTCCTGCTGCTCCTGCCCCTCCTGTTGCTCCTGCTCCTTCTTATTTCCCTTACCTTCATCCTCCAGGTCCTGCTGCTCCTGCCCCTCCTGTTGCTCCTTCTCCTCCCTTTGTTCCTCCTTCTCCTTCCCTTTTCCCTTCTTGTCACTCTCTTTTCTTTGTTCCTCCTTCTCCTCCTCTTCCCTCTCCTTCTCTTTCCTTTGTTCCTCCTTCTCCTTCCCTTCCCTCTCTTTCTCCTTCTTTTTCCTTTGTTCCTCCTTCTCTTTCCTTTGTTCCTCCTTCTCCTTCCCTTCCCTCTCTTTCTCCTTCTTTTTCCTTTGTTCCTCCTTCTCTTTCCTTTGTTCCTCCTTCTCCTCCTCTTCCCTCTCCTTCTCTTTCCTTTGTTCCTCCTTCTCCTTCCCTTCCCTCTCTTTCTCCTTCTCTTTCCTTTGTTCCTCCTTCTCCTTCCCTTTTCTCTACTTCTCCTTCTCTTTCCTTTGTTCCTCCTTCTCCTTCCCTTTTCTCTACTTCTCCTTCTCCTCCCTGTGTTCCTCCTTCTCCTTCTCTTCCCTCTCCTTCTCCTTCTCCTCCTGCTTCTCCTGTTCTTTACCCTCCTTCTCCTCTTTTTCACCCTCGGGATCCTGATGAGTGGGAGGGCTCTCAGTTCCCCACTGATGAGGATTCTAACTCTGGTCCTTGTGACAGCACTGTCCGAGGATACCCTGTGGCTCCGTCAACCTCTGGAGTCAGGAGGCGCAGGGCTTGGGAGGACAGCGATGAGGAGGGACCTCCAGCCAGGAGACCTAGGACCATCCGACCATCTCTCCACTGAGGAAGGACTACCTCCACGTCTGGTTGGTCCTTTTGGATCCAAGGAGCATCTTGGACCAGGACCTCTGAGGGCAGGGAAAACGGACCGCTTATGGACCCCGAGGACAAGCCTTTACATCTGGCAGGGATTCCCTGAGTAGTGTCTCCAGGACCCCTTAAGTCCTCATACTTCAGGGATATGGACCCTTTATAGCCTTTGCGACTGGCAGGGCTCTAAGTGTCCCAGGTTGCGTCTGGCACCGGGACTTTGATAAGGGATATGAACCCTTTATAGCCTTTGCGACTGGCAGGGCTCTAAGTGTCCCAGGTTGCGTCTGGCACCGGGACTTTGATAAGGGATATGAACCCTTTATAGCCTTTGCGACTGGCAGGGCTCTAAGTGTCCCAGGTTGCGTCTGGCACCGGGACTTTGATAAGGGATATGAACCCTTTATAGCCTTTGCGACTGGCAGGGCTCTAAGTGTCCCAGGTTGCGTCTGGCACCGGGACTTTGATAAGGGATATGAACCCTTTATAGCCTTTGCGACTGGCAGGGCTCTAAGTGTCCCAGGTTGCGTCTGGCACCGGGACTTTGATTAGGGATATGGACCCTTTATTTCTTAATATTTTAGGGATATGGACCCTTTATTGCCTTTGCGACTGGCAGGGCTGTTAGTGTCCCAGGTTGCGTCTTGCACCGGGACTTTGATTTCTTAGTGTTTTAGGGATAGTGGACCCCCCCTCCCATATGGACCACAGAGTGAGATGGAGCTGAAGGAAGACCAACCAAGACCTGGATCAGCAGAGGACACCATGGGAGGGCTCCACCATGTATGCACCATGGAGGACAAAAGTAAGTCCAAAGTTGTGATCATTTGTTCAACGAAGGCCTCCAGAGAAAGTCATATTTTTATAAAAACTTGAACTTTTATTTTTGTTTTGTCAGTGGTACTTACTGTTTCATATCCTCCACCTGAGCGTCGGGGTTCACCTCTGACGGAGAAAGTAAGTACAAACTTTTGTAAACAAGCTAAGCTAACACGAGTGTTCACACAGATCTTGTTCAACAAAAGTCTCCAGAGAAAGTCATATTTTTAAAAACTTAAACTTTTGTTTTTGTTTTGTCAGTGGTACTTACTGTTTCATATCCTCCACCTGAGCGTCGGGGTTCACCTCTGACGAAGAAAGTAAGTACAAACCTTTGTAAACAAGCTTAGCTAACACAAGTTTTCACACAGATCTTGTTTAACAAAGGCCTCTAGAGACATTCATATTTTTAAAAAACTTGAACTTTTATTTTTGTTTTGTCAATGGTACTAACTGTTTCATATCCTCCCCCCTCCCACAATGAGCGTCGAGGTTCACCCTTGACGTGGAAAGTAAGTACAAACCTTTTTTAACAAGCTAAGCTAACACAAGTTTTCACACAGATCTTGTTGAACAACGGGCTCTAGAGACTGTCATATTTTTAAAAAACTTGAACTTTTATTTTGTTTTGTCAATGGTACTAACTGTTTCATATCCTTTTTTTCCCCCCACCTGAGTGTCGGGGTTCACCCCCGATGAAGAAAGTAAGTACAAACTTTTGAATTTGATATGAAATCACAATTTTTCTATTAAAGAGTTGTTCCTAACTGATCTCTGTCTTACATTCTCCCTCCCCTTTTCCTTGTCTCCTGAGCTCCTCCTGGACACTGAGGATGAAGAAAGTAAGTACAAACTTTTGAATCTAATATCAAATCACTTTTTTTTTTCAAAGAATTTTTCTCTAACTGATCTCTGTCTTACTTTTTCCCTCCCCTTTTCCCCGTCTCCTGAGCTCCTCCTGGACACGGAGGATGAAGACAGTAAGTAGGAGCTTTTGGATCTGATATAATACCTTTTATTCAACTTTTAAATGGTTTTCTCTAACTAACCTTGGACCTTTTTCTGTCTCTCTTTGTCTCCTGAGCTGCTTCTGGACACTGAGGACCAAGAAAGTAAGCGCAGAGTTACAACCTGCAAAACTTTGAGATATGTGTAACTTAAGTTGTAATGAAGGGATTTTGCTGGTGCTGCAGATTCACTGCAGTCTGGCGACTTTGATTAAGGTGATTTTCTATTCAAATAACATCGTTTGGACTTTTTTTTTTTTTGGCAAATCGTAACATTTAAGGCAAACTATCACAAACTCCAGGTGTGATATCTGCTACTTAATGACAGTTCATCCTTCAACACAGAAAACCACTTCTGCTTATCCTTGAAAAGCATCAGAAAATATAAATATTCCCTCCAAAATACTCAGGAGACCAGCAGCAGAAATGGCAGTGGAGGCTGGCGGTGACTAGTTACATTTGACGTTATTGCCGCCATGTGTGTGATGGTAAATAATGATTGAATTATACCTGCCAGTGTAGTCTTGCTGAAGGTGACACATTATTGTACATGCTTTTTTTCTGTTTAAATTACAGCATTTGGACTTCTTTTTCCTGCAGAGATCCTCTCTATAATTACTGTGACTATCAAAACTAAATTCGTCACTGAGAGGGGAATACAGGGATCTGTCTGATGCGCTGACTCCAAGAAGGAAAAATGAAGTCTTTCCTGCAGCTCTAAGATATTTATTTTCCATTTCAATAAATCATACTTTAAACCTGCATTTGATGTAGATGTCCTTGCAAGTTTTGACTATATGATGGTAAAAAGCTTTAGCGCTCAACAAAAATATAAGCACCCAGCCCCCACTCTCTCCGAACCAAACTAACTAATTCACAGGCAGTCACAGGTGACATTTATGATACAATCAGTCAGCCCCAGTGACACACACACACACACACACACCCATTACCCTTTGTGACAAGTGAGAAAACGCACCACTGCCTCTAGAGCAGTGGTTCTCAATCCAGTCCTCGAGCCCCCACTGTCCTGCATGTTTTGGATGTTTCCCTGCTCCAACACACCTGATTCAAATGATCAGCTGGTTATCAAGCTCTGAAATGGCTTAATAACAAGCTGATCATTTGAATCAGGTGTGTTGGAGCAGGGAAACATCCAAAACATGCAGGATGTAATGCTTCTACAAAAAAATCAAATGAATGCAAATTGGTTAAAATTTGTTTTTTCCCATGTTCCTGTCTCTCAATACTAAAATGATGTCAGCTTTTGAAAACAGTGATCCAAAGTGATTCGTAGGCTTGACAACAGATGATCTATCACAGACTGAAGTTCCAGAGTCGTCCAGCAGATGGCAGCACAGCTGGGAAACCTTCAAATTATTCATAGATATTCTTATTTTTATTATTCCTTTATTATCATAACTAAAGTTTAATGGCTGCCAAAGTCCACCTGGACTAATATTTCTGTAGGGAAGTTGAACCTGTCACATATCAGTCCCAAGGTTTTCCAGCAGATGGCAGCAGAGACACATAAGTCCCTGAGGAAACACCTGTCAGCACAGGTGCTGCAGTAAGAGGCTAAAAAATTAACAGTTTATGAAAACTGTCTCAATAATTTTATTTAATAAAAACCTGAATCAGTTAAAGACAGGGGTCAAATATTAAGACGCAGTGAAATAATTTTTCGAGTATTGAGGAAGAAGGTTCTCCATCACTCTTTATTCACATCTCCTATTGTATTAAAGGTTGTTAAAATCTGCTAAGAAAATGAGTTAAACCATCATCTAAATAAAAGGTATACAAAAAAAATGTATACATACAAGTTTTAAATAGAGTTGAGATCTCTTGAAACAAACCCATTTCCTACTATTTATGCAAAATTATTAGCAATTTAAAGCTCCTGTGAGGAGTTTTTTTATATTTATGAAATTGACTGAAATTCATGTTGATGCATTTTCATGATATCCCAAAGCAAACAAGACCATCAGTGATAAGATTGATGACATCAGTATTTTATCAGTTTGTTGTTAGGGGGGTAGGGTGTCAGCTAAACAGCTAAAGAAGCAGTCCTATTTACAGTTTCCAAATAAAATATTTGCAATAAATGACAACTTTGACCATCAGCAGGATGAGATTTTCATCAGAAGACTCTACACAAGCATTTATAGTATAAAATAAGCAAAGACTGCTTCATCCACAGGGGGACACCATACCAGAAGTTCTTGCAGGAGCTTTAAACTGACTATATGTGTGAGATACAACATGAATCCTTACAGTTAAAACAACTACACCCTTATTTTTTGCTTAACTTTTCATGTTAATAAAACCAAAACAAATCTACTTTATAGGAACTGCAAGACAATCAAAATAGATAAATAAATAAATTAAAATCAAATAAAATTGCTTCAACAGCCTATTATTCATGCAACATATTATGTCCTTAACATACCTACATTTACCTTTATAAAAAAGACAGTTAATTCATGATTTAAAAAAATGATGGCATTAATAACTTTGGGTGAATCTACAGAGAGATTTGACTGTCGTGTTGTGGTTTTGTACAGTAAAAAGTCTCTTTAAAGTTTGCAGGTAGTTTGCTCAGGTAGAGCCAGTGTGGTAAACATGAACTTTTAAATCCAGACAATAAACCCTTAATATGTCAGAGTTTTACACTTAAAGTTGGTCTGGAAAAAAAAAAGTTGTCCTTTGATTTCTTTAATTTTGTTGGAGCTTTAATTTCTTCACCTGCCACAGCCACTGATGGAGAGTGAGGAAATGTCGGTGACACATTGTTAGAGTGGGCGAGGGAGGAGGAGGGAGGCGGACTGTCACCCTCCCTCTCTCCTTTCCTCCCTCACACACTCCCTCAGACATACACACACACACTCTCTCTCAGACATACACACACACCGCCTGCCATCAGCAGCGTCTGCCGGCTGCATCCTCTGCTAAGGCTCCTCCATCCTCTTCCTCCTCCTCTTCCTCCTCTTCCTCTGCGTCGTCTGCTCCCGACACTCTGACCGCTGCGGGACTCCTCTGTGTCTCTGCGGGGACGTTGTTGTGTCTCTTTTTTGGGGGGGAAAGATCAACACCATGGACATGATGGGGAACAAAGAGCGACGAGGCGTGAATTTCAAAGGCTTGCTGAGGAGGAACTGGCTGCTGATCGCCACCATTATATCCGTGCTGCTCGGTACGTGGACGCTATGAATGCATGTTGGTGTGTGCTGAAAGAATGAGACGCTTTTATCTCACTGATGCCATATTTGCTTCATCCTCTCTGCTGTTTATTCCTGCATCCTCCCCTTCTTTATTTAAGCATTCAGCGCTGCTCTCAGCTGCTGTCACAGTGGAATAAATCATCCTCCTCTGCAGCTGCATCCCTCTGCAGCAGCTTTTAATGCATGTTAGAGAAAGCACGCGTTTAATTTGATGATTTCGATCCATAAATTGAATGCAGGCTGTGTGCAGCAGATTGAGATAGCCTCAGAGTGTCTGGACGTTTCTCAGTCAAACGTGACCAGACTGAGGGGACAGCTGATTGTGCTCTGAGAGGCTCAGCACAGAGGATGTAAAGTACCAGCTATCAGCAGGTGCTCCAGACATGAGGGCTTCAAAGGGCTTCAAATGTTCCTCAGATGTACCTTTATCTCACACCTCTGACAATTAATTCAACCTGCATGTCCTCTGAGCTCATAAAAAAAAGATGAACAAGCATTTATTCACATTTCCTGAAACTTAAATTAAAGCTCCTGTGAGGAACTTTTGCTTTATGCCAGTTTTGGCGCCCCCCTGTACGTATTTTGACCGTCAAGGTCCTTACACACTGGGGCCGACGGGGCGAAATATAGAACGCAAAATTACGAAATATTCGGAGGCAAATTTTGACACGCTTGACTATACACATCAAGCCCAATGCGATTTTGCGATGGGGGGGGGGGGGGGTAAAGACTTTTGCCGGGGAAGGTCCCGCCTCCTGCGCCTCTGATTGGCTAGAAAAGCTGGAGACATCATCACACACTCAAACCAAACGGTCAGCACTTATAGCCAATCAGAGGCGATAAGCACATGAAACTATGGTAACAACCGTTAGCTTACGTTAGCACAGATGAAAGTTAAAACAAAGACGTTTAGCAAACTGTAAAAGCACACAAACCATCGTCATATGAGAGATTCGATGCTATTACTCTCCACAAGTTGTCTTTCGGGTCTTTATCTTTGTAATGTTTGTGTCTTTTATCAAAAAGCACTTATCAAAAGTTCTCCGACACGTAAACAATCAGCCGGTCGGCCATGTTGGATATAGCGGTGAATCAGACGTCGCAACAACACGCAATCTGATTGGTCAGAAGTGGACACACAGTCTGCGGAACTTTAAAAAAATCGACTGCGATCCGAAAAAACAAATGCCGCAATATCGCAGGACAGGAAAATGTCTCTAATGTGAACGCTCGTACTGACAGGATATGGGTCAGAAAAAAAATATTGATGTCCGAATTAATCGCACGACAAAAACGGTCCCGGTGTGAAAGGACTTTAAGATGTATCATTTAAAAACAGACGGTTTCTGACTCTTTAGCTGTTTTCTTTCCAACTGTGAGACAAAAACATTTCTTTCTTTCTCACATTTGTGTCAGGATTTCTTATTCATACAAAAATCAAGTAATTTCCTGTTGCTATCTTTTACATTAGAGGCTTTACTGGTGGCAAGTAAAACATCTGAGAGAAGCTACACCTAAAAAGTAGAGAAAATACAAATTAACAGGAAAGGTTTGCGCTGTGGTTTGATTTAAGCACCAAATATATTGATTAATCTCAATAAATTCTTGATTTTGGGCAAAGTGAGTACATCATTTAGGTAGTTTTATTCATTTTCTTCCTGTCATGTTGGGTCTGTAAGTATACCCTGAAGAGTTTAGTCTACACCAGCTATTTTTTGTTGTGAACTGACACTCTATAAGTACAGATTGATTGATAATCAATGCATGACATATTTTTGTTGTTGTTGTGCTGGTGGCACATCCAGTGTTAGCTCTATTTTCCTTATGGCTGCTCTACTCTAGTGCATGCATTGACACAGGAGCCTCATTGGTCAACAGAGCTGTCAATCATGAAATTGTGCTTTTTTTATAGCATTAAGCTAAACTCAGAATTAAAAACACTTGACACTAAACAACTATAGTGACAGAAACTGTGTTTGAGAATCATTCATTGGACCTGTATTTGGATTGCACAGTTTGACCCATGTCCCATCTGTTTACATGGAGGATACAGGCTCTATAAGTAAACAATCACCAGAGGGAGCTCCAGATTTATTAGGCTCTAATTTGTCAGATCATACTGTCTATCTTTAAGACTGCCATTTCCTCTTAAGTTGAAGTTCTGTGCCTGAAATTCCTGCTGCAGCCACCAGAGGTCTCCACTGTCTCCTAAACATTACCTTGAGTTTTAGAAGTTTTTGGATGAAGAAACTAGCTGTTTTCTTTTATTTGAGGACTAATTTTTAGAGCTTGCAGTGTATTGAGAGGATGGATTTTTACAAAAACAAGCAGAGTTTGTAACCAAACTGTTTTCTCAGTCTTTATGCTAAACTTGACTTTTTACTGATACAAAAAAGCAAGAGATAAATCAAAAAAAAAGTCCCTTTTAGACCCATTTTTTAGGCTTTTCTTGCCTTTGTTGATGAAACAGCTGAAGAGAGGCAAGAAATGTTGAGGGTGGAGAGTGGGATAGAACATGCACAAAAGAGTTTAATTAGCAGCCTCTGCGATGAATGCTTCAGCCTCTATAGCTCTGATAGTTTGCGTTAATCACAAGCTTAAACTAGTGCCCTGGGTTTTGAGATTTTTTGCAGTTTTAGTTATTTAGGGGTGTATATTAAGACATTTTTATAAACTATGTTTGTCTACAGCAGCACAGAGTTTTTTGAATCAGGAGATATTCAAACAAATCCTCAAATTTAAAGTCTTAAATCTAACCTCCTGTCCCTGAGTGGGCCAAAATCTTCCTTCAGTGCACACACAGAAGCTTTCTCATAGATTTGCAGATTGAAATTTGCACCGTTGACATGCAGTTTGTTAAAGGTGTGAGGCAGAGCGCTTGGAAATAATTAAAGCCTTAAGTGCAATCCTAAAGTGAAAATCCACAGAGGAGGTAGCAAATTTACTTTATCTAAAGAGACTTTATGGCTGCAGTATATAACCTCTAACTTTCATCTGCAGGAACACATATAAATATTTGTACAGTGACCATAAAACCAGCCCCATTTCTTTGCTCTCTGTCGTTTAAAGGATGGTAAGTAAAAATCCCCCCTGAGGTCCACATTTCTTCCAGCTCACCGTCCTTGGTTTTAACTTCATACGGGTCAGTTTGAGTCAGTGAAACTGCTGTGAAATCATGTCAGATAGTTATGTAATCATGATATGAAGGGAACAATGTAGTCGCTGAATTCACACATGCACAAAACTTCACTTCTGTAAAATTTCAGAATTTTTCAGGATGTGAATGCAAACATTTGCAAATTTTTACAATCATCTTATGGAGGTCTGCTCTGCCTGATAACACAGATGATGGTGTGCACAGTGCATTAAATCAAAGAATTTACAGCTGTAAGATATGAGCCAGTGTGTGCCAGGCCTCATTAATTCTCTCTGAATAAAACCTCACTGACCGTGACAGGGGACAGTTTGTAATGAGGTATCATTGGTATTAACCATGCTCATATGTAGGAGTCGTTCTTACCTGGTCGGTTTGATCTAACTCTCTCTTTGCTGTGGTGCTTTCAGGGATCAGTTTGGGCGTCGTGGTCAGAGAGTATGCCTCCTTCACACACCTCCACAAACAGTACTTTGGTTTCCCAGGAGAGGTCCTGATGAGGATGCTGAAGCTTGTCATCCTCCCGCTCATCATTTCAAGCATGATAACAGGTAACTACAACATAGATACTTCAGTAATAGAGATGTGTTGTGATGATAGCAACATGTGGTGACATACAATCTCAGCAAACATCAGCTCAAAGTATCCTAAACATTAAAACTGTTATCGAACCTGTGGTAGTCAGAGTCTGATGCTTTTTTTGTGGCCCTCTTTCAGACCTGCAGAGTAACAAGGAAGTGTCTATTTGGCACCAGGTTTAAGAATCTCATATTCAAATGTTTACTGGTACCCCTCTACATCTGTTTCTAGTCACCCTGTAACTGTTTTATCAAGAAATACCCTTTAAATCCAGTTTTTAAAGTACCCCTCAGTCAGGGTGACCATACGTCCTCTTTTACCCAGACATGTCCTCTTTTTCGGGGGCTCCGGCCTGTCTGGCCTTGTCTGGGGCAGTTTATAAAATCCTTTAAATGTTGGCGGTTTTATATGGAAGTTTTGAGTTTGTGTCACATAGACTCATTGAGTTAGAAGCGCGTAAAAAACACTTGACCCAACCCGAAAAGCTCTCTAAATTTACTACACGTGACTCTGTGACTCCGCCCCTGCGACATCGTCCACGCATAGACATGTCCTCTTTTTTTGGGATTCAGAATATGGTCACCCTACCTTAGCGATCCCTTAGCAGCTGTTTTAAGGTACCCTTAGCAACTTTTATGAGGTTTCACTTTTATCCTGTTGTAAGGTACCCTTTAAGTTCATTTTTTACAAAAAGATGATAAATCTTAAGGGTATTTTAAGATACCCATTACAGTTCCTTTTCGAGGTACCCTAGCCAACTGTTTTGAAGTATCCCTTTTGTCTCAAGTCTGATTACCCTGAAATTTTTGAAGGTTTGGCCAAGATAGCACCTATTGAGTTCCTGTTTTGAACAACCCCCCAGTGAATGATCATGGATACTTTTACACATCTGTTTTAAAGTACCCTTAGTAACTAAAGGCTTTTAAGAACCCTAGTTCCACTGAAGTTGGGGCATGGTGTAAAAACAGAAGACGATCATTGGTGAATCGTTTCCCACCTAAATTCAACTGAATACACTACAAAAACGAAATATTCAAAACTCCACTTTCATGGTATCCTTTGCACCAGGATTGAGGTTTCCTTTATGACTATTGTGATGCACCCTCATGACTGTTAAATGTACCTTTTTTATCATGACTCTGGGGACCTTTTAGTGTTTCAGGTATTTCTTGGTGGCTGGTATTAGATAGGCAGTTACAGTAGTTTATTTCAGGGTACCTTTTGGTGCCTGTTTTAAATGACCCTCTGGTGGTTATTTAGAGGTACCCTTCAGTGTCTGTACCCTGCCTGCACTATTAAAGATAGGTGAGGTCAGTTTTGGTGTTCCCTTTGGAAATCTCTGTTAATGAGATGAAATCTAAGTGTGTCAGATTGATAAGAAACTTTAAGGTTTTGTTTCAGCCCTGGTGTCTGCAGATAAGAAACCTTTAGAGAAGGACTATCATTGATGAATAACAGTGGGAGTGGATAAGACAACCGATACAGCAGGTGACTGTAGAAAAATACTCTTTAGGAGGTGAATTACTTCCTCTCTGAGTTTAATCCTTTCACCACATCCACAGCAGAGTGTCACTGATCCCTGCTGGGATTTAATTAGGCCGATTGTAGATGTAGTTAAGTCTTATGTCTGCCATTGAAAATTTCACAGCAGCTTCAAAAGGATCATTTACTGTGACGTCTGTGGATTATATTCTGCTGTTTCTTCCGCTGTTTGTTCATGACAACATGTCCTGCATTGGTTGGTCATGATTAATATTTTCCACCTGGATTTCCCTGGAGATCAATCGGGCTGGTTTTTAACTGTTACTACTGTTAGCATATAAACACTCTTAATGCCTGAAATTTGTCATGGGTGATGTGGAGCGTTGGTGCCCAAAATGCAAAACCAGACTGAGGAAAGGTAAATTTTGGAGGTAATGTGGGTGAGGAGAGGGTCCAGATTTCAAGAGAGTGTGCTGGGTTGTGGGAGAATCCAATAACACCAAAAATCTTCAAAAGTCTCATTAGAGCTCTTGAGAGGGCCATTGTACTGCAATGAGAAGGTGATAATACTGCAGGATGGATACAGGTGGGTCTACTCAGCCTCAGCGTCTCAGGTGGGGGAAGGGAGCAGCCTCTGGAAAAGGTGAAGTGAGAAGCAGACAACCCACACAGGAAATGGGATCCCAAACCAAAATAAAATGTGCAAAGCCCATGCTCACCACAGAAATTTATGTTCAAACTCTGCTTTGACCTAATTATTCTGATTCACGGCCACTGGATTTGGTAGCCACTGTCCCAACACACCTGATAGTACAGGCTTTATATTCTGGTTTCTATTAAATCCTATGTTCTCTGTCCACAGGTGTTGCAGCTCTGGACTCTGAAGTATCAGGAAAGATTGGTCTGCGAGCTGTAATCTATTACTTCTCTACGACTATCATTGCTGTTATTCTTGGTGAGCTCATGTAACGTGATTTTTTGTTTACTCCTCTTCCAGCTTTCAATAATTAACATTGTTTATATCAGTGATATCAAAAAATGAGTTCAACCTCTCTGTGTCTCCTTTTCCAGGTATTATCTTGGTGATGACCATCAAACCTGGGGTCTCTCAGACGGCCGAGCACATCGACAGATCTGGGACCACACCCAACGTCACTACGGTCGACACTCTCCTCGACCTCATCAGGTAACTTCAGACCACTAAACATGAGGAAGCCTGATCTACTAACCTGGTTTCTCTCTGAGAGATACTAAACCAGACGGTTTCATGCCCAGCTCTTTTCTTGTCATGGTTGATTTTATCTGTGGTTTTTATAAACAGCGTAAAGACATACTAGTGAAAGTCTGGCATTTTATTAACTGGGTTTTAGGGACAAAAATAAACTCAAAGCTCTCAAAGTGAAGAAAATAATTGATGTATGTTTCCTTTAAGTAGAGTTAAATAGATTTTCCTATCAATATTATAAAGTTGGACGGACAGCCATGCTTTGTTTTTAAGACTGAAGAGGTTTTACGTTCAGTAAATGTTTATGATGCAGATTTCAAATCATGAGTAATTGTTTGTATTAATCGATCATAATAATTATAAATAGGTTTTTTGTCCAGATTGAGCAGCACTAGTCGGTTTTTCAAATAAAACCCTCTTTGAAAAAAAAAAAAATCCAACACATTAAGAGAATTCAATTTTTTAACCTACACAGATTTTGTAAAATTGTGACACACTCTGTCCTGTCTTTCTTCTCCAACAGAAACATGTTTCCAGAGAATCTGGTGCAGGCTTGTTTTCAGCAGGTAACAGACCTTCTTCTTGGATAATTGCTCATTAAAATTTACCTTAGGGTCTCATGGTGACATTGTGTGTTTTCACGTTTCAGTACAAAACCAAACGCAAAGAGCTGGAGCCTCCCAAAATTCAATCCAACAACACCATCCCTACAATCCCCCCTCTTACAACAACGATAGCCTCGGTTGTTGAGGTAGGTGAGCACAAAGCCTGTTAAGATGCATGACGCTATTTTCCTGTTCAAGTATTTGAAGCTCCTCACTCTCTGCTCATCAAACTGCGATGTTTTGGGTCCCCCTGTGGTCTCTAAATCACTGTTTTATGAGCCTTTGAGGTCAGTTAATGAAGTGAGACGTTCATAAAGAGTCAGATTAAGGGGGTCGACCAATGAGACATTTTAATCTAGAAGACACAAGCATCTTTCTCAGGAATCAGTAACGAAAAATGACCTCTGAATGACCTCTGAATAATGAGAGACGTCAGGACTGCTGGCAGGCCAGTTCATCAGCAGGACTCTTCTACTACAGAGCCATGCTGTTGTAATTCCTGTAGTAGCATGTGGTTTGTCATTGTCTTGCTGAAATATGAAGGTCTTCCCTGAAAAAATCATTGTTTCAGTTTCAGCATTTAATTTGTATGTGGCACCGGGTACATTGGTCCGCATCATCCATTAACCTGTTGGCGTTTTGAGCGTCACATACCAACAAAGATCGCCTTGTTGTATCACCTGCTGCTCTTAAGGTTTCATGTTTTTGCCCCTGAAAACCACTGCCTGATCTGAAAGTAACCGAGGACTCAATAATGAGTCTTAAGTGGCCGTGGGTTCACGGTCAGCGATCCTGTAAAGAAGCTCGTCAGAGTCAGATAACGTGGCTGTGAGAGCAGCTTCCTGCCTGCCTGGTGTCAGTCAGCTGAATGAATCACCTTCTTGTTTCTCTACAGAATATAACCAGGGACTATAAAATCGTGGGGTCGTACTCGGATGGAATAAACGTGTTGGGGCTCATCGTGTTCTGCGTTGCTTTCGGTCTTGTCATTGGGAAGATGGGCGAAAAAGGCCGAATCCTCCTGGAGTTCTTTGATGCCCTGAATGAAGCCACCATGAAATTGGTCCAGATCATAATGTGGTATGTATAAAGACTTAATTATGTGCAGAGGCTCCCAAAGGGAATAAAGATTAAAAGTGGTGATATGGCTCTGAGTGATTAAAAACTTTAAAACTGGCCTGAACCCAAACTTCACTGATATGAACAAATCAAAGTTTTTCTCCCACAGAATCAAAGTGATGTTTTTACCTCCAAAAATAATGTGAAGGCTCCTGTGAAGAGTTGTTAAGCTAGTGATAAGATGAGGGGACAGCTTTAGTGTTTATTCTTTCAGATAGAGGGTCAAAGCATTAAAGAGTGTACCAAAGTGTACCCCTCAAGAGTCAGATGTGTTGTTGTTTTCCATCACGGAGACAGGAGAAAACCGGATGACACAGTTACAAACACAGAAACAAAATAAGACACTATTAAATGGACCTTAATTGCATTGCTCGACTCCAGCATAATCCTTCTTTGTGTTGTTTTTGGCACATAAACATTACATTTTGAGCACACCATCTGCAGCTGCTGCACACTGTTTGACTCAAACTCCATCTGTTTACAGCTACATGCCAGTCGGGATCCTGTTCCTAATTGCTGCTAAGATCATCGAGGTGGAGGACTGGGAGATCTTCAGGAAAATGGGTCTTTATATGGTGACGGTGCTGAGTGGGTAAGCTGTCCCATTACTGTGTATCCGCTTGTTCCAAACTCGGGGATTTATGGCTGACATTTGGGCCGATTCTTCCTCCAGTGATACAGTAAAATCGGAGCTCTGTGCGGGCGCTGATAAGGGCCAAGGACATTTAAAACTGCTCAACCTGCAGATGCAGTAATGAAAGCTGTGCTCAGGCCTCTAAATCTCAGTGACACCAATAAAGAGTGTACAGTAAATCCCATCCAGGCAGGTCACAGGGTTAGACCAAGGTTCTGTGTGTCCCTGTGATGGCAGCAGCACACTTTGTTGTAACGTTCAGAGTGCAGCATCAGGGCCTATAAACTCGTTTTATTCACTATCTCTGAAGGACTTTAAATCACAGTCACTGTAAGTAAGACTTTGATGTGGTACGAGGGAAAAACACACACAGAACTCCTGCTCTTCATCTTTGAAATTTCAAATATGTTAAACATCTATTTAAAAAAAAATCAGCTACTGTTAAAAATGTCGATAAAACCCGAATTTGATGGTTTGCAAATTATTTAGACCCCTAATTTCACTGGAAATACTGAAGAGATAATATAAATGATTGGCACTAAAGATTTGATAGTTTTAAGAAACGATATGCATAATGCAGTGTCTATGATATCCTTTTGTGAAAGCAAAAACTGTCCTCTTGTCGAGGCCAGCCAGACCCCACTGACAAAAACTGTCATTTCAAACATGCTGCTGCCTCAGCTGGTTAGTTAGTCTGTGTCCTGTTATGATGCACACACATTATATTGGATAAAACCAACAATTTTTAAACACCGAAGTTACCCAGTTACACAAACTAATTGACCAGTTGAGGCCGGGTGTAAACAAACAGCTCTAGTGTTCTTGGAGCATGTAGTTTATGTTTCTGTAACAGGGGTTTGGTGGCTCGGTAAAAAAGCGCATCTATCTTTTTAAGAGCCTTAAATTGTGTGTGTTTTTTTTTTATTCAGTATCATGTGATTTAATTTAGACTAACCGCCTGTAAATGATGTCTGCTTTGTCCTCCAGTCTTGCCATCCACGCCACCATCTGCCTTCCCCTCATCTACTTCATCATCGTGAGGAAGAACCCGTTCACCTTCACGCTGGGGATGGCTCAGGCTCTAGTAACGGCGCTCATGATCTCTTCCAGGTGAGAACCAACACCTGACTTTTAACATACATCCTCTAAAAGCAACAGAACTCTCCATCTAACTCTGAGATCATCAAATCTAACTACTGCCTTGTTTTGCAGCTCTGCCACTCTGCCTGTCACCTTCAGGTGTGCCGAGGAAAACAACCGCATTGATAAGCGCATCACTCGCTTTGTCCTCCCAGTGGGTGCCACCATCAACATGGACGGCACAGCGCTCTACGAGGCGGTGGCCGCCATCTTTATCGCCCAGCTGAATGACTATGCTCTGGATGTGGGCCAGATTGTTACAATCAGGTACGCAGTGACTTGGGAACATTATAAAATGCTCAGAGAGCTGTGAAATAACATCACGTTAGTCCTGAGATTATAGACTCTCATGGAAATTGAGAAAACACATGACAAAAGTAGGAGGACAGTAAGTCAAGAATGAGTTTATACAGCCTGCATTTCACTGGACTTCATAGTTATCGGATGAGTCATTTAGACCTGAAACAGAGTTTGACACCAAAATAAGAACAAAGTCCAACAATCTCTAATCCAAAAATCAGGAAGAGGACGAGAAGGAGGCCAGGCAGGTAAACAAGAAAGTAGGACTGGGCAAAGTAGGTAAACTGATTATAAATAAGTACGAAGCAGGTTTTTTTCTGTTAAATCTAAACAATCAAACTGACAGAACCTACATTTACCAGGATTACACTGAAAGACTGAAAGACTAACTAAACAAATTCAATTTGGCTGCATTTTTGAATGGATTCAATTATTAACATGATTCTGGAGTGAATCAGCTCCAACCTACTGAACTGAGAGGGCGAGAGGAAATGAGATCACAGTGAATCTATTCAGGATGCCAGTATTTAGAAAGGCTGTAGAGGACGCGCACACAGAAAGATGGAAAAGACAAATGTCCTAAAAAGTTGGATCCATTTTATTGCTAGAATCAAACAAATGACCAGTAAATGTTTCAGTCTCAATTGATTATCATCAGTGCAATAGTGAGAGGTCTGTCTGAGTGTGTCTTTGAGTTCTTCTCAGTAAGGCTGGAGAGTTCAATTGGACACACCTGGAGCCCTTAATTGGACACAGCTGGAGCCCTTAATTAGACACACCTGGAGCCCTTAATTGGACACAGCTGGAACCTCTTATACAAAGCCAGGGTGTGGCCCATTAAGGGCTCCACTGTCACACACGACATCATAGCAATACAAAACAAATCCATGTGATTCACTATGGACCCTGAGTCTGAAATAAAGAATATTCTATTTTATTCTATTTACATACAGAAGCCATGGACCTACAGGTAATTATTTACATCAGTGGATACATATGGACTGGAAATGGGGTTAGCTAGTGCAAACAGAAGCACTCACCTATGGTTTGAATTCTTCATTCAAACCATAGGGATCTTATCTGGCACCAGAAGCAAGACTACTAGGACTGATGTTATCTAGAGTCATACAGGGTTTATTTAACAATGCAGTCTTTTACTGCATGTATTATTTGTTATTATAGTATATATAAGGAGGCTTTATATTTAAAATGTGTGGTGTGTAGTGAGGAAATGATGTGTTTTCACTTTAGTTTTAATGTTTATTTCCACACAAAACAAGCACTGTCATCCCATCCCTCCTGTCACTCAGTGTGATTTAAACTGATCTAGTTTTGAAGACCAAAATGCCAGTTCGTACTATTAATGGAGTTGCACATGTTGTACTCAAATTGGCCTCCTCCTGCCAGTGCGGGAATCACCTTTTGACAGTGTTTCTGATGCAGAAGACTACATTTCCTCTCATTTTTTGAAAATAGACAAGTGTTTTCTCACTGATTTTGTTAAGGAAACCTGCAGCTCTAAGGAGTTTTCTTAAACACTGTTGTTAATGTGTTATAGAGACACTATATTCTTGTGTATAATTTTGGTATGACAGTATATGATGTGTTAATGTACATTAGTCAGTCTGACGTTTCAGTATATTTGTTTAGGGTAGGTAATACAACAAGATAATACTTAATTGGTCATGGCGCAGGGTTGAACAACAGAAAAAGGACCCAAAAATGCAGACTCAAAAAAGGATTTATTAAAAAGAAAAGCAACAAAAACTTACTTTAAAAATGTCTAGCTGAAAAATCCAAAGGCAAAAAAAAAAAAAACACAAGGATCAAAACCTAACAAAAAGGCACTGGGGAAAAATAACCAAGGAGACTAGGGATTCACACATAGACTACGACTGACACATATTAACCAACAAAGAAACAGGGGATGACAGGGACTATATATACACACTGGGAAATGAGCAACAGGTGAGGCAGACGAGACACAGGTGAAAGTCATGGGTGATAATTAGAAGGAGGGAAAACTTCAGAAGTAAACCACACAAGAAACGCAAAGAATCAACTGCTACAAAATAAAACAGGAAACACTGAAGAATAAAGAGTATAAAGAACAAGACACTGAGAACAGGAGGGAAACAAAGTCAAACACAAACTGAAAACTCACAAGACAAAATCACAGGAACATTAGGGAACAGAAACATTAGGAAATTACCTGCCAGAATAACCAATACATTACTAAAATGATTATTTAAAGCCCTCAAGAAAGGCAAGCACACAGAAACAAGCACATATGGAGTCAAATTACAGGGTTACAGGAAATACAGATCAGTTAATCTTGGAAATAATCTGCTTCAACTTAAAAATGTGCAAATCTTTGTGTTTCAGTATAACAGCGACAGTTGCAAGTATTGGAGCAGCAGGAGTCCCTAACGCTGGGCTTGTTACCATGGTGATAGTCTTAACAGCTGTTGGATTACCTGCAAGTGATGTCACCCTGATTGTGGCTGTGGATTGGCTGCTGTAAGTTTGTCTTCTTAGTTTTGATTCTATTGTAAGAGCGATGCTCTGGACTGACTGTGATTGGTGTGTTTCAGGGACCGTTTCCGCACCATGATCAATGTCCTCGGCGATGCATACGGAGCTGGAATCGTCCAGAAACTGTCCAAGAGGGAACTGGAGAGGATGGATCTGACATCAGATGTCGATGTCGCCAACCCCTTCGCTTTGGAGGCCACTTTGGATGATGAAGAGTGCGAGAAGAAATCCTACGTCAACGGTGGTTTCACAGTTGATAAGACAGATGCGATCTCATTTACTGAAACCTCCCAGTTTTAGCCTCTGGCCGGCTCAGAGGAGCAGAGAAGTGCCACGCTGCTATGGATGTAAAACCTTCCATCTTATATCAGCATCATGAGGAGAGAGGAAAACTATTTGAACCAGCCCCATCTGAGCTCAGACGTCAGCAATAGCAGCCTCCATTAAGCTTACCCAAGATGATCACGCTTCATGTCGGACATTTACAACCACGACTAGATTAAAGTGCTTCCTTCTTAATCTCAAAATGTGCCAAGATGAAGAAAAGTCAGTTTTCTTTTCAATAAGAGTCTGCTCTTTCTCAGAGGAAGAGCTGTTTGAGTGTGAGTGCATGAGGACGTTCTTTTCAGGTGTTTCAGAGGAGTGTGGATGTTTTTTTGAGAAAATTAAATATCTATTAAAAATCAGTTAAAGCAAAGCAGTAATCCTGATGTGAAACATCACTTTAGTACTTATCTACTCCCTTATTAGATAGTTATTCCCTCAGATTTATAAATGACCTTTTTTGTGTGGCTGTGTCAAATGTCTATGTCCCATAATGCACTGCTTGTATATCTATCTGTACGTTTAAACTGTGCCAAACATATACAGAAAGTTTTTACGAAGCTGCATGAAGCAACATGTTAAAGAAATGCTAACCGCTGGCTGCAGGATGCAGATTTTTTATGAGACTTCACTGAGACTGGAAACGTTAAACCGAGGCTTATGAAGTCATGAACACTGTGAACTTTGAGGACATTTTTTCAGAGCCAAATCACTAACATTCACTGCTTTTATTTTGAAAATCATAGCTATAAATAGTGTCTGTGTTCCGGCAGTGTGGGAGACATCAACCTTTTTTGAATGTCACTGTTATGAAGGGATATTTCTGCATTTTTGAAATGTGGTTGTAGGAGTTACATGTCCCATGTAAGTGTATCAGCCGCGAGGGATGTCAGTCAGCTCGGATCCTTTAATGAGAAGCTGCTGGGAGGGCTGGTGTGCAAGCTAGGCTGCAGTTTTTTGTAGACAAGGCCAACTCTGACCCAAACACTCATCTCTGTTTGAGTATATGCTCAACTGAGGAATTTTCCAGTGCTTTTCTTTTGGTGTAGATAGCCTATTTGTTTTTGCACTAATTGCAAACTCATACAAGGGAGACAAAATGCCACCAAACTGCATAATGAGTGCTGATGACATGCTGAAAATTATAATCTGTGGTACCCAAGGTTATGCAAAACTGAAATGCAAAAGTCATGATGTATCAGTCACTCGTACATCTTACCTGATTTAGTCCTTCTGCTAGAAAGTGTGGCGGTATCAGGTCTGCAAATAGTGCAAAAGTAAATGTCTTATTTAAATGCTGAAAAGTTCCTCAGGAGAAATACACTTAAAACTGAGATGAGTATTTGGGTCAAAGTCTCTCTAGATGAGCTAAATTACATGGGAGATGACCCCGTCTGCAGAAGACTGTAGCCTAGCTTGCGTACTGGTTCTCCTGGCATTTTCTCATCAAAGAGGGCGGAGCATACTAGCATCCAGTTGGCTAAAACACTCACTAGCAACATGTTACTCAGACTACCTCACTTTAGAAATACTGAATTATCCCTTTAATTGTCACCCTAATGGATTTAAAGATGTGAAGACACAAGAAAGGGTGAATAATTTTGATTTCTTATTAGCAGTTTTGCTTCTATATTTCCACTGTGGTGTAAGGGCTTCACTATGACACAGGTGCATTAAGTTTGGCTGCCTAAAATAAAACATTGATTCACCTGAAACACAGACAGCAGACTGTTGTGTGGAAGAGAAAGAGCTGTCTGAGGGGAGACACAAAACAAGACCTCCAATTTAAGGTATTTGTACTTTCAGCTTAATGAAAATGCAAACCCATGTGCCAATTTATAGATCAGAGTTCAGTACTTCTATATTCACATCTTTAAAGGGTGGTTGAAGCATTTCTGCAACCCCAGAATGCTGCAGGGGCTTCATTGGTCGACAGAACTGTCAATCATGTTCTTCTTTCCCCCCTTCCTACTGTCACTTTACACAATATTCATGAAGTAACTTGACAAAAACATTTAATTTCTTCTTTCTCCTGAGTAAATTACAAGGCCAAGAGAAAAGGGTGAGATTCAGAGAAGGTTTAGCAGAGGGTCAAGATTTTTGCAACCTACTTCATCAATTTAAATACTGTTTCGGATACACCTTCAGAATAAAAGCACTGTGCAAAAAGAGGGTGGTCTCAGAACAGAGATAACCAACAGGGCTCTTTGATTGATCCCTGAGAAAAACAGGCAAGTCGTTTTTAATTCTTAGATTTTTGCCAGCAGACCAAAAGTTCTGACTTGGTAACTTGCTCACCAATATGAAGCTTTTGCAGTGTGCGTGAACCAAGTATAGGCCTCGTAAAGGAAACATGTTTCTGTTTGGCAAAACTCATCAGTGCACAATCAGTTGCCAAATGACAAATATGAGTGACTGTTGAATTTATATTAGAGCTCCTGATGTCATTCCAGCTGCTCTTTAAGAAGAAACTGCAAAAAACATTAACTTTTTTTGTTTAACATGAGTTTTGAGTTCAGAGTTTAACCCATGTTTCATCTGTTTACATGGAGAAGGTGGGCTTTATGGCATACAATACAAGAGCAAGACATTTTGGTTTCACTTTTGGGGAGATGTTAGGTAGTCCAGATGGACCACAGTCTGTGGTGTATGTACACGTTAATGAGTGTCTCCTGAGCCGGTCTCATTATCAGTAATCTGGGTCTAATAATCACTTTCACTGATTCTTGCTAGAAGTAAGAGAATTTATTCAGCAGAGACAGACTCTGCATCACCACAACAAAACCACTTCAAGCCTCCAGCAGGCAGTTTGTTGTGTAGACTGTCAGGCGGGTGTGCAGGCGACAAATAAATCTATCAAAATCCACAAGCAATCTTGATTTATCAGCAGACCTTTAATGGGAATGTGTTAAAAGGCAGGTTGTCTTAGATAGAGAGTGAAAGAGGTAACCTGCACTGCTCTATATTCAAGGCTGTGGCGAATTTACGCTGGAAAACAGTTATTAATCACGTTGGCTGTGGCTAAGCTACGTTAATTATTCAGTACATTAAGTAAGAGGAAATATTTAATCTTTTGTGATCTACTGAACAAGCTAGGCAGTGAAAGTTAGCTGCTGAAAGACATGCAGGAATTCTCTAGAAGTCAATCAGCATTTCTTTGGAGAAATCACAAAAAAACTAATTTGTGATCTTCTTAGCTCAGTGCCAAATTCTCATCTTAAAGCAGCAGCCAAGGTGTCAATACTCTGCAATAACAGCAGCTTCTTAACAATGCAATATTAGCTACTGCATATACTTCTTTATCCTTTAGCTTAATCCTTCACCAAGTGCAGCACAGGTGTTTCAACAGAGGTCACTAAGTGTCGCTTTGCTCATTTTTAAAGACCTGTCAGTAACTTTTAGCCAAATTTCCAAACTCCACTGTGTCTTAAAAGCCGTTTCAGCCTGTATATCTGAACTCTAGTTGTTCCCACACTGCCAAAAAAGGGCCACACCCCAAATAAAACATGTTTAAATAAAGTTTCCTGTCCGACACACAGATAAGCGCTCATAAATCAGGTTGTTTTCTACATTTCAAAAGCACACTGGCATCAAACACCGTCTGTGTACGATCAGTACCTACAGTATGTGAATCAACATGTCCTACATTATGTTTAACTGCAAGCTAATAAAGAAAGTTGCTCATATTTTGGCTGCACTGGTTTTCTCTTTATTCCCCATGTTAAATATGATGTGACTATTCACTTCAAGTCAGTTCTCTTTACAGCAGTAAACTGTATTGTTCTGTATAACTTTATTGTACACCATCTACCCACTTTATTAGCATCCTGGGGCCCATTGTTGTGCCATTCATCTGTGACCATCACCTTATGTTGCAGCATGATAATGCATGACCATAGACTGTATTTAGAATGGACAGAGTCTGCCTCCTTGCTGGGTGAAGCCACTCTGAGAACAGCACCCTCTGTTGACAGGCTGCAGTATAGGTCATAAATCCCGCCTCCGCCAGCAAAGCTTATGGTGATGTGGACAAACTTAAGAAATTTATTACACAGAACATTACTTTTTCTCCCCCCTGGTTGCGATGTTGACATATAGTAACTGTAAGACTGGTTTGTGCTCAAGTCCTCTTCTTTCTGTGCAGCTCCATTTTTAAAAGTTATTAGGGGGTTCATGTTTTCTATGATTGACACCTGATACAGCGTATAGGCGTTCAAGGATTGCATAGCTTACCCAGGGGATACGCTGTTTGAGCCGCGAGTCATCACAGCGAATTTCGGTAACTCTCCTGCCAAATGCGTACAACGCTACTGCGCAGTGTTGGTTTCAGGAAATGAAGAAAAATCGCAAAAATACCAAAAGCTTTTTGGCTTAAATTTGGATACTGGCGGGAGGCGGAACCAAGTTGTCCATAGTTTATCCAGTCTTTGTGCACGACCCCATGTTGCAAGGATCTGTACACAATTCCTTGAAGCTGAAAAGATCCCAATTCTTGCATGGCCAGCATACTTACTGGACATGTCACCCATTGAGCATGTTTGGGATGCTCTGCATCAGCGTATACCACAGTGTGTTCCAGTTCCTGCCAATATCCAGCAACTTCACACAGCCATTGAAGATGCGTGGACCAACACTGCACAGGCCAACAACCTAATCAACTCTATGCCAAGGAGATGTGTTGCACTGTGTGAGGCACATGGTGGTCACACCAGATACTGACTGGTTTTCTAACACCCCAATACAGTAAAACTTAGAGTGTCCATTTATTGTGGCCAGTCTAAGGCACACCTGTGCAATAATCATGCTGTCTAATCAGCATCTTGATATTCCACACCTGTGAGGTGGATGGATGATCTCAGCGAAGGAGAGTGTTCTCTAACACAGATGTAGACAAATTTTTCAACAATATTTAAGAGAAATCGGTCTTTTGTGTACATAGAAAAAGTCTTAGATCTTTGAGTTCAGCTCATGTAAAATGGGAGCAAAACAAAAGTGTTGTGTTTATATTTTTGTTCAGTGTAGTAACCTGTGTAGCAATGGTCATTAAACTGTGAGCTTCTAACTCAGGTGCCACTTGGCCGACATGGGGGGTTACAAAAAAAGGTGAAAGATTTCTTTTTTTACTTTGTTAATATGGACTTTAAAACTGTTATGAAAAGGCAAGTTCAAAATGAATTGTCTGGCTTTCCTAAAAAAGGCCCTATGTATTCTCCAATGAGTTAGTTTGTCATAACTTTATGCAGTAAAGTATGAATAGGCAATGTGGAACATCTGAACAATGAAAAACATATCCTTTTATTTCATAATGCTCAGTCTTCTTGGACTTCTATGTCTCACATTTCAAACTCAAACTAATCAGTGGGTCATGGTGGGGCTTTAGACCGCGATGAGGGCTGCTTCACTTTTTACAACCACAAGGTGTTGCTCAGTGTTTGCCCAGATTGAAAGTTAAAGAAAGCCACAAAGTTTCTGGCCCGTAAATTGCAGTTTTTTTTTTTTTCCTCACACGTACCTTAATCATTATGACATCTTTTTCTATCACTCAGTCCAAGTCCTCATCAGTGAAGAGAGATATTTATGCAGAGAGCTGATTTAAACAGAGAGAGGCCTCACTTTCTTTTAAATCAGCTGTTATAGAGTTACAGAAGTTGTAAAAGATGACATATTCTGGAGCTATTTTTATGACTTTTAAGATTCAGATCTTCTTCATGTTTTCAAGGAATCGCCTAATCCATCTTTCAGGTTTTGACACCTTCACTGCTGCAGCTTCTCTAGTAAAACTTTATTTAAAGACTTGGGCTGAAACTGACCGAGCAAACCACCCAAAATGATTCGCTGTCATTACAGCCTGCAGATAAAGACAGATTATTACACCAAAAATAGGATTCAGTTTCATCTCAGCTCTGTTGTAGATCATAATGTTCCTGACAGAGCTGCAGTCGTGAGCAGCTATTCCTCTGATATACGGCTGCAGTTCACACAGAGCCGCATCGTCGCAGACACAATTAGTTTTTAATGGCCTTCAGCTGATTTACTCGAGGACTCCACAATGTCGGCATGATAGATGAATATGACGTGAAGTTATGACGTTAAACTAAAGCTATTTGAAACCCAGATACAACTCAAGAGTTACTATTCTGAGGGGTTTATTTTACATTACACATCACTTTGCTTTAACACACAGACATTCATCAGAGGGAGGTGGTGAAATACCTCATCTGCACACACGTCAGTAAAGACACGACATCTGCAGGTTGAGTGGCGAGGTGAGGGTCTCTGAGTCTGAAGGAAAAAAACAGACCTCAAGCTCATACAGTGAAAAACAATACAGGGTGTAGAAAAGGTTCAGAAGATGCAGTGAAAGTGATAAATGACTCGCAGCCACAGCTAAAATTCTTCTCCTGCACTCTAAAAGTCTAAATTCTGTACCCACTAAAAGTTTAAATCTTATTATTGGCTTGTTGTGTGGGCATTATTAAAGATACAGTGGGTACTATTTTGCTGCATCTATCAAAACAGACTTGGTAGGAATGGAATTTTTGTAGTCTCTCAATCCAAATAAAATGTATCATCACATTATTTTCACAGGTGAAAAATGACACAATTTTTCAAAGATGACATGCAAAAAAAGGTGTCAAACCAGTCTCTTACCTTTTCAGAGATTATAGAGTCATTATGGTGGCCCAGGAGAGATGGACCTCCTGGCTAAAACCTCGTCTACCTCAGAGTGTGTGGCCCCCTGAAACACAAACACAGCTGTTATATTTTTTGAGTACATTTGAGTAAACTAGACATAGTTTACTATCCAAGGACAGTAACACTGAGGAACAAGAGGATAAAAGCCATTTTTAGATCAGCACAAATGATTAAAAGAAGCTCACAGTGAAGCAGCTAAAATGTGTCATTCATAGACTGTATATAGAATGGACGCCATCTGCCTCCTCGCTAGGTGAAGCCACCGTGAGAACAGCACCCTCTGGTGACAGGCTGCAGTATAGGTCATAAATACTGTCTCCTCCAGCAGTCCCTATAGAGCTGTGGACAAACTTTAGAAAATTTATTACACAGAATATAATTTTTCTCCCCCCGGTTGCGATGTTGATATGTAGTTACAGTCAGACTGGTTTGTGCTCAAGTCCTCCTTTTTCTGTACAGCTCCATTTTTAAAAGTTATTAGGGGGTTCATCCTTTCTAGGATGAGCTGCATAGCTGTTTGAGCCGAGCGTCATCACAGTGACTCTCTGTGACTTTCCCACCAAATGCGTACAATGCTACGACGCAATGTTGGTTTAAGGAAGTGGAGAAAAAACTCGGAAATCCCGAGGGCTTTTCGGCTTCAAATCTGTATAATGGCGGAAGGTGGAACCAAGTTGTCCATAGTATATACAGTCGATGGTGTCATTAGATGTTTGTAAATGGCAGCAAGTCAAACACCAGACTCAAGCCTAAACAGCAGCTGTAATATTGTCTACATAGTCTAATTTTGATGTTTTACTTACGTAGACCAGTCGGCGCACAGCTTTTGGCGTCGTTAGTAGTCCCCGAACTCGCTCGTGGACCTCCTCCCATGCCCTGTGAGAAATAAACATTAACTTAAATGTCACAGAATTGTATTTTCTATCAGTTATTATCACTCTACAGAAGAATGAATACTCCAGTGTCATCTGTATAAGCCTGTAAATCAGATCTGAAGTTTCTGTATTACAGATTGATTATTAGAGTCTGAGTTTCTGTTCCAGCTCAGCACCAACAGAAAGCAGGAAAAACATCTTCTAAGCCTTTTAAGAACTGCATACTTAATATTTTTCTCGTCTACTCCTCAATTTCTGCAGAGAGAATATAAACGACGAGTCAGTACCTGCTGTTTCTGGCCTGCTCCCTGTAAGACCTCCACAGGTCTGAGGCGTGTTGACCTCTGTTATGGTCAGGGGTTTTAGAAGATCCAGCCCCATCAGCTGACGAGCCTCTAAGCTGCAAATTCAGAGAGAGACATGGATCAGGAAATACTCTCATGAATGCATCTGCAACTCTGCATTTGATAAAGTTCAATTTCATTTTCACACGATGAAGTGATTTATAGTTTTTTAAAGTTTCTTAAATATTTGTAATAAACATTTCAGTATCCTTGGATACATTTTCTGATTAAAGCAGGAATCACCAGGGGTTGCCATGATAACAGATGTTCACCTCATGATTATTGTGACCGTAAAATATCACAGAAGTCAAATTATTGTGATATTAATGAGGAACTAAAATGTTTTTTATATTCAGATATGTTGGGCAATGACAAAGCAAATATTGAGTGCTGAATAACTTTGTATGCTTCCTAATAGTTTACCCACCAAATCATCTGACAAGAAGGATCTTCTCCCAGAAAATCTCACTGAAACAACAAAAAGACAGAGAAACAGCTGACTTATATGTCTTCTGTTAATAGAAACCTGGCTTTATGTGGGTTACAGCACAGGCTTTAACTTTAAATGGGTTATCATCAGTGAACTAACCAGGTCAGCTGGTATCAGCAGCAGTATAACTTTATCAGTAAACTTGTTATGGAGCCATTTAGGATTGTAAAACCTGTTTAGCTGCTTTAAATGAGGACTGCTACCTGTGGGTGATCTCTACCTGTGGATGAAGACGGGGTCAAAGGTGAAGACGAGCTGGTAAAAGCAGCAGACCGACCGGCTCCGGGCCATGACGCCATCAGCTGCACATAAAGACAATAACACTGTGATGAGGAAACAGGAAACAGCTCATCCAGTAAATGAAACATGTTTCCTAAAATAGGTGGATGTTAGTGGGTCACAGCGTGATAATAGTTAACTACAAGACTCTTTATCACGCTGGCAGCAGCTGGTGGTCGATTCAGGAGGGATTTAAGGAGAGTAGTGAAAAGAAACTTTGCAAATGGTCTCATTCTGTATTTCATTTTTTAATTATACTGTAATAGAGATAAAGTGGATAAAAAGGCCCCAAGCTTGAGCTCTCAGTTGAGTCTTGGTTTGCAATATTAACCTTTGCAGTTGTGTTTTGCAGCTGATTGTGGATTTGCAGCACATTTGTAGCAGATGCAGCTGTTTCGACTTTTTGCGGCATCTTTTTGTTTTGAAGAGCAAAGTTTTGGGACTTCTGCATGTTTTTGAATTTGCATTGTTCAAGGTTTTGTCAGCTCAAGTCAATATAAACGAATCAAACCTCCTCCTGCATAGTATAGTCAATGTCTTTTCATAAATGTGGCTAAATTCAACACAGCGTACCTTTAAAAATGAGAGTAAATGCTTGTGTTATGGCTGCATTCACTTTCCTCTGCAACCACATCAGAAAAAAAATAAGAATTGTCATTTCACTGGAGTGGATTTAATGTTTTCCTTTAAAAAAGCTGTGTGAGAGTTGTGTAATAGTTATTTGCTGGATTTTTTTAGACCTCGTCTGAAAATATAAGATCCTAGATGACTTGTGTTATTCAAAAAAACTCAGATCTGAGTGTCATTTAAGCACTTTTTTCCTGCAGTGAGAACACAGCCATAAAAACCATGAGAAGACCTGAACCTGCCCTCCTCTACAGAGTCATGAGATAACCTTTTTAGTTATTTGGTGCTCCCAGGTCAAATGTCACTTCTCTGAGACGCCTGCAGCTTTAATGAATCAGCTATTATCAACGGAATAAAGATGTCAAATATTGTAAAGCAGACTGACAGAGACACAGGACCAATAAATGCCTCAGTAATTCTTTTTAACCTTTAAAGAGCTCACACAAAATCAAAATGGGTCACATGTTGTTTCCACTGAACTGCAAGATGTGAATCCATAAAAGTATTGACTAACTTTTACACTTTTACGGCTGCTGAAACTGTGAAATGAGAACTGCTTCATCCTTCACTGATGGATTACAACACCAGTTTTAATGGTGACCATCATGCACCAACATGTTCTTGAACATTGACCTTTTGTGCTCAGAAATATCCTCCTCTCATCATTTTATCCTGTAAGATATTTCTGTGTAATAAACAGTGAATTACTTCAGGACAAAAGAAAACAGAGATATAAGACTGATTATAATTTACCAAAATCTGATCGTTTCATGTTGAGTTGATCTTTTTTTTCTTTTTGGTGTATATTTCTGTGCATATTCTGATTTGCAATTGTTCGTCAGTTGAAGCTAGGACTTCCCCTTCTCCTTATTTGGTCAATTTTCTGCAAAAAAAAAGAACTCCTGGTAATCCTGCAGTACCTTAGTGTTGCTTTGTTTCAAAACCCATTTTACTCTGGATTGATTTCCACACAGCTTCTGTTTAGTGTTTTGCTGATAAGAGCATCCCCTTAATAAATAACAGATGAAAACAGTTTTTGCTGTTGTTTTTCTAAAATCATTATGCTGTTTCATTGTAATGGAAATCCAGGTTACCTAAACAATATTCAACTTGCGAACCATGTGAACTGCAAACACATGAAAGTTCATTTAGATCTGTCATTACTACAGACTTAAAATTGTGTGACACATGTAGAGTTACATGTTCAGGTAAATCCTAACTCAGCTCTGCTCTCTAGTGGCAAAATATGGAAATACAGCTGTGCGCTTACAGGTTCAGAGGGGCTGCTTGTGTCCTGGTCTCTTGGAGTTGTAGAGTCCAGGCTTAGCCAGGCCAGACGCTGAGAGTGTTCAGCTCTTCGAGGGGACAGGGACTGGGATCTGTGGATGTGTGATTGCGATCTGGAGCCACTGAGGGTTTCTCCGTTCATTCTGACAGTTTTCCTCCTCTGAGGGGAGGAGGTCCTGTGTCTGCTGGAGGGTTTTCTGCCCCTCTTTATCACTGGCCTCTGGAAAAACAAAAGAGAGGGTGTCTTAAAATAAAGAGACTGAATGGGCTCAGTCAGTACCTTTTACCTTGGCCTCTATCAGACAACTCCTCGAAACAAGGTCCCCTCACAATTTCTCTCATCTATAACAGGCCGCTATGATGCAAACCGGCATTATGATTTATGTTTGAACAGCACTAACAAGAAATGTGCAATTATCCTCTGTTTTTGACTCATCTGTGCAAGGCAAAAAAAACTATTCATTATTTATTCATGTGCTCAGTGCTGTTTTTATTAAAGAGGATATGCTGTTTCAACATTCTGCTCTGAATCTCTGATATTTTTGCACAATGAAAAAAAAAGGTTTTGCAAAACAGGAGATGCACTTTGAATTTGATGAATTCCTAAAAGACTCTGGGAATGGACTGGCAGCATTTAACATGGTCCAATTAATGTAGTGATTGGCTAAAGCTTATATTATTAACATAATCTACAAAACCTTATGAGCGATGAAAAAGATCCTCACCAACAGCTCATTGGGGTAAAAGTTTATCTTTGCATCAGTGGGGCACTGAATGATGGTTACTTTGCTGGAAAACTCCAACCTGGGAGCGATACCCTGAGAAACAGACAATACACTTCAATCACAGTAACATGAATCTTTAAATATCTATGAAAACAGGTAACAGGTATGCTTACAGGGACTTACAGGGAAGTGAGGGGCACGGATCATCAGAACCTCTCGATCCACTCCAGAGTACGAGGGGACCAGTTTGGGCCCCGGGAATAAGAAACGTGCAGCATCTTCCTCGATAAAGGCCAGAGTGTCTCCAGCTGTGAACACAAATATAAAATCATTTTCATCATTCAAAGACACAGCTGAAAGAATATGAATTTAGTGAAACAAAAAGGCTCTTACAAGGTGGAGTGAGCTGGACCAGATCAATTCTGATGGTCTCCGCTGCATTTACAGAGATGTTTTTAGTGATCATGAAACACTTGTACAGTTGGCCATCAGGGCCACTGTATTCATCTATTGAGTAACTCATGCACAGTATACTGTGAAATGTTTACAGTTAAGACCCTAAAGGTGATAAAAACGTACTCTCAAGCATTGCTGTGATGTCTGCAGGGTCGACCGCCTGCCTGTAAATCTAAACAGACACATAAAAACATACACATTTTAAAGGTACTATGACAATCTTTACATCCTGGCATTCATGCAATAGCAACAACACTTATGGTATTTAGGTTGTAGAGTATATTTGGCTACCTAGAAGCTGTGGGAGGGGTTGGGGTCAACCAAGCAGCTGGAGAAACATCTAATTTTTTAATACATTTCTGATATTCGTCTGTGAAAAATCAGGAGGATGAATTTTGACTGCTTTGTCCAGAGGAAGTGCCAATTTTGACACTAACCAAATGTCCCTAGTGGACCTCTTATAATTGTTTTCTTATAATTTAACTTGTATTTTATCAGAACGAATGATAGCATTCAATACAAGCATATTCTGCACATTATTATTATTATCTGCATATTTTTGGACTTCTGCTTCAATACTTACCTTTTCAAATGACATCTTTTCATAAAACAGCAGGGGGAAGACAGCAGGGAGACATTCAGACTGACGGTATTGTCCCATGACTTGGATACTGAGGTAGATATCATCCTTGTAGGCCAGGTGAACTCCAGGGCAAGACACCTGAATGAAAACAGTTGGAGATGGCTTCAAGTCAAAATTTTTCTTGAACCTAATTTTTACAGCCCACCCTTTTATTTTACTTTATTTTTTGCTGATGGGGACACTGAGTGGAGCTGGAAACCTTTTTTTTTTTTAACCAAAGGCTATCATGTCATTTGCAAACCTACTTTGTTTGGAAATAGACAGCTGAAAAGTGTCAGAAGATAGAAATACAGTCACCAATCCACTAAATGTTTATTTTTCAGCTTTAAACACATGCTGAATTTTAATCTTTGACTTCTCACACGTCAATGTTGATTTTTTTTTCCACAACAAACCTTCATCCTAGCTGCTATGTCGAAAAATATTCATTTTTTAATAATATGTAGTGGTGTTTGGTCTATCGTTTTCCACATCACAGTCCGCATCTCTGAGGAAGCTCGAAGCTTATGAAGAAAAAGAAAATATCTCACCGCTCTAAACTTCAATTCCACCACAACTTTTAGTGCTTTCCAAGACATTGGATTATTTAATAAAGAATGATAAAAGATTAAAAAACAAGCTAACAGTATAGCTGTAACTATCCCACAGCGTAGTTTTCCCACTTCAGTGTCGCTGTCTTGTCGCCATGGTTACTACAACTTCCGGGCTAGTTGATGGAGAAGCAAGAGGGAGGTATTTCCTTGACAAAAATTAACAGCACGTCGACTTTGAACATCGAGGAATGTGAAAACTATGCTTTTACTGTGAACTTCCCAAACACGACAGCTCCTCACTGTACCAGTCAGTTTATGTAATCAAAAATATACCTAAACACGAGTCCCTGCCAAACATACTCCCCTCCAATACAGTCTATGCTCCAGACGCATCACCCTTCCCAATATGGCGGCGACAATTGGCGAAACGTTGAGTTGTTCTATTTATTTTAATTAACTAATGATCATATTGGAACCAAAATTGTAATCTTTAAAGCAAGGCTTGGACCCACCTTTAGGCATGACTTACCACCTTAGCACATACACCTCAAAGACCTAAAATTAACTTCCCACGGGGTCCCCAGAAGACAAGGATTTCAGAGTGATGTTTCCACAGACAGCAGCTTCATTCAGCTTTAGTGAAACCATTACCATCTTTTGTGTGTTTAGTCAGTCTTTACATCCTCATAATTTAATCATATTTACCTACAAAAAGTATACAGACAATAGGCTACAAGTGAAAGGGGGTTTTTCATTTGTTGTCATCACCAATATGATCATCGCTAATATGATCAACACAAGTTTAGTAATTTTCTGTAAATTGAAAATAAAACAGAAATTAAAAACTAGAGTAAAAAAAACACCTTCAGTTGTTTGTTTTGGAAAATAGTTGTATATTCTTCTGAAACATGAAGCAAAAATGAATAATTTTGTGTTAAAAAATAAAATGTTACCTATCACAGGAGGCATAAAGTAAAACTATAGCTGTAGAATAGCTGTTTTAAAAATAAAAATACATTTGAAAGTCATAAACATCTGCTTAAAGAAAAACATCTCATTTCAGAGAAGAGCTTCAGCATCATCATGTCTAAACTCTACAGTTGTCCATTTTAACTAAGATTTGGGCTCTTTGGCAGTTTGCTCTGTTGTGTCAGAGTCTGAGTCCGAGTCTTCCTCCTCTTTTTCCTGAGTATTTGCTCCATCCTGGTCAACGGCCACGGCTCCTTTTCTTTGAGGAAGGACAGTGAAGAAAGCCTCCTGCCAGCTGCCTTTCTCTAGGTACGCCAGGATTATCTCAAACACTGCAAGAGCATCAAAACGAAGTGTTAAACATATGAATATTTTTTTGCACTTTTTGGGTTCTTGATGATAGAAAGGGGATTTTGTCCAGAGTTGTTCTTTCACTGAAAGGCTTAGATTTCTGCAACAACAACCCAGAAAGGATCCCCACTGACAGAGATCTTTTTTAGCCCATTATAGACATGAAAAAAGTTCCTGAAAATTCCATAAATTACCCACCATGTTCAGATACAGATGAATTTTTCACCTCTGACTTCACCAGAGAAATCCTGACAGCCTTCTGGTATCATTCCGGGATTAAGTCGTGATCAACTCCTAAAGATGCCCATAGTGGCCCCCATGTACTGGTCTGACACCAGTGTTCTTACCATGGTTAACTGCCAAAACTTTCCGACTGTTCATCTTCACAAAGCTGCTCAGAGGCAGCTGAGCGTGCTCGATCCCCAGTTCCTTCGCCCTCTCAAATGTGATTCCCTACAGAGAGAAACCCACACAGAGCAGAGGTCAGCCTGCAGGAATCTCTATTTGCAGTCTCTTACAGGTATGAACTCAAACACGGACCTTATGGTGGTTGTGGTCCACCAGCCCCCCAATAATGTAGGCCTTCTTCTGGTCCAGCTCCTCCAGCACATTTGGAGAGTCTGAGGTGAGGTACACCAGCTCCTCCTTCTTCATCAGGTCGCTATAGTGCTCCGTTTTAATGTTGATGTCCTGTTTGATACAAAAGTAAGCACAGGTGTTGAGCACTGCATGCTCAGGCAAACAGTACAATGAGATCTAACACTGTGCTTAAAGGTGGGGTAGGCAGTATCTGAGGAAGTACCAGTTTTTGGGAGGAATCTTGAATGTAAACACTACCCCTCCTAACCAGTTTTCCCCTCAGCTCCTCCTCTCCACTCCATCTCTGCTCCAGCAAACCCCACCCACAAACAGACGTTCACTTGTATCATTCCAATTAAACTCATATAATGTAGATAAACACTTCAGATAATTACAAATGGGGCCCAGTCAACGTGAAAGTAAAAAGCATTGCTGCTACTGTAGATGCCTGACTGATATTAAAAGCTTTTTAGTACATACGGCACACACAAAAAAGAATTTTTTTAACAGAATCCTGCCTACCCCACCTTTAAATTATGGGACAGATTTGTAAATATGATTGATTGATGATTCAGCACAGTCTTAATGCAGTTCCTGGGTTTTCAATACAAGTGTGAATGATAGAAAAGTATGGAAAATGGAAAATAATCAACTTGTGCAAAAGGACAAACTCTGCAAAGTCTCTGTAGCACAGTCTGCTTGAAATCATGTGTCCTAAACTGATGCCTGACTTCAAAGAGTAGAAAATGCCTTATGTTCTAAAGTCAGAGCATGCTCACCTTCCAGTTCACCCATCCTTTGTCCTTCTCATCCATGCTCTGTTTCAGCTGTTTGCCCATACTGGTCAGATAGAACTGGAGACATAAGGGGAGCTGTTACACACCAGAGAGGATCACCTGCACTGTGTCATACAGGTCAGAAATCACTCACCTGTACAGGATGCACGGCCCGTCTGTTCTCGGCGTAGCACCTCTGGATCTGTTTGTGAAGCTTCCGGACATCCTGGACACACAACGAGACAACAGGACGTGGTTTAGTGCCTCAGTTAAGTCTCACTGGATACATGGTGGGTGTCCCTCTGCAGACCTTGATCAGCATGAGATCATCAAAGCTGCAGTCCACCACCAGCCTGAGGGAGCTGGGTGTGGCTTCTCTGCGTGGACGTTTCCTGAAGCTCTGAGCCTCTCCTGCCTCTTCAGGGTTATTCTGCCTCTGCTCCCGGCGCTGCTGCTTCCTCTCCTTTCGTTTCTGCCTGCAGCACCAAAAAACACTGTAAATATCCTCAAAACAAACTACACATTAATGTTTCAGTATTTATCAAATTGTGCCCACAAAAACTACAAACTGTATACAGACTGGTCCTTGCTTTAAAAATACCCAGTAAACAAATATGTACTTAGGCAGCTGAGATAATCACATGTATTTTTGACTCTGATTTCCTTCTTGTGTCCTCTTATTTTTAACTCCACATCATTACCACAAATCTCTCTCCTTCCCACTTTGAAAAATAAGACATAAAGTCGTCGTTTACATTGAAAACACTCTCACTCACTTTCGTAGCTCCCTTTCTTCCTCCCACTTCTGCTGCTTCAGGAGCTTCTTCCTCTGTCTTTTGGACAGGCTCTGGTTTTCTGTTTCTCCGTTTCGGCTCTCTGCCTGCACACTGCTCTTATTTTCTTCATTTTCACCCTCCTGCAGGACTGCACACTCACTTTTCGTCCCTTCTTCATCCATCTGTGCAGAGGAGTGATGCTTACTAATGCTGCTGTTGGCTAGCTGCTCCTGTGTGCTGGCTGGCTGCTGTTTGCAGCATTTAAAAGCGAATACGAGTCCAGTGCGTTTAGATTTAATCAGCAATTAAACCTTTTAATGGTATATTACCGCTGAAATATCCGATTTATGACTGACACTCAAATCCAGAGGATGAAACTTTACAACTTGCTTAACTGAGCGACACAGCTCCACATGTATAAAAGCGCTGGCGCGTTTGTGACGTCACTTTACAGCGCCAGATGCTTTTTAAAAAATTTTTTTTGAACTGTTGGAAAATTTATTATAAAAGGATACAAATAAAAAGAAACATAACAATAATACATCCAACGGGTTAGATGCGCTCTCGTAATCATTCTCTGTAGCTGGACGGTACGTCTGTTGGGTACGTCGACATCGCCGCCATATTGCTGAGGGCACTCTGGAAAGAGGCTCAATAACCTGTGTGTAGAAACAGGCCCCTAACTGCTGTTAAATCACTACATTCTTCAAACTTTGATTAATCACAGTTTGCAGAGCTCTTCACTGATCTGAACAAATGTGTTTGTAGGTTTCTGGGTTTCCCATTTCACCACAAACCCCATTCACTGGGACACCTGAGAGTAGCTTCTATAAAGCAGGAGTGTCATGCTGCCAAAATTTTCAATGGGGGTCCTTCTCCAAATATTTCTAGTATTTTCATACACATGTATCAAAAGATGAAGCGGTAATATTTTGATATGACAAAAAATATATATATTATAAAATATTATAATATTTTTTATAAATTATGTTCCAGCAGCCAGGCCTAACTATATTTTACTCCATACTCTGCCAAATAACAATTAAAACTAGAAGTTATTTTCATGTCTACCTGTGCCCTCAGCATCTTTACCTCCTGATGAACATCACCATAACTAACAACTCAGATATTGTCATTTAGATGGGAACCAAATCTTTAAAAAATATCTACCTGTTATTTAAGTTATTCAAAAAGGTATTTAAGGACATTTTGAGAAACAGTAGTGTTTCGAGGGCCCAATACACCCTGACCCAGACCATCAAAAAGCTAATTTTTGAATTATTTTACACAGAGATGATTATGATAAACTCCATGTAATTGCTCATCTAGAGTTATCTGTTAACGTTGCTCTTTAAAAATGGTGCTAAAGAGCATTTGGCTTATGTATGTATATATATGGTAGGCTGTGCATTGCAGACACTAAATGCATGTGTCAGCATATGATCATGACTCTGCAACATGATCCCACATACATCCATCTGCACACCCTCTTAACCCAGTTTCTATAACGGCCCACAGCCAGCTGAGCAGCCTCTCACACCGTCTGCAGACTTAGCACACATTCCTACACTGAAGGTGATAAGCTGTATATGAGCCTGCTAACAAACCTCTACACTGTTAATGCTGAATCAGACACGCAGAAGAGAGAAATCTTCAATCTTCAACAGTGGCTAAAAATTAAGGATTACAAACATGGCTTGCAAACACAACACAACCCACCCCGGCTGATGCTTCAGTTCACTCGAGGTCAATGAGGAGAGAGTGCTGCAGGACTGAGTGTTGGTCACCCCGTTGCTATGGAGACATAACTCCACCTCTGGGGGTTTTATCTGGGTGTAAGATCTGCTAATATATGTCGGTACTGGAAAATGAAATCACCATTTGTTTCTAAAACTTACAAGCAAATCTAAATGTAACTTAGACTTTAACACAGTATTGAAATTTAGCTTACAAATCAAATCTTTTCATGTCATTTTCAATGTGCTCTTATTGGAGAAAGAATGATAATATCATAGACCGTATATAGAATATACAGTCTGAGTCACTCTAAATTAAATGATTTAAGATTCTTGTTTGATTTTAACCTCTTCATCAGGAGGAGCTGGTGAAGTCAATAATGAAGGAACGTGAACTTCTCCTATATGGTTTCAGCCAATCAGCATCCTTTCCAGGTCCCTTAGCCCAGAGTTGCTTTGCATGTGTCTATTGTGCTGCAAGCCTGAATGTTTGGGAGAAAGCTGCAGTGATATGAGTCCTGATGGTTTAAATCAAGCAGCACGGTCCTCTTCAGTGGTGGTTCGATCAGATTTATCTGAAGATACTCAAGGTTTGTTGTTGTGTTTTCTTCTGTACTGTTTACCTGAGCATTAAACCAGTCTGCAACTTAAAACAATAGGATAAAGTCAAGTCTGATCCACTTAATGATGTACTTCAGTTTTTATGCTGAGTTGTGTCCACATTCTTGATTTTTCTTTGTGTTTTTAAAGATTCCCATGATGCTGTTGGATGCAGCTGCAGGTCATTTGATGTATACTGTTTTAAACATGCAGGAGCTGCTTTTGAAGTTTCCATCTGTAGAGGATGTGGTTTTCTGCAGCTTCATATTCTTTCTGTAGTTTTTATCATGATCCTGCAACTACTGAACAGACAATAATCATGTGAAAAACGTGGATTGATCATGTTAAGTTGAATCTTTTACATACCCATAATCATATCATATTATCATGTGAATTACTATTTACTGTATGTCAAATATACATTCAAAGTTACAGTTTGTATAAAATACATGACCATAAATACATATTTTCAATCAAACCATTTTCTGACTGATCTTACTGAGTGTTTTAATGATTGCAAACAGACTGTAGGTGATTGCACTGACCTTTGACCTGCTCTGTATCTGTCCTCTGACAGGAGGAAGATGGTCTCCAGGTTCCTGCTGCTTGTGGCTCTGAGCTGTTGTGTCTGCGGTGAGTCCCATCTTCACTTTTAGTCTCAAAGAGCAGATCTACTTTCAGACTAAAACACTTAAATTCTTTGATTAGAAAAGATGTCCCAGTGTTTTTCTGCTCCTCTCTCCCTTTCTCCATTTCTGTCTCCTCTACAGGAACCTTTGTTGTCAACGTGGCTCACACCTCCTATCAGGCAAAGGTGAACCAGGAGGTCACACTGGAGTGGACCTTCACCAACAACTCTGACAACTCATCAAAATCTCTTTCTTTCGTCTGTGACATGTTCACCGATCACAGATACTCAGTCCTTATTGATGTATGAGAAGGAGTGGAGGTCTTACAGTCTCAGAATAAAGAGTTTACTGGAAGACTCCACTTTGACAAAGATGTCCTCAGAGAGGGACGAATCAGACTTCATGTGTCTTCACTCAGGACTGAAGACTCAGGCTGGTACCGCTGTGAAATTTTCTCATCCTATGGTATGAGTTTGGACAAATGCTAGCTGACTGTGATTGGTGAGTTGACTTAGTAAAAATCATCAGAACTTTATAGAAAGGTTAAGTTTTTGAAAATACAGCTCCTGCTGTCAGTTTCACATATTTCATGACTGACAGAGATCTTTCATTGTCTTTGCAATAGAGAGGAATCAGACTGTCAATGAGACGGAACCTGAGGGTCCAAGAAAGACTGGTCTTTACATTGGACTGGGAGTGACAGCAGCAGCTCTGCTCCTGGTTTCTGTAATTTTTTTGATTTACAAAAAGTTTTTAACTCAGAGTCCAGAGGTGGTTTGAGAAATGAGATTATTAGACTACACCTGCTGGTGTACATATACTATAGACAGTAAATGTAAGTGACACTAGTCTAGATGAGGTTAAACCTAAACTAGGGGGGTTAGTGTTGATATTGGCTTGAAAATTGGCAGACAGCAGATCTTCAATCTCAGACCTCGATGAACAGTTTGTGGCTAACTCAGTAAGGGATAATATTCAGTGAACAGGCCATTAAAGGTTGGATAGGCAGGATTCTGTTAAAAGAAGCATCTCGTTGTGGTGAATATACAAAAAGCTTTTAATATCAGTCAATAGTTATTGATGACATTTGGGAATATCATGATATCGCTGTGTTTTTATCATGTCTGTGTAGTCAACACATAGTTAAATCTTTTGAGCGGCCCCTCTTTCTGACCGTAAACAAAGCCATTTTCCACCTCCCCCAACCTGCTTGGTTGTGAGGCAGACGCTGCTACCTTGTGTTGTGAGGCACGCTCCACATCCTCCAATAACGTGCACGAGCCCAAACAAAGTTAGCGTGCTACAATATCGGACAGTAGAAAACAAACAGAAAGTAAGAAAAACACAAGCAAGGAAACAAAGTAAATACTGGAGACTCTGGCGGAATAACGGGCGCTTAAAACGGAGGTAGACCACCTGGACAAGAGCTAAAAAGCCAGATCAGTGTCAATGGAGCATAAACAATGGGTTATGCTGCGAGGTCTTACGGACCCTGTAACCTTTTTGCTGGACAGGTAAACCGCTTTAACAAAGTAAGCCAAGTGTCTGTAACAAAAGTGTTTCTTGTCAAACGGGACCTGCTACATGTTGTAGCGCCGCTTATCTGTTTAGCTCGCGTCCTGGAGTATGCCACTTTATCCTAGATGTAGAAGTCCTGCAAACATTGTGTTTGCTGGTAGTCTGTTGGCATGTACAGTAGCACCAATGCTTTTTACTTTCACATTGACTGGACTCCATTTGTAATTATCTGAAGTATTTATCTGCATTATATCTGAATTTAACTGAAACGATACGAGTCAGCAGGAGCGTCTGTTTGTTGTGGGGGCTTGCTGGAGCAGAAAGAGAGGGGAGAGGAGGAGCTGAGGGGAAAACTCGTTGGGAGGGGAAGTGTTTACAGTCAAGATTTCTCCCAAAAACTGGCACTTCATCAGATCCTGCCTACTCCACCTTTATGGGTCAAGCTAAACCTGTCAGGATTAGTATTATCCACTATTAACACACCTGTAATTTTTGTTTTAATTAATCTTTTTATGCTCCTGTATATGTATGCATATACTTATTCATTTTAGGAAAGATATTAAGGACAGATATTCTGCATTTAAAGTATTAAAAAAATGTACAAATCAAAAAAAGAAAACTTTTGTTTTTGTTTTCCAAGATTTTTTCTGAAAATGTTTGTGTTTTGTGAATTGTTTTTAAAATGAATGTTATTTTTTGCATTTCTAAAACCATTCTTGTTTGTGTAAATCAGTTTATACATTTTAGATTTTTGTGTTTTACTAAATATTTCTGTATCAACTAAAATATTTTTAATGGTCTTTGAAATCTTTTTTGTAGACTTAAGTCACATGCAGTTGACCTTCAGGGCCACCATACATCTCAGACAAAGCTTTCAACTTTCAACTACAGCTGCATGATAGAAAAAATATCAAAGCTGTCTTACATCTGTCCTTCTAGTGGCTCCAAAATCCCAACAAATCTGATTTTAAACAGTTTAGTCGTCTAGAGCAGATAATTGATGCTGAGAGTCTAACTAGTTCAATAATAAGGAGCAAGTGACTAATGTGTGAATTTACTTATCACTCATTCACATTTATTAACAACATTTAAAAATGTGTTTCAAATGATCAATTCACTAATTTCCCGTGAGTTATGGCTGCAGTGTGTCATGGGCCACGGTTAAACAAAAGGAAAAAGGACCCCAAAATGCAGAACAAGGGATTTATTTAAAAAGAACTAAATGAAAAAACAACAAAAACTTTCTTCAAAATGTCCAACTAAAAAAATCCCAAAGGCAAAATCCAACAAAAGACACACACTGACCTACGAACGCACACACAATAAACCAACAAAGGAACAGGGGAAGACAGGGACTATATACACAAACAGGGTAACGAGCAACAGGTGAGACACAGGTGAAACTCGTTAGTGATTAACGAAGGAGGGAAAACTGAGGAAGTAAAACCAGACTGCAAACACAAGGAATCAAAAACTACAAAATAAAACAGGAAACACTGAAAACTGATCCAAAGAATAAAACACAGACAACATGAAAAAAAAACAGGGTCAAACACAAACTAAAAACTCACAAGACAGGATCACAGGAATAATAGAGAACAGAAACACTAGGGAAAATACACAGAAAATAAACTCAAATAACAAAACCAGGGAAAAAAAACTAAATTTACAGAACATATCATGACATGGTTTTCATTTTCATTTTCATTTTCCCCACAACAATCTCACCAAAAGAAACACAGAGTTTGACTTTTGATGATTCATTACACCAAACTGTATAACTGTAGGCAAGTTTAACATTAAGGTGGTTAATTTTTCTCCCTGAATGATGAATAACATAATCCACATAAGCTTTTATTGCTTATTTGCCCCCATGATTACAGGTTAAGAGTAAAAAGTAGGTTAATTTTCATTAAACACTTCTACCTTTAACATAGATTTTTAATTCCAGCTCCAAACAACAACAAAAAAGACATACTTTGTGTGGTATTTAATGAAGCAAGCAGAAACTCAGCTCTTTTGTGCATTTCTATTTACAGGATTGGTTCGTAGAGTCTCTATGTCCCTAACTGTACAGTGAATTTCTGCGGTAATATGCACAGTGGCTTTGTGTAAAGAGTGTTAATGAAGGGAAACACTCGCTCAGAGAAGGCCTGGTAGAAGGTGTAAAGGTGTGTGTTTGTATCCTTATCATAGAAGGAGAGTTTCCCTTTGTCCCAGTCCAGCTGCACCCTGATCCTCTGCAGCCTCTTCTGCACAGAGAGGAATTCATCTGTAACTGGAGGAGAGTACGCTTTGTACTCACCACCGTGAAACCGCATCTCCCAGTACCCAGTCAGGGAGCCTCCTTTCCTGGGCTTGGATTCTCTGATCACGCCCACCGCCCAGTCTGCATCACTCTTCACCTCTACATCCCAGCTGTGAGTCCCTGAGTCAAAGCCCTCAGACCCCAGCACCATCGGGTATTTCTGAAATCTCTCCGGGTTCATAGGGAGCAGACTCTTCTTCTCCACATATATCAAATGTCTCAGATCATCAAACACAAAGAGGTTCATCCCTGCGGTGTTTGGATCCAGAATCACAGGAGAGTACGTCACTATCTCCTTCATCTCGTTCCAGACGTTGAAGGTCAGGTTGCCCAGGTGTTTGGCCACGTCTATCAGAGCACCTGAGCCAAGCTGGGGATCTTCCACCAGGGAGCACTGTTTGGCTTTCTCCACTGCTGCCTTGTAGTTGTGCAGGAATGTGATACTACCAGATTGCAGCTCCTCCTCTGTGGCTTTAATGGTGTCAGAAAGAGAGTCGATCTGTCTGCTCAGCGTCAGGATCTTTGCCTTCATCACTCGACACTTCTCCTCCTCCTCTCTCCTCAGAGCATTAACCCTGGCCTCTTCTTCTTTATTGAGGAAATACTGAAGCTTCTTGAACTTCTCTCTTATCTGGCTCTCTGTGGTTTGAGTCTGATCCTGAATGTGTTTGATAGCTTCATCCCAGTTCAGTTGGACTCTTGTGCAGTGTCTCTTTTTTTCCTGTAAGGTCTGCAGGTGTTGTCTGAGCTCCTTCTTGTAGTCGTCTGCAGCCTCATCCAGAGGGCTGAATCTGTGGTTGGTGTGCGCTCTTGAATCCCGACAGACGACACACACTGGCTGCTGATGGTCAAAACAGAAGAGCTTTAACTTCTCTGAGTGCAGACTGCAGAATGTCTCAGGCTGTGCAGGGGTCATCTCCTTCCGAAAAGGGTTCAGTGTGACAGCATCACACAGGTTCTTTAAGGCCAAGTTGCAGGGTGGGTCACCTTTTGGAGATCTCTTTTTGCAGATGGGACATGTTTTCGGCCATGTGTGGGACCACCGGCGCTTCAGACACTCTTTGCAGAAGCTGTGGCTGCACTGCAGCACCACAGGGTTCTGAAAGATGCCACTACAGAGTGGACAGAGATAATCTTCAACCAGGGGAAACTGAGAAAACATTTTCCTCTACTCACTCTCTATCTGCAGCAGGTGGACGTGGACGTATTCCAGTACTCCCAGTAACCCCTTTCTTCTGTGTTTCTTCTTTTTCAGTGGAAGCCGTTGGTGTGTTGTCCTGTGGTTTGTCTCTGTGCATGTGTCTGTCTGCAGTGAGAAAGATAAGCTGTGTTTCCTGGTTGATGTTTTTATAGTCAGCGAGTGGGAAGTTTTCCAGATCTTTCTTTGAAATATGAATTCCTGAGCTGCCAACCAGGAATGACATTCTTGAACATTCCTCAGTCATTGCTCAGTCATTTCTCAGCAGTTTTTACATACTTCTTTATGAAAGATCTGTTTCATAGCCAGCAGCACATTGGTTAACTTTATATTTGATGTGTTTTAAATGGAAATCTTGTACTCTTATATACTTTACGAATTTAATTATTGTGCTCATGAAATGAAAGACTTGAGTGAAACGCATTTCTGTCTGACATATCTTACTGTTTTTCACCTTTCCCTCTTATCTGCTGTGAGACTTGTTCCGCAAAGCTGCAACCACACACCAAGAACAACCAAACACGAGATGTGACCGCAGTGCTGTGATATATCACCTTTAAAAAATGGGGTGATGCAAGTGTTAAAAACACAGTTTGATATTTTGCAATTAGGTCATTTTCTATACCACGGGTGGGCTAGGGCCTGTCCCATCTGTCATTGGGCGAGAGGTGGGGTATACCCTGAGTCGGTTGCCAGTCAATTGCAGGGCCACATAGAGAGACAGACAACCAGTCATGCCCACACTCATACCTCAGGACAAGTCAGAGTCACCAATTAACCAAATGAGCATGTTTTTGTTTACCACATGCACGGGAAGAACATGCAAATTTCACACAGAAAAGCCCCACCCAACCCGGGAACCGAACCAGCGATCTTCTTGCTCTGGGGCACGTATGCTGCCTGTTGCTCCATCATGCCGCCCTAATGAGGGAAACTAATGAGGTTAATTTCTAACGGGTTAGTAACATGACTGGGTATAGGAAGACAGGCAGAGAGGCTGAGTCTCTCAGAGGGAAAGATGGGAAGAGGTTTACCACTCTGTGAAAGACTGTGTGAGCTAACAGTTCCAACTGTTTTAGAATAATGTTCCTGAGTGTCAAATATGAAAGAATGAGTGGATTTTATCATCTACAGTACATAATACACCAAAAATAGGACAAAGGAGACCCTGAACTGTTGGGCAGCTGAAATCCTCTATCGGGCAAGAATGTGACAACATTTCACTTTCAGAGTCCAGAACCTGGTCTGCTGGGTTCACTAAGGTCTACAGAGGGTTGTTTTAAACATGTTGCTGGTGTGTTTGGGTTAAATGGTGGTTCATGAAAAGGGTAATATTGGTATGAGGATGTTGTTTCTTCTGGTTTCTGCAGATGAGTTATGAGCTCGTAGATCAAGTTTAGCAGAAACAACTAAAGGCTTCTCGTACATCTACTGGCAGCAGTCATCTTTTGGCATTTTGTCAGGTCCTCACTGGGGAGTCAGGGCGGGGAATATGAAAAATTTCCAAGACAGAAAGACGGTTTAGGTTTGTTTTACATTTCCAAAATTATCATTTTCATTGCAACTGGCAGCAAACTCAGTGACAAGCTCAAGTTTTGAAGGTATTTGGACACAAGCTTCAGTTTTGAAGGTATTTGGACACAAGCATTGTTGTAGACACTCATTAGGAAGTTATTTGAAAGGCAGTTTTATGAGAAGGAAATAAATAGTATGAGGCTGTTGTAACATCTGTTTTTTGAAAGATCAAGTTCAGTAGCAACAACAAAACACTGGTGTGATGAATTGTTGGCACTTATCATGTTTTTATAGGTCTTCAATTTAAAACATACAAATGTCAGTTTTTACTTAAGCTTGTATCTTCTGGTTAAAATAATGTTATTGAAGGTTCACTTAAGTGAGACAAAATACAAGTGGAAAGATTTGCAAAAAGAGTTTCATATTTATTACATTTACACAAACACATTTATCTACTTTTCAGGAGACATGCCTCACAGTGTCCATAAAAGGAATCACAGCCAAGTATGTACATTTGCAAAAAAATCCAAACTTAAAAAAAACAAAAAAGCTTTTCTTAACCAAATGTCAAAGTTTCTCATTGTCCTTCAAAAGCTACAATTCCTGCTTTTCAACTACAATCTCATTCCTAAAATCTAAAACATCCTCATCATTTCTTTTCTATCTACTTTCTGTTACCTTCATCACAAAAACCTGCTGTCACAGTTTTAAAGCTGTTCTGATCTCAAACCCTGTTTGAGTGTCCTTTAAAGAGGTTTAAAGTCATACCAAAACAAGACAGTGACACATCAGTGTACCAGGCCTAACTCTGAGACCTGAGAAATAAATATTTACACTTTTACACAACTTAATTACACAAAAATGAGCAGAAATCCTCATGTATGATTCAGAGTTACTGCAAAAAAATCAAAGTGCTGCAAAGTAGATTTAACTTACATAATTAAAACAAGCTAGAGCGTTAATAGCCCCCCCCTACTGACTGGATGCAGTACAGATCATAAAGCCCGCCTCCTCCATGTAAACAGATGGATCATGGGCTAAACAAAAAACAAAAAAATAAAAAATCAAACACACTTCAAATAAATTTTATAGACACACGGTTTATGTTCTTACAGTTTGTTTTTTTTATCATGCTGATTTATCACAAACAGTTTATTTGTTTAAAAAAGTCTGTGTAATCCATGTAAATATATTACCTCTAACTAAAACACATTTAAATAAGACACCCAGTAAAAACACTACTACATCTGCATCAGAGTGGTTTTCTCCCACAACTAGATTGTCACAGCAGTTATCATTTAAAATATGAATATTTCCAAATATGAAGTTTTCCAATACTAAAAATAGAAGTTGAGCTTGGTAATAGAGTAACATTTCCAGCAGTTGATTGCATTTTGAGGAAGGATGGACCGGCCAGCAGATCCATGGTCTGTGAAGTATTTTATGTACAAAATAAAAAGAACCAAAACTAACTCTTGAAGCAAATATAGCTCAAAAAAGCCTAAAAACTAAACCAGGCTGTAGGTTTAAGTGTCATCCTGGAGGTCTCTCTTTGGCTTGCCTGCCAATTTTTTTATAATGCACTTTGTGATGGTAGCATGTAGTTAGCTAAAATTAAATGCCAACAATAGTAAAACACCACCACTGAAAGTAAATGGGGAAGGCTTTTATTTTGGTGGGAATCCTGGTCCCTCAGAAAGTCTGGTGAGATAGTGTTAAAGTCTGCTTTGTGTCACATGTGTACTGCAAAAATAGACCTACATACATCATGCACTCAACTTAAATGAAGTACTTTTACTACACAAATATACTAGTACTACTTTTAACCTGAACTAAGACCTACAACCAAGTCATCTCAGGGGCCTAAACATATCATTCAGTCACGTTTGGAGTTTAATTAGAAGAACTTATTTTGACCTGATCATAATTAAGTCTGAAAACTAAAATTATATGTTACAGTATCCTACAAAGCCACAGGTTCTATTTTAACCTCCACCTTTTTCAAAATAAAACTGTGTACTGCTACTTCTGTATGTATATATTCGGAGCCTTAAGTGGGCCAGTGCTCTCTTGAACATGTTACCGCCTCTCCTTGGCGTGCTGTGACTTTTTGGTGAATCAGGACTTCTTAACTTGCAGCTACCAGACTGTCTTTCTCCAGTATTTCCCCATTTTTAAAAGTTCAGTCAAAGTGAAGTCGAATCGTCTAACTTTTGTTTGCATATTCACAAATGCAGGAAATCAAAATGTAACGAGACCTTCAGGATGTTTTCTATTGCAAGGACTAAACATAAAGTACTAAAAATAATCAAAAGTGCTCAATTAAAAAGTCCATCATGGTGGATAAACAGGGACATAGCCTACATAGGTAACAACATACAACATTAGACCAATTATAAAAACTATAAATTACATGAAAGGAAAAGCTGAATAAGTGGCAAAACATGTCAAATTTTTTGTATTTTAAAAAATTTCACCCTGATTTCTATGATTGATTACAGATCTAGAGTGATGAAACAGATGCTGACAGTTAAATGAGTCTGCCAGACTTTTATACTCTTTTTTTAAATACACTACAGCTAACATGGGATGTAATCCATCTTCTCAAAAAAATTAAACATACATGACTGAAGAGACCAAAATCAGAGAAGTCCAGCAGATTCTCAGAGATCAACCCTGAAAAAGAAACAAGAAACAGAGTCTAAGTGAATTCGGACACAGTGTAAATATATATATATTTTAATCTTGAAATCACAAATAAACTACACTAATATCAAATCTGACATTCTTTTTAGAAATCCTGGACCCTCCAAAGAGTAGAGGGACCAACCACCAACTTTCTGGACACCATCTACGAGGTTGTGTTTGGCTCCTGAGGTTAATGAAAAAGGTAATATTGGTATGAGGATATAGTTTCTTCTGGTTTCTGCAGATGAGTCATAAGTTTAGTAGAAACAACTAAAGGCTTCTCGTACATCTACTGGCAGCTGTCATCTTTTGGCATTCTGTCAGGCCCTCACAGGTGAGTCAGGGTGGGGAATATGAAAAATTTCCAAGACAGAAATATGGTTCCGGTTTGTTTTACATTTCCAAAATTGGCATTGACAATACAATTGGCAGCAAGCTCAGTGACAAGCTGGAGTTTTGCAGGTATTTTGACCCTTGATAACACACTCACATTTTGCCTTTAAAGCCCAATTACAGCACTCTTAGTTTTGGTATCAGTCAACGCCAAAGTAATTGATTGTTTTGGATGAAAAACTGACACGCTGAGTCATTTCCTCTTGAGTATTACTGGAAAAGCTGTCGTCTCTTACCAACCTTTTGTTTCTAAAATCCAGTCTGTGTTTCTGAATTGAGGAAGTCTTTTTTTTTTATTTATCCAAAGCATTATAAAAATGAAAAAGGCAGCTGGATCAGGTGTCTGGTCAACCCTCTGTTTACATATTCTACATTAATAAATAAATAGGGTGACCATATTCTGAATCCCGAAAAAAAGAGGACACGACTAAACAGGGGCGGAGTCACTGAGTCGTGCATAGTTAGTTTTCAGAGTTTTTCAGGTCAGATAAAGTGTTGCTCAAAAAATTGAAGTTAGCTAGAGTGAGGCTTTTGTTTAAAGAGTTACTGTGAAACTGAGACTTATGACACTGAAGCAAGCTAATTTAAGCTTCCTTAACAGTAAAACTGAGACTCATAGGGTTTGTACCAGAGATTTTAGCCAGACTGAAGTCTTTGTTCGACTGTTTACAGTGAAACTGAGTGTTATCGGGCTCAAACCACTGAAGTTAGCTGGAGTGAGGCTTTTGTTTAACAAGTTACAGTGAAACTAAGACTCATGACACCGAAGCAAACCTTTGCAAATCTTCCCTAACAGTAAAACTGAGACACAAGGTTCATCCCATAGATGTGAGCCAGATTGAAGCCTTTGTTTTGCTTTTAAAAGTGAAACTGAGACTCATGACATCGTAGCAAGCCAAAATTAGGCCTCCTTAACAGTAAAAGTGAGATTTAACACAAACAGATGAAGGGGATGTTTACTTTGGACTTTGAATTTCACTTTACTTTCAGACAGAATATAAATTTCCTGTTGCGCTGCAAAAATACAGCACAGAAATAAATTGTTAATAGAGACATTTATTGCTATTGGACAGTGGTCAGTGTGTTTAGAGGTTGGGTTTAGCCCAAAACTTTTAAGAATAATTCCTGTACAAAAGCCATTTTCTCCATCCTGCATCAGTCAGGATATCTGATGACTGTTCAAACACAGCTGAGCCCTGCAGTATGTGTGTCATTCTCAGATGAGAAGGGGAACTCCAAATGCTCACAGCTGCAGCGTTGTGCTGCCATGTTGCATGCTGTGTTTATGTAATTCCTGATGGGAGGCCATGTGAACCTGCCTTCTCACTCTCTCTGTCTTTAAATGAGCGCTCCTATAAAAAGCCAGCTGACCCTGCTGCGACTCTGACCCGCCAGCCTGCCTCTTGATGTCCAGCAGCAGCTGAAGCAGCCCGTCCGTGTATACAATAACAAATACCTGCCATCACTTGACCTTTTACTACTAATGCACAAGCGTAATGTCCGACATGCTGCACACGCTCACATTCACACACCTAGCTAATGAAGAGATGTTAGAATGATCCGCTGTGATACCAGAGCGCCAAACATGCTCAGCTGCAAACTTTACAATCCCACTGTGTCTCTACTTTTGTTGTGCATGTTGACTGACATGGTTAATAGTAAATAAATTACATGCAAAACATTGTAAAACCCTCTAGGAATGAAGCGGCAACATGGCAGCCTAACCAGAGCCAGAATTTGATTGGCTGGTGTGCTGTAATGTTTAAAAAGTCCTCGGAGAGCAAGTGTCTCCAAGCAAATCTGGATTATTCTTTGATCAGAGGTGGACAGGCGCATTATTATACACAGTTTGTGCCCCATGAGAGCAGTATCATAACTGATACGCTGTTTTTGTGATAACTGCTAAGTTGCATGATGATATATAGAATAAAAAAATGTCAGGCCCACTTGTATCAGGGGTGCAGAAGCATCACTGCACCTTCATCTCTAGTTTCTGCCGAAGGATCTCCATCAGGAAAACGCGCTGCAACAGCACAAACGCCACAATGACAGTGTTTACTGCTGCAGACTCTACAGTACACCATGATGAGATTAATGAAATTACGAACAGACCCCAGACCCCGGCCTGTAATAATACCAGTCTTATTTGTAAAGCAGGGTGAGGCATGAAGTTTGCAACTTATAGTTTGTAGCTAGCAGTGTTATTATTTCAGTATTCGGCTTAAAACACACTTAAAATGTCCTTGCATGCAGGGCCCACTTTAGACCCTGAGCCTGCAAAATGTCCCTGAAGGGTGAAGTGCAAATTCAATGCCATTAGTGCCATCACAAGGAGTCCTTAAGTCATGGTGTTAGTAGGAACATGAAACATCATGCTCACTTGCTGCAAAGTGAGCAACTTTCAAATAATAAGCTTTTCAAAAATGTTATTTGCATTTATGCTTATTGCAAAAAGTCAAAAAGTGGCTCAGAAACAAGACTATATTAGAACATGATCCATCATGAAGATTCATTGCCGTGAGTATAACATTTAATTTTGAACACTTTTAGGACTGAAAGTACAATCCCCCCACCCCAGTGTGGACTGTAGCCAGAGAATCAGAGTGACACCTCGCAGGTCTGCAGAGTGCTGCGGCTTCTCAGGTCTCACTCTGTGTGTGACATTACAACAGAAATAGACCATGGAAGTGTCTCATTATGCCTATTGCTCCAAATATAACCCACCAAGAATACGTGTCAGGGGAAAGAGCGTCCTCTTCACACCACTACGGCCCTTTCATTAAATCAGTTTTATTTTTACTCTTACACAAGTTCAGGCAGACTTTATGAGATTTTTTGGATTTGCTTTTTTAATCTTTGATTGTAAAATATATCTTATTTTTTGGAAATTTTGATGGAGGACTTTTACTTTTTGACAAGTTTTATCAGATTATTTTAGTCATTTTATTCATGTAAAGGATCAAATCATAGCGCAATGGTCAGCTGAGCAAGTCAGGCACCACAGCTGCCATAGGTTTGACTCCCAGTCATCACCTTTAAAATCATTTCCACTTTCTCTTCTGCTGTCTTGATTAACAGAGGCAAAAATTCCCAAATACATCACTTTAAAGAAAGGGCCTCAGCATGTGGAGGTTCAGAAAGTCAACGTCACAAACATTCATTCACCAGGAAAAAAGCTATAATGTCACTGATAGAAAAATAGAAACATAAAATATTTCACTGAAACTCAAAATAAATCACTGAAAATCAAAATACATTTCATGAAATGTAAAAATAGCTTTCATTTTATGAAAAATTTACTTGTTTTACCAGAAGTTTTGTGTTGCATTGAATTTTTTTAATTTATATTTTTCTGTGTATCTTGGAACATTTTGATTTTTTTGTTGTACTTTAGCACTGTCCCAAACTTTTGGGTTGTTGTAAAATATTCTCTCACTTCATCAGATGTTTTTTTTTCTTGTAAAATGCATTTTTAAAATAGTCTGTGTGTGTGACCATATTTTGTAAATGATTTTTGCATCCCATTAAATGTTTTTGTACTGTATGAAAGACTTTCTACATCCCACTGAAAATCTATGTTTTTTCAGCTTTTCATTAAACATTTTTGTGTCTTTAAAAATATGTTTAGGATTTGTGACATATTGCATCTGTATTTTGTTGAATTTTAGGATTTTTTTTTTACCTTCAGTGAATTTTTTGTTGTGATGGAATGCTTGTGCAGTTGACCTTCAGGGCCACCATACTTGTGCCTCAAACTTCTAGGAACAAATTGTGATCAGCCAAACTCTGTCAAACACTCAGACCTCCTCACCTGTCCAGATGGGCTGCCATTCATCTGTGCTCCACCACAAAGCTCATGGTGGTCCCATCAAATGAAGGCGGGGCGATGATCCGTGGCCCCTGCTGGGAGGTGATACTGATAACCGGCTGCTTGGCGCTGGAGAAGCCTTGTGCTGGCCTGCTGGCAGAGGTCGCAGCGGTGGCAGCCTGCTGTTGAACCCCGGATGCCATCTGGGGGGACTTTCCTGTTGCCATGTAGAAAGGACTCTCCATGTACAAGCCCTCTGTCTGCTGTGACGAAGCTTTCTCCATACTGTCAACATCTGAGTGCATCGACATCTGCGACTGCACCAGCGTCCGTGCAGGGATCACAGATGGCGTTGGCATGAAGCCTGGGTAGATCATGTAGGTATGTCCAAAAGCTCCAGGACTTAGTGCTAAAGGTGAGACAGGCATGGGAACTGGCGCCATAGGAGCCTGGGGCATCGGAACGTCCACGTACTGGCCTGTCTCTGGGTCAAAGAGACGCTTTGTGGTTGGCTGCACAGGTGTGTCTACCAGGTAGTAGTTCCCAGTTGTGGGATCCAGGAGCATCTTCCTCTGGGTGGGTTGGAACGGATCCAGAGTGGGTGCAGGTGTGATTGCTGGGGAAAAGCAGTACATATGAGGCTGGTTTGCAGTCATGCCTAATGGCATGGAGTGGTAGATGGTTGCTGAAGGGATCTCTGGTGATCGTGTCTCCATGACTATGCTGGCTCGTTGCGGGGACTGGTTGCGGTCTTCATGACCTTTGGTGCTGAAACCAGACTGTCCTGATGTTTGTGTTGGATGTGTTTTAGTGGTGAAGGTGTACACTGAAGTTTTATCAGCAGAAGAGATCGGTTTGTTGGTGCCAGCTGGAGACTTTAGAGGAATAGTGAGGTAGTTCTCGTTGTCAGCACCGAAAGGATCTTGCAAGGACCTCTCTACCCTCTTTGTTTCAGCTTCCTCGTGCCCACCCAGGTTTTTCCGGCTGCTTTTCAAGGACACAGGTAGTTTAGGGGATTTTGGGGTGAACTTTTTGGTACTGAAGGGTGACTGCGGGGCAGCATTTGATTGTGGTGTCTTGGCTGTTGTGGAGGACTTAAGGCTGGAGCTCAGACTGAACATGTTCTTGCTCCCTGAAGTGTTGGCGGTTGCAAGAGCGTGCATGGACTTGGCAAGCAGCTTGTCATCACGGCTGCTGGGACTCTGTTGGACTTTATCGTCTCGCCTCAGCAGGCTTGGGGATGCTGCTACTGCTGGTGGGGTCTTGTCAGTGTTGGGGTAGGAGTCTTGTCTGGTTGTCTTCTCCATACTGTACCCTTTGGCGTCCTCCTCCTCAGGTCCTCCGTGCTCCTCACTGGTGATCAGTGAAAGGACATGGCTGTCTGTCAAAGGCCGGGGCTCATTCTTTCTTTTCCACTCGTTTCTTTCAAACACATAGAGCTGCTCCATGGTTTTCACAGCAGCCTGGAGTTTCTCGAACGCCGCCTGGTTCGCCATCTTTGTCTCTGGTTTCTTATCTGCGGTATCTGACGGCTTCTCCTGCTTCTTTGAGACTATTTTACTCTCAATTCCCAACCCAACTCCCCCCTCTGAGGAGTTATTAGAGTTAGTTACTGGTGCCGTCCCTGCAGCTCTTTGCAGTTGAGCATTTATAGCGCCCTCTGGAGACGATCTGTCTAAATCAAGCTGCTCCTGTTGAGAGATCTCTTGTTTGCCGTTACTGTTTGTATTCACAGACTGACATTTTATCACTATAGGGGACACAGACTTGAGATTTCTAAAGGGTATTTGCTTCTTGTGCTCTGAATGGCTGTCAACAGCAGATTTATTTTCGTGGTTATCCAAAGAAACAAAGTGATAGGAGCTTTTAACCAGTTTACGCACGTCCCTCACCTGGTGAATGGGCGTCTGCAGCTTCCCTTTATTATCTCTAATATCTCTGACCATGAAATGCGGCACTTTATCAGAACACTCACCCTTCAGAGCTGCAGCCAGAGCCTGGCATTTGAAGTCATCTGCCCTGACGAGGCTGACTGGGTTACAGCCTATATTAGGAGCGCGCAGCTTGGAGACGCTGAAGGGCTCAGTTTTATTGTCTCTGACACTCCTTAAGTTGATTTTGATTTCCGGAGATTTAGATGTAGCTACACTCCTGGATTCTGCGATGTACAGCGTGTTGTCTGAGCGCTGTTTTATTCCCTCTTCGTCTTCACAGGGAGAATAGCTCCTGTTCTGCAGCTGCTGCGCCTCTTCTCCGTCACTGGGCAGCAGTTGGATACTTGGCACAAACAAATGTGACATTTTAATCAGTTTGTTGCTCGATGAGTGCTGGTCCCCCTCGCCCTCTTTGTCGTTAGCTGAAGGCAGCTTCTCCTCCGGACTTTTATCGTTTTTATGATCCTTTTGAAACTCTACCTCCCCTTCCTTCCAGCATCTGAATGCGCTATTTTGGCTGCGAAGCAGCGTGCTTTTAGAAGCTTCCAATGCGCCTTTTTTAGCATCGATTCCAGCTTCATTTGCCGTCTCTAAATTAGTTTCAGGTGCGGGAGCGGCCGTGTCTTGTCTCCGCGAGTCGCTCTTCGTATCACATGAGCCGCTGTCAATGATGTCCCCTAATTCATCCACGCACATTATGGCGTAGTCAGAGCTGCTCTCTGAGAACTTGGAGCTCTGTCTGTGCAGCTCCCTGCTCCCCTTCCCCCTGTGGCCGTCGCTGTCCTGGTGCACGAGGCTCGGTGAAGGCGTCTGATGCGGCTCACTGATCTCCCCTCTTTCCATCTTGCGCTCCTGCTCGAACTGCATCTTCTTAGAAATCACATTTTTAATCAAGCTGGAGGCGAATATGGCCTTCTTGTGTGTGTCTTCCATGGCGTTAGAGGAAGGCTGGCTGGCCCCTCTCCTCTGGCTGCTTGGCAAAGTGTTGGTAACTTCATCTGTGGAACGTGATCCTGCAGCATTTTGTGCAAAGTTAGTGCGCCTTTCTCCCTCAGACATTCCCGATTTGACATTACAGCGGAAATTCAGAGTCTCTGTGAGCCTGATCACCCCGCTGTGGCCCTGACTGAATTTCCCCATCAGCTCGATTTTCTTTGATGATGACGCGCTGTGGGGATTCCCATTCAGGGTGAAGATCTTGTTGGTTGGCGGTTTGATGCTTGCAAATGCCATGCCCTTGTACCCTCTACTGTCAACATTTTTGGCTATTTCAAAAGAAGCCGTTGAGTTTTGGTGTGAGACTACACTGGGGTCCAGTCCCTGTGACATGTTGCCATATTTCAGGTCGACAAAAGTGGACCATCTGTTGATGCCCAAGCCATGCTCTGATGCAGAGGACTCGCTGGAGGTGCTGAAATTAATGGCATCAAAGTAGGGGTACGCCAGGCTCTTGAAGGCTTTGGCTGTCAGATTGCGCACCTCCTTGTCAGCGTCGTCCAGCTCGCTGACAGCGCTGGACGCACCGCTGGAGTACTCTGTGACCTCTTTTCCCCTCAATTTGCGGCCAAAGTGTAAGCGTCCGGGCGCGGCGATGAAACACTTTGCCCTGTCACACAACGTCTCTGCCTTCCCATCAACGCCCCTCAACACATACCGGCTCATGTCTCCGGCGCGCCTGGCATGATAAAGAATATTTTTCTGTTCTTGGATGTTGCTGGGGTCATTTATAGCTCGAGAAGTGGCTCTGATTGACAGGTGGATCTGTCCCGCGCTGTTGCCACTGTCCTGCTGCCGCGGGGGCTTGGACACGCTCTCATCAGAGCTGGTAAACTTGGCGGCTTCGCTCGGATCACTTTCCAGTAGAGTGCTGACTGTTGCTGCGTCCTGAGCGCGGGGCTCCCCCCTCTGCCCCGCTGCTACTCCATCCCCATCAGATGAGGCGTAATCCACAAAGGAGTACACCTGCTGGTTGTCATCCTCAATGTCCCAGCTAGTAGAGGAGCCCACCAGGTCATAGTCCCCCTCATTGTCAGAAAGCTCTGTCAGCTGGATCTCGTGCGTGGTAATATAGTGGGACTCGTCTTCCGTTACGCACGGAACGCAGTCATCTGAAAGCACCAAACTCACATCATCATCATCATCATCATCATCATCGTCGTCGTCGTCCTCTAAATCATCAGACTCACTCCCCCCGCTCAGATAATTATCACTGCCGTGGAGCTCCTCTTCTCTCTGCGCGTCTTTCTCCTCTCTTTTGGACACCTCCGGTTGCGTAATGGCGCGCTCGCCTTTGTCTCTGGAGTTGAGGCCATACTCTGACTTTTCTTTTAGAGACGGAGGATCTGTTAAAGAAATCACACAAGAGGGGTCGTCCTGAACGTCCCCAACCTGTTTCTGATCTTTTGAATCCGTTCTCCTCTTAGTTTCTTTTTCGTTTTTTCTCGTACACTCATGATTTGGCTCAGTTTGGCGCGGAGCTCCAGGCCCGCTGCTGTTCGCAAACACAGACATTTCCTCTTTGACATCAGCTCCGAAGTCTTTCCCTGGCTTTGAGTCGCATTTATTCAAGTCCACTAACTCCAAATCCGCGTATGTCCTCTCGTCCTGCTCTTCTGGCGCATCTCCTTGTAGTTTTTCGAGAAGGTCTTTGACCTCCTTCAGATCTGCTGCTGGTACCTCCACGCAGCTCTGCTTGGTCTTCATGGCTCAGCCCGCAGGGAGAAGACGACATGCGGAGTGTGTTAGGAGAGAGTCGGCGGAGATGGAGCCCCCCCCCGGATTCTTCAGAGCCTCAGGCAGAGATGGTGCCTCTCTCTCGGTTTGACAGACACTCTGATGAGACGGAGGCGCTCCAAATATTCCAGCTCTCCACGACATGCAGCCCAAAGCCGCAGACTAAAACGGACCAGAGACATTACTTGCTACTGTCTAGGCCACATGGTTCTCAAGCTGCGGCTCGCGGACCAATGAAAACAGCTGAGAGGACTCCTGGTCAGAGTATCTACTTTAATAATACTCACAGTGAAAGATCATATTTCAATATTCCTACAATAAATCATGACTAATGAACAGCAAAAAACCACTTAAGGTTAAATACGGTCCTGTTTTATTTCTGGCAGCCAATGGATTTTGGTTTTATTATTACACACTGATATAAAAAGGTGAAAAGCAGCATTGAGTGTTAGTTCATACTTCATCCACAATATACCTCCACTACACTCAGAGAAAAACCGAACTATTATTTTATTATACTCTGTAGATCCAGCTGCAAAAACAAGTCATGAAACCTTCAAACATTTTACATACAGATGGAAATTAATAAAAACAAAATTCAATTTCTTATCACAATAACACTATAATCACAAAAAAGAGCTAAATGCTAAATGCAAAGTTTTAAAGCATGTGGTGAAGTCAGTCATAAAAATATTTTACTTCTTATGACTTTTTAAATTGAATATTTACAACTTTAGTTGATTGTTCAGAGAGTCATCTGAAATATTTGCTTTTTGTGAAATATTTTTGGCATTTAGTGAATGTTTTTTTTCTGACCTTTAACTATTTGTGTGGAAGCAGCCATTTGACCTTTAGGGAAACTGCTACCTTGTTCTTATTTACTGCGTTAACCTATTGTTATCTCTATAAGGAAAATTCACTTAATTGTTTGTTGACAGCTTTTAAAACCAACCAGTTTAATATTTTAGTCGTTGCTATCTTCTGTATTTTTTAGAGCCAAAGCCAATCATAATTGATCATATCTGAAGGCTTATCAGCTTAAGTCTGACCGGCGGTGTTAGCTGGATGAATCTTATTTTGCAACCACTGGAGTCGCCCCCTGCTGGCCATTTAAAAAGTGCAGGTTTGAGGCACTTACTGTGAAACCAAGAGGCTGAGACCACATCCCATAAACAGCCTTTTTTAGGGATGCTTTTTCACATGTTAAAGATTTGGAAGTTGTTAAAAAATAAGTACTTTAAGAAGTTTTGCTTTTTTGTATTTTATTGATAACAAATTATAGAAGAAAGGAGTCAATATGAACTCAACTGACCAGCCTTTTCCTTGATAAACAGATAATATTTCCGTGCAGACAGTTGGCTCAGTAGCTATCTTTAAAAATACTCAAAGTCAAATTTAGTCACTGAGGCAAAATGGGAAAATTGCAGCTGTGTTAGCCGGGCAGGAATGCGTGCTGGGTTTTTGTGACACCTCAGATGACGGCAGCGTGGCGGATAAACACCAAAGTGACAACAACCCATCAACAACACACCCCGTGAGGAGGCAGCCACCATGCACAACGCAGACTGCAGGAGCTCAGGGGGGTCAGTCTGTGTCAGAAGAGTCCACGGACAAACAGAGGCCTTTCAGAAGATGCCGGGGGGCCCAAAGAGGAAGTAGGTCACATTCACTTGTGGGTCAAAGCAAAACCAAGATAAAGTTTTACAGTCCTGTCAGACACACTCAGATTCTGGTCCCAGGTTTTTTATGAGGTTTTGCTGTTCAGAAAGGTTATTGATGAACCTGTGAAATGCTGGGATGGGGCTCGGTCTCAGCTCAGTGTCACATCTTCATCATCATGTGCTTTTTTACTTGAACTTCATCTAACATTATGGAGACACACATAAAAGAATCTATTTTGTATTTGTTGGAATACTGGATTGTTGAGATGTTGATGAAATTACCTATAACGCTTACTGAAGTCTGTCTGCAGGAATACATTATATTTGCATATATTTGTAAGGGTCAATCCTGTAGGGTCAATCCTTTTACTTAAAAGAAGGTACAGGGTGTAGAAATGGGAATATTTTGCAATATCTACTTATCATTTTTCATAATGTAAAGCTCTTTTACTCACTTCTGCTCGTGGTGAAGCAATGGTGACCATAGTGAGGACAAGAAGTTCCTGTAATGTATAACAAATATGACCCTCCATTTGTCAAGCATTTACCATCAAAAATTTCAGTCAATACAAAAGTTTTTGCTCACATTTTTTTCTTCTTTGTTTTCTCCAAGCCTTTGCTTTTGCCACCCACCAAAAAAGTGTCTGACAAGTCTCCCAGTTCCTGCCGCTGAAAAACATCCCCACAGCATGATGCTGCCACCACCATGCTTCACTGTAGGGATGGTATTGGCAAGGTGGTGAGTGGTGCCTGGTTTCCTCCAGACATGACGCATTCAGGCCAAAGAGTTCGATCTTCGTTTCATCAGACCAGAGAATTTTGTTTCTCCTGGTTGGTGAGTCCTTCAGGTGCCTTCTAGCAAAGTCCAAGTTGGCTGTCATGTGCTTTTTACTGTGGAGTGGCTTCTGTCTGGCCACTCTACCATAAATGCCTGACTGGTGGAGTGCTGCAGAGATGGTGGTCCTTCTGTAGGGTTCTCCCATCTCCTCAGAGGAATGCTGGAGCTCTGTCAGAGTGACCATTGGGTTCTTGGTCACCTCCCTGACCAAGGCCCTTCTCCCCCGCTTGCTCATTTTGGCTGGGCGGCCAGCTCTAGGAAGAGTTCTGGTGGTTCCAAATGTCTTCCATTTCTTAATGATGGAGACCATGGTGCTTTTTGGGATCTTCAATGCAGCAGATATTTTTCTGTAACCTTCCCCAGATCTGTGCACCGATACAACCCTGTTTCGGAGGTCTACAGACAATTCTTTCAACTTCATGGCTTGGTTTGTGCTCTGATGTGCTCTGTCAGCTGTGGGATCTTATATAGACAGGTGTGGCTTTCCAAATCATGTCCAATTAGATGAATTTGCCACAGGTGGACTGCAATCAAGTTGAATTCTGCAATCAAGAACATTTCAAGGCTGATCAGTGGAAACAGGATGCACCTGAGCTCAATTTTGAGTTTTATAGCAAAGGGTGTGAATACCAGCCAGAGCCCAGACTTGAACCCGATTGAACAGTTGAAAAGTAGCTGTGCACCGACGTTGCCCATCCAACCTCACTGAGCTTGAGAGGATGTGTAAGGAAGAATGGGAAAAACTCCCCAAATCCAGGTGTGCCAAGCTTGTTGCATCATACACAAGAAGACTGGAGGCTGTGATCGTTGCCAAAGGAGCTTCGACCAAGTATTGAGTAAAGGGTGTGAATACTTATGTATATGCAACATTTGAGTGTTCTTATTTTTAATAAATTTGCAAAATGTTCTACAAAAAGTTTCTCACTTTGTCATTATGGGGTATTTTGTCTAGAATTTTTGAGAGTAAAAGGGAATTTAATCCATTTTGGAATAAGGCTGTAACAAAACAAATTGTGGAAAAAGTGAAGTGGTATGAATACTTTCCGGATGCACTGTATATATCCAGGTGATTATACATGAATTTAAGCAGACTTATAATATCCTATACTATTTCTATTCAGTTGGTGCTGATAAACTCTGCTAAGTACTATGTAACAGGATCAAATCTATTGGTAAAAAGAATGTATTCGGTTAATTTCAATATACTTGTACAAAATATACCTTGCAGTTATTTGGAGGACCTCACAACTCTTTTGTATGTTTTGCGGTTTAATAGCAGTGTCTGGTTTAAAAAGTCATATTAAAAAGAAAAGGGAGTCTGCTGGAAATGTGAAACTTAAGGGTTAAAAAGCATAAAAACAAAAGGTAGAAATATGAGTTTTCAGCACCATGGACAGCTCATGTTTTGTTTGATGTCTCTTGAGATAAAATCTACAATCTGCAGCCTGTAAAACCTGTTTTCAGGCGTGTATGTGGGTATGTTAGAGAAAGATAATTGTATTCTTTATTTCAGAATCATAAGCACAGAAACAAAGATTAGGAAAAGTGTAATTTAAATAATACAGATAAATTTTCTCAGATTCGTTAACCCTCTGTTGACATGACTCCAGCCGTTTATGAGTCTTTGACACTCCTTTAACACATCAGGAAACCTTTCAGGAGAGTCCAAGTTACACAGACGACAGATGGATTTAAGCTCCAGTTTCAGCCGGAAACTGTAGATGGGTTAGAGGGCAGCCCTGCTGTTACAATTAGGGAAAAGTATAGTCAGTACAATCTGTGATGTGAGTGCAGAGACTGGACCCAAAATGCAACCAGATCAGGGGAGCAAGTTTAACAGGTTTTAGTATTTCTGTGATATAGCAGAGGTTTAAGGGAATCAGGGAGAGAGTGCTGGGTGGTGGGCTGCTGAGTGGCTCGGAGGGAGGCACTGAAAAAAAAAAGGGAAAGATAATGAGGGTTAGCAAAAATACCAAAACACCAAAAATTCTCAAGATATACACAGTCTATTGAGCTGAGAGGGGCCATTGTACCACTGTATGAGAGCAACAATACTCTGGCGCTGAGGCTTCTGTTGGCAGCAGTTTTAAAGGCCAGCTGGTTGCAGAGTGGCAGCAGGTGTGCTCAATCAGGCTCAGCGCCACAGAGGGAAGGGAGCAGCCTCTGAAACCGGTAACAGGTGACAAGCAGCAGCCCACACAGCACACACACATTTAAATATGGTGAGCATAATTGTGAGTCTTTATTCCATCATAACTTAAAATCTTTACCCAAATAAAAAAACAAAAACAAAACAAAACAAATGCAGGAGCGTCTAAATCTGCAAATCCCACATTGTCCACCGGAGGCTTGTTCCATCAGTGAGTCAACCCCTATTTAGCTCCGTGTTACAACTTAACAGCAGAAATAAACAAGATAGTTTCTCTACTAAGACAAGATAATTTCTCTACTAAGGAGATATTTTTTCTACT